TATATATATATATATATATATATTAACTACCTCGGTGGTGTAGTGACTAGCATGAACGGCTGGACGGAGGTCCTGGGTTCGAGTTCCGGGTCGGGCCAAGTTTAGTTATTGAGTCTTTCTGTATAATAAGTCTCAGTAACAGCCCGGAGTTGGGAAGTTGGCGGTGTTTCACCCCCGTGTCTCGGAGAGCACGTAATACCGTCGGTCCTGCGCCTTAACTCTCACCGGTCGTGTCTCGCGTCGTAGTGACAGGAATACACAGTGCACGTTGTGTCTGCGCGTACACTTGTGCACTATAATATCTCCTGCGCAGTTGGCTAGTCTCAATGAGATTGACCGCCGTGGTCGGAATCGGTCAGGAGTACATTATTATGTATATATAAATGTCAATATCCTTTTTATATGTCTAATGGGCATGTTCAAATGAAGCATAACAATGATAATAGATCTTATCTCTTATCTTATAATATTAAATGAGCAATTCTTGTACATTGTATATATATAAATTTATTTCGTGTATCTCGGAAACGGCTCTAACGATTTTGATCAAATTTTGTAATGAGATAAGGTGTTGCTTTTTAATTTTATAATATATAGTTATTTTCTGATGAAATGCAAATTTTCCGAAAAAACACGATTTTACAAAAAAAGACGTGCGAAGCTTGGTCGCCCAAGTATATACATATATGTACATATTACAATAAAACTGTACTATTTTCCCGTATATTTGAAATTCTCAATAAAATAAAAAACAGCTCTTCTGCATCCTCGATCGTTTGATTTTGTTTTTCTGTGATAAAAGTACTTAACTTATTTTATTCTCAATGGAATATCCATTCGCCCCCTTGACATTGGTTAAGCCGGTTCTAAAGATTTTTTAGCTCTGTTATATAACATTTTTACAAGCGCTTAATTTTTTTATTTTATTTATTTAACACATACAAAATGACAGACAAACATTCCCAAGGATTTGTTTGATTTCTATATCGTAAAAATAAATAAACTTAACAGTTCACCTAATCTATAATAAAATCGTTGTAGACCTATTTAAAAAAAAAGAAAAAATATATATAATATGGATCAAGTAATTGTAAAACAAACGCAGATAACCTAATGGTTGATAGATAAGCACGTGTTACTCTACGTTGGCGGAAAACTACGAGTAAAATAATTTAATCTTCAGAATATTATCTGTGTTTCAACCATAATCATTATCGAAAATTTGTGAAAAATATACTCGTACTATATAAATAGAAATTACCTATCTATAAAAATGAAACTGTTTCTAAAATTTTTTTTATTGGACAACAGTGAAGCTCGTCAATAGCTATTAGCTACCAAACAAAAAAAAAAGAAAATCTGTTGACAAACAGAGTAGAAAAGGGTACTGAAATGCTGTATGTCTGTCTTTGCTTATTTATATACAGATTACAACATAAGCTTTTTATACCAAATATCATTAAATCTTGTGTCTTTCAACACTGACACATACTGCAGTGGACTGTGGACATATAACCGGGTTAGTTACCAGTTGAGAAAGAGCTAGGACATTAGATTTCTTCACCTTCTCGCAGTGAATAGCAATAACGAATTAAGATGCAAAGCACTTCTTGTCTCAGACTACCAGTGCCCGTGACATTATTCATATCATTAAAGTATGAAAAATTTCAGTACATTTGATACTTAACGAAATACTGTACAGCTTAAATACTATTTATTTGTTTTTTTGTTATATTTCGAACGAAGCGTTTAGGATTTTGATTTGGTATTATAAACTAAAAAAAATTAAATGTCAAACATTTTCTAAGGTACCTCATATCTTTATTATATCATTACTTATAAAAAATAACATATGTATATAAGTATAATCACGTTACTGAATAATTCTTAATTTTTATTATTTTTAGACTTTTTAAATTTTAAACGTGAGGAATTTCTGTAAATTACATATTCATATTCTGTACACATAATGAATAAGAGCTCTTCTATTATAAATAACCCAAATAAATCGTACATTTTATTATACGGGATCAGGCCATAGCCTATTATTTCGTAAGCGATCCTGCGATGGGGGAGGTTTCGTTGGGATTTAGTGGGTAGTACTGGCTTTTCTAGCCGGTGAGTCCCACAATGTATGCAGGTCCAAATATGTCCACTACCAACCAGGTGCGGATTGGATAGGTTCTCTACCACTGGGTTGCCTTATAAATAATATATATACAAATAACATAATATTCGTGTTATATATGAAATATTTACTATATAATACGTAATAGGAGAATAGTAATAGATATGCAATTGTTAAATAAATTATAGTTATATAAATTTATAGACAACCAAATTAAAAAAAAACTTACATTATACTTTAAATTATTATTCTCAAATAAGTTATATTGGTTATTGACCGAAGCAATATTTATAGAGTTAGTTTTTACGACACGAGATATTTACTTACTAAAATGTTTTAACGAATCACCTTCGAACCTTGTGTTAATATTAAATAGTCGAAATAAAGGCTTGGATGTTAGCAAATATTAGAACTCTATAAGTTCATTAATTCTCTCAGTAAATATTCTTCTAAGTTAAATAAAGATTGTGAAAATTAACGTGACTAGATAATTACGAGGCCTTTGACAGTTAATTATGTTTTAATTATAAATCAATTTAAGTAATTAAAAGCTAAAAGCCTTTACTTTTCAGGTTATTTCTATTATAACAATATATTTTTTTTAATTACTATTACTACTGGTAAAGAAATATTTTTGTCATTTATAGAAGTACTGGCACAAAATAATTTGATGTCCTTCATGACTTTGCATATGACGAACGTTGAGAATAAAAATATATAATTATAATAAAATAAAAGCTAAATAAGAGTTTTTCTTTTATTAAAATTATTTATTTTAATATTAGATCAACACTTGTTTTTTAGCTTTAATATTTTAACTATCTTTACAACTGTTGTAAATCAACGTTAACCTTTAGTTTTAAATTACTCAAAAGTGTTGTCAACCGGTTTTGTCACCTTACAAACTTTTATTATTATTATAAAATTCGATAAACAAGCCGCAATGACTCTGGAGGTCGCCAGTTTTCGACAAACAGGAAACTGACTGGTCGACGGTCACAACACTATTTGTACTGAAACATATTATAATCTGTTGGTAATATATGTATACGCGACTATAATAATATAGGCGATTTTTTTGTTTTATTTATTTATTTATTTTATTTTATTATTTATTTCAGACAATATTTACAAAAGGATCTTAAATATGTAAACAGAAGATTTTTGAATATATAAATATTATTTTAATATTAAACCCAGCTTTCAGGTGTCTTCTGCCGACTAGCCCACTTCTCACTTCCACTTCAGTTCACAATCGTTTTCATAATAGGCAAAGGCATTTCCATTATAAAAAGCTATTTACGTCACTGATAGTAGATACAGGTTTCCTCACGATGTAATGAAAGTGGTAAATTAAGCCTAAAATTAATTCGTAACTACCTACACACATATTACATTTCAATTATATCAGAGATGGGAGATTCGAAATCCTTCATTTGGTTTCCAAACAAAATATATTGTAAATAAAGGGATCATAAACTCTGCAAATATATAATAATTACATTAGTAAAACACGCACTTTAAACCTATTTCTGTATACCTTCTGCGCATCTTGAATATTAAAATCATTTCCCTAAAAGCATGAAAATCTCGATATCGACTTGAACATGACCCTGTTGCAAAGTCAAAGCTTCGCGGCCTTCCCTTGAACACTTAATTTGGATTATACCGCTTTCCGAATAAACCTAATTACCTCGTTAATTCAGTTCATTTTTTTAATTATAAATTCCTTTTAAAACAATATAAAGTAGATAAATAAGACGCTAATATGCGTTATTATTTTCTATCCATGCCTATTAATGTTTATTATTTGACAGATTTTCAATAAGAACACTACAATCTAAATAAAGAAAATACCACTTATGTCAAAGACTTAAATTGAAATTTAATTTCAACCTTATATTATATTTCAATTACTATTTTTTACTCAGCCATATTATCTCAATGACATTGCAATGAAAATAATTTTATTTTTAAATTTACGCAAAACACATGAAATAAATAGTGACTTCACATTTTTTTTAAATAATATGCAATGTTTCTTCCATAATAATCTCAATTAAACCATAAGTATAGTGCAATAAAAGCTGACAATTTTAGTCTGATGAATTATAAAGAATAAAGGCTATTTTACCGTGGCTATGTAAGACGCAGAAATGATGAGAGTCATCATGGCAGGAAGTCGTTTGGAAACCATCAGAAAGTTCTTCCTTATCTGGCGGAAGGAAAATCCTCGGTTGTTGACCTCAGGGTTCAAGTTTAAAGTCACGATTATTAAAAAAACCAACTGTCAATTTCAGTTTATTACCCTTTAGGAAGGGGTCGAGGGCTTTTCTGAATTATGCCACTTATAAGTTATTGAACTTTCATATTTTAAAACAGTGAAAAGCAAAGATTTTATATGAATGCAAAAGATTTCTATTAATAGTCTTGTACTTTTCTAACATTTATACTAAAACTGTTAAAAAATATAATTTATTATGTAGTGGTTCAATTTTTGTGCTGGCTGATAAAATTTTACTTAAAAAAACTTATTAAAAAAAAAGTTTTTCCCGCGCTTTTGACATAAAAAGAAATTAGAGACATCCGTGTCATCCTAACTCCTGTGGACTGTAGTCGTCGTTTTGGTTATGATGCTAAAATTGTAAATACAATATGGTATCATAGAATTAATACATTTAACTGAATTTTCTTTTAAATTAAATCACTACAAAGCATCTATACATTATTTTTATTTTTAAATACAAATTTTAATTTATTTTCAAGTTTTAGAACACTAAACACACAAACACACAGTCTAACAAGACTGTCATTTAATTTACCGTATATTTTAATGTTACAACACAAATAAAATGTATAAATTTGTTTTCAGTGGAAGATGCAAGCGGGCGCTACACATCTATGTTCTACTGGGGCAATAACTACTGGACGGGATCGGCTGAGCTCTGCAGCATCCTCAACGAGCAACACGCGCCGTCGAAACATAACAATCGTTAGTATTTAATTCATTTTCTTTAATTTTTCTACGAAAAACCAAACCCGCGACCGCTGACACACCAACTAGGGTCACTACCAAACGTGTCGTCACATTTACACCTCCAGGTAAATTTCTAAGAAATTAATTAAAATTCTAAGAAATCTATTGTTAACTGACACGCCGGCGTGTCCGCGGTCGTGGAGGTATTATGTACAAATGAATAAGTAACAGCTAAACTGGATATATGTAGGTACTCTTCTAGAATTGCAATGTGTCTATGCCACCTCTGATTCTCAGACTAAAACATATTTTAATTTGAGTTTTATAAAGATTTTTTATAATTAAAAAGTCAAATTCTTAGTCCAATTACGAACAGCAAAGTCATTAAATAATTGTAAAATAAATTATATATAAACAATTTATAATTTACCTAAAAATTTACCGTGATATTGTAAGAATTGGAGACGAAGGCCAATATTTCGGCTAATTATAATTTTACTTGTAAAATTATAATCGCCCGGAACAATACTATTATTTCCCTGCGACATATACATTCGCTTACGCAGAAATATATCTCACTTTTATTTCTATAAAAAGTAGGGGTAAAAAATAAATAAAAAAATACCTTTTTATACAATAATGTCGAACAATTTAATGTCGAATTTTGACGTCGTATATAATACATAATATTATAAGTATTCTTCTTATGTATTTACCAATAATATTATTATAATTTATAATACATAATATATTAATGCACTTTGTCTTATTAGTTATTAGCTTTTATGCTATTTCATGCAATTCGCTGCCATTATGTTTTATACATGAACGAATTGTGGTTAATTCGTTCATGGTTTTATAGTATTACATATAGAGCAAAGTTGTAAAAACAAACCTTTCTTTTAGCAACAAACATGACCTTAATATAATTATTTGCTTTTTAACCGACTTCCAAAACGGAGGAGGTCCTCAAATCGTTGGAATCTTTTTTTTTATGTATGTTCACCGATTTGGTTTTTTTTTGTTTTTTTTTTGTTTCCGACTTGGTTTTTTTTTTTCGAAGCGTATACTTCCCAAGTACAACGGGGTACCAACTAAACGGAGGTTTTAATTTAGCCTACAATATTTGAAGATATGAATATCTAATAGGTAAATATTATGATTTTGTATGAACTCTGATTATAGTTAAAATATGATATAGCAATTTGTGATGTATTTTACGTATCGAAATATGTTAGATTTACTTTGCATAGGTTGGCACCGACTTCGAAAATATCTGATTAGGTATCTATTCTAAATGAAAACCCCCGTTTAGTTATTTTTTACATTTTAATGTTTTTATACCTTACGTTTAAAAAAAACAGTTTAACGGATTGCGGACGGACAAACATTGTGGCGTAAACTTAGATAGTATCCTGGACCAGGGCTTTTTGGTAATGGAACCTTAAAAATGCAAAATGATATGAAACGAGGTAATCCGTTGCATTCTGTCACATGCGTCCTCCTTCAATGTCGACTTGTAAAAACCTTATGTATTTTTGGCTTGTGTTAAATTGTTCAAGTCTATTTATTATTCTAACTATCCCAGGACGCCCCAGTAATTAAGCAGATTTAAACCGGAAGTTGCTAGGACAATTTATTCTATACAATCAATGATATTATTTTTCATACATATCCTTGGCATAAATCCTCTAATTCATTGCCTTCTAGTAGAATATGTGCTGTTATTTACTTTTGCTGGCGAGTTCTGTATAGGGAACTATCAGAATACCTAAATGTTTTAAAATTTAAATGAGTATTATAATTAAATTATAATACTTATTAAAAAAAATTAAAATGCTTAGAAATAAAAATTAACAAATATTGTAAAGTACCTAAATGATTATTGAAATGGCCCGCAGTCACATGGATGTGACATTTTATACTTTTCAAATAAAAATTAACCAAGCAAATAAAAGAAAATGTATATTAAATTTTATTTGCTATCATTTAATGGCCATCGTAGAACTCAACATGTTTTAATAATGTTTGATTTATAATAATAAAATATCATTTCGAACAAATATGAATTTGTAAAATCGTAAAATTAAAAACAAATACAGACGATTTACATATCGCATTTATTAATAAGAACTTCCGACGCACCTTTGTTTTTGAATATACACATATTGTACAAATGTAGGTGCATTTTTAATTATAATGTTGATTTTATGTGGATTTTATTCTAAATCACAAGTCTATATCTATAAATAAAATTCTAATTAAATCGAATCTGTACATTAAATATTTTAGAAATAGTAATTATAATCGACAAGCGGCTTACCCTCGCTTCGCCCGGGTTCGACTTTAGAAAAACAAAAACAAATCTATCCCTCTGGAACCGTATATTTATCCGGGATAAAAAGTAGCCTATTATTTGACTAGCAATATAAGGTATCAGCATGCCAAATTTTACTAACTTAGGTGCATAAGTTGTTGTGTAATCTCACGGGAACTCTTTAATTTTCCGTGATGAAAAGTATGTAAAATGTTGACCGGGGATATAAGGTACCACCATGTAAAATTTCATTTCAATCGGTCCAACAGTTTCGGAGATTAGGCCGTACAAACAGACAAACAGATAGAGAAAAAAGAAATGAAAAAAAAAAACTGTATATAGATACGGAGGCCGAATCTATAGTTTTTGGAATTTTTGTCTGTCTGTCTGTTCCTAGACATACGCATCACGAGAAAATCACTGGACAGATTTTGATTAAATTTGGTCTGGTGATAGCTATCCATATACCAGCTGGCTATCCGGATCAATATTATGGATACTTTTTACTGCGGGAAAATATCTCATCTCTGAGAAATTTATACTTAAAACGTAGGGACAAATCCGAGCGCAGCGAGGGTGAGTCGCTAGTTGATTATATCCTTTATATAAACTTCTTCAAAATAAAGTAGTTTACGTTTCTCCACAACTTTCAAGGCTTTCCTATACCTAGTTTCACCAAAATCAGCTATCCAAACATTAAAATGCGAAATTATCGAAATATAACACATTATATGAAAATTTATTTATATATACAAGATACATTATGTGTATCTATACTAATATTATAAAGAGGTAAAGTTTGTGAGTTTATGACGTTGTAGGGGGTAATCTATAGATCTACTGAACCGATTTAGATGACATTTGGTAAAAAGATAGTTTGAGACCCCGGGAAGGACATAGGATACTTTTTACCCCCGAAATCATCCCTTAAAGGGGTGAAAGTTGGGATGAAAGTTTGTATTGGGAAGCAAGTAAGTTATTATTTGGAGTAATTTATTATTTAAATTATTATTTTAGAGAGTAATTTATTATTTATTAGAAGTCGCTAGTAATTTATTATTTTACTGAAAACAAACGTGTTGAAGTCTTTTTAAAGCAGCACTTTTTCCATATGGTGCTGATGTAATCGATCTGTAAGTGGGCGAAGGCTTGTATCTGCGATTTTCAACCGTCAATTATTAGAGCGTGAATTCTAGAATGCTTAAGACATTGTTAAATAAATATTTACTACGACTTACCCCGGCTTTGTTCGGGTATATCTAGGTTATTTTATCCTAATCTGTCCAATATCTGTCCGAGCGTGAAGTAATAATATACTAATATACAGACACACATACAACCTTTGCCATTTATTGTAGTCCGATTAAAAGTATATTCAAGGCAAAAATATGTTCATTGCATAACGTCCCGCGGTGTTGCTCACATGTACCCTCTCTAATTCGACAGTATTTGTATTATATTAAATAGTAGCCAACGCTTAGTTGACACAAATTTGCGTTTATTTACAATGTTTCTTGTTTACGTGCAACAATAAAACTTAACTATTACAAAATGTTATAGGAGCGTTTTGCTTACTTTTTAAGTTTTGTTGTTACTCTATTACGCCATCTTGTGCATAGCATGGTTTGTATAACAAAATATTTTACATTTATTGATATCTATATATATAAAAGAAAGTCGTGTTAGTTACTTCGCTTATAACTCAAGAACGGCTGAACCGATTTAGCTGAAAATTGGCAGGGAGGTAGTTTAGAGCCAGGAGAAGGACATAGGATACTTTTTATCCCGTTCGACCGCGTTCAAATTTTTATGATATTTTAATTTTTGGATTTCTCTTAGTCCGGAATAGGTAAGTATTAAAACATATAATTAAAATGTGAGAAAGAAAGATTTTTTCTTTTTATATCTATTTAAAACGTACCTAGCGACGAACCCGAGCGAAGCGAGGGTGAGCCGCTAGTATTTATTAAATTTTACGTAGAACATTCATTATTTTTAAAGCAAGAGGTAGTAATAAAATAATTTTAAAATTGTTTTGATAAATATTGATGATATTTAAACAATAAAATAAAGTTTATGGTTGATTGTCATACGAGTATTTCACATAGATTATAGATAGAATATGTTGATCAATCGCAATTAAATATCTATCAATCTCTTTCTTGGTTTTGATAGCGTTTTCTAAAAATAAAGGGTTTCTTTATATGCACAGTAAAAGGACATTTTACCGGGAGATGTATATATTTTTACGGGGGTGGTACGAGCACTTGCCCTATATGGCCACAATAATAGTTCTATTTAAATGTTAAAGATACCTATCCTTAAAAGTTTTTGTTACGTGCTAATACTAAGTATGATGTTCTCCTAGCCGATTCCGGCCACGGCGGCCAATCTCAACGAGATTAGCCAACTGCGCAGGAGATATTATAGTGCTCAAGTGTACGCGCAGATACAAGTGCACTCTCTATTCCTATCACTCTCATACTCCGGTGGGACGACCACTCGACATGACCGGTGAGAGTTAAGGCGCAGGACCGACGGCTTTACGTGCTCTCCGAGGCACGGGGGTGAAACACCGCCAACTTCCCAACTCCGGGCTGTTACTGAGACTTATTATACAGGAAGACTCAATAACTAAACTTGGCCCGACCCGGGACTCGAACCCAGGACCTCCGGGTGTGCAGCCGTACATGCTAGCCACTACACCACCGAGGCTCTAATTAAAAAAAATAGTCTATCAACATACCAAGATCCTTAGGAGTGGAGAAACTATACATAAATAAACTACGCGAGTGATCTTCGGGCAAAGCTAATAATAATTAATAAGACTTTTAAGAGGCAGATTTTGTTTGTTTGAACGCGCTAATGTAGAAAGGAACTACTAATCCGATTAAAAAAAAAGAGGATAAAATTATTTTTGCATTAGATAGCCCGTTTATTGAGTTCCAGTTCCAGTGGGATAGATTTGTTTTTGTCTAGGGATGAACCCGAAGCGAAGCGAGGGTGAGTCACTAGTAATTAATAAAACTTTTATGATTGTTATATAAAAAATATTTTTACAGGTACTTCCGGATCACAAATATTTAGCGAGTGGCGACAAGATGTGTCCGTGTCGGGACTAGGCCCGCCATTCGACACTGCTTTCTACAACGTGCGCATGAGCGTCTCTACCAATCTGTCTGATATTGTGAAAACTGTAAGTTTTTAAATTTAAATTAAGAAAAAAGTTAAAAGCTTAGTCGTATATATATAAATATATATATTGTACAAGCTCCTCGCTCTGGATTTGCCCAGTTAGATTATACATATACTCTTACAGCTTACTACGTTAATATTACTAAATTCCTTTTAAATAACTAATAATTACATTTTAGTGCTTAGTATGTATTTACTATTACTGATCTAGAGATCATAAGTTCGAATTCTGGATTTACCCTCCGGACTATAAGAATAAAAGAATAGAGACTTCTCTCTCCTCTCCTGCCTTCACTTGTTTTAGTGAGATTGGCAGCCGTAACCAAAATTCAAGGACGACATTATATATTAAAACTTAATTTGCTAACAATATATTTGTGATGTGGCTATGGAAGAGCGAGTTTGCCTGATACAGGTGTTTTTTACACTTACAAAGAGATTTCATACTTGTATGTAATTTGTAAACATTTTGTTAATGAATAAAGTATATGTTTTTTTTAATTTTGAATGTATTGATTAATTATTCTTCAGCGACGCACTCTTCATCTCGGTTTATGTCTTCCGCGTTCGTGCTCCCGGGAACAAGTGGGCAACTTAGTCAACGCAGTTCACGCGCCGCTACTAACACACAAAGTGGTGACGGTCCGCTCGCCCGACCACGGCGGGTACTATTACATTGAGGACCCTACCTTCCAGATCCTTCTGTGAGTATTGAGAAAATCAGCATTAATATGGCGTTTTTGATGTAAATAATTTAAAAAGTGGTTAAACACTAATAAAATACGATTTTTAAATGTATTTTACGTATTGTTTCAATTACAAATGTATAAGTTTCATTTGCTTTTTATTCATTGATGCGAAGTTTTCCAATTTTTTTTGTAACCGATGGAACCATTTATAGATATGGCCTAAGCCTATTTAATACGTATATGATTTTTTTTACCAAAGATGTTATAAAAAGTAACAAAACAGAACTTGGCTATTTTTTATTTTTATTTTTGATTTGCTGTAAATTATTACGTACAATTTAGGTACGCTCCATTTCAATATAAAATTATGAAACGCAGATTATTTTTACAATTTGCGACATTATTTCTTGAGTTATTTTAAAACAGAACGAGTTTAGTTATTATTTGTAGTAATAAAGTATAATTTAAAAGAACAATTTGCTTTATATTACAGCCATTCACTAGCCTATATTTGACCTGAATATCTGGTGGTGTAATAAGTGCCAGAGCCTTGGCCTCCGTGCACTCATTTATATAACATTATAACTATTACTTTTCGTTTTTTCCTTGGGAAAATGCTAATAGATTACAAGGAAATCCTATATTTTTAATAAGTAAGCGAATCTCTATATATGCGATTGCTAGTTTTTTTTTTCTAAATTAAAAATGCCCAATTTAAATAAAGTGCGTGTATCAATGTGTACACGGACAAGAAGTGAAATTTTATGAAATTCAATTTATTTTTTAAATAAATAGTATGGGAGAGATAGTAAAAAATATTTTTTATCGATTTAAAAAAGACAATATTTTATTATTCCCATAGTACCTACAGATGGTGTTAAGATAAAATTTAATTGTCAACCAAAAGTTGTAATGATTCAATAAACTTTTCTGCTCCGTTAAATGACAATCTTTCTCACCTTCTAGGTTGACTGGAAGAGATCTCTTTTAGAGATAAGTCCACCTTTGCCTTCAATTTTCTTTATTATATTTGTATTTTTGTTTTTATGTGCAATAAAGAGTATATATTAAATTATATACTACTAAGAATAAATAATGATACAGGGATTAGTGATTTTTTTTAAATTTATCTATACATATAATAAAATTGTAACTAAGCCCAATCTGTACATTAAATATTTTTTGGAAAATCTCATTGAAATAGTCATTATTATCGATACAGAGGCCGAATCTATAGTTTTTAGAATTTTTGTCTGTCTGTATGTCTGTTACCGCATCACGAGAAAACTACTGGACAGATTTTGATGAAATTTTGTATGATAATAGCTGGTTATAGGATACTTTCCCGACAAAGCCGAGCGTAGCGAGGATGAGTCGCTAGTGATTTATAAAAAAATATTTCTAATATTCTTTTTTTTATAAAATTATCTTATTACGATTCCATTGCTCATTTCAAAATAAATGAATGAAGCATTTTTTTTAAATAATTATTTTTATGTCAGTTATTCTTTGAAATATTCATATTATTGTTTAGATAATTTAAAAAAAATAAAAATTCCTGCTAAAATAAATCGGTTAACTCTATAAAGAACATACAGGTCCACAAGACAAATCAACCTTGATATCCATTAAAAATTATGAAAATAAAAGATAAAACATAATAATATAAACAACTAGCTGACACGACAGGCGTTGTCATATCCTGATTTTAGCCTTTGAGGCAGGGCTCAGAACCGGTTTGAAATAACAGTTAACTCCAGTAATGTAATGGTTAATTAATTCATTGCTCGCTAACCGGTTAATAAAAACGATACGGCTTAGTAAACCGAAATAATAATGGTTAACGGTTATTCTCAGAGAAAGATTAAGCTTAGTTTTTGATACTGAAATAAACCGGTTAATTTCTTCTACCGGCTTAACCGGTTAAAGAACATAAGTTCAACGTTTCTGAAACGAACTGCTAAGGTGTGGAACACCCTTCCAGCATCCGTGTTTCCGATAATATGAGTACCTTCAAAGCAAGGCAAGGTGAATAGGCACTTTCTAGGCTAGCGCTCTCCAACCTAGACCTCATCAATGCTTCCCAGTGTTAATTGTCGTCAAGCGCAAGACTATCTAAGTAATAAAAAAAACGAAAATTTAAACTAAAAAACTTTGGGGAGAAGGAGAAAAAGGTTTAGGGTCAATGTCCAAAACCGGGTTAAAAATTGAACGTGTTTCTGAGGTCAAATTTGAGGCTATTCAAAAGTATACACTTATATATGCACAATATAAATAAAAGACAATCACATAAAGCCTGTTTTTTTCTAGTGCCGTGTCATGTATAGTAGCGGTGCTACTGGTGGCCGCTACGGCGTACGATATGAAGATAGCTCGCGACGTGCGCGCGCGCAGGCGACGCGCGGATAATATGGCGTCCATGGAAAATGGATCGACTGATATGAAAATGGGAATAGATGGATTGGACGCCATTACTGTCTCTAAAGGTAAACAAGTTCGATTCTATGTTGTAATTAATGTACCTATATCAAAAAAATTTGAAAAGTTCCGAGATAAAAGTAGCACTTAAATATACCGGGTCGGGAAATCTGTGGGACCTGTTTGTCACATACCTACATTATATGTTTACTGTATAATAATATACACTTTCAAATTGTAAAATTGTTAAATATTCATTACAAGTTTTATCAATAAAAGTAGACTAAGATAATTTAAGAAATAAAGTCTTCTAAACTAACAAATCCTTTGAGATGATAGAGCCATATGGCAGTAATAAGCAAATAAACATATCCAGTTAAATAATTGTGTACATACAAAATTATCGTAAAGTGCTAACGAAGTCGACTGGCTATATATAAGTAAAACTAGTGACTTACCCTCGCTTCGCTTGGATTCGTACCTAGGTTGATTCCCAATGCAAACTTTCATTCCCATTTTCACCCCTTAAGGGATAATTCCCGAGATAAAAAGTATCCTATATCCTTTCCAGGGTCTCAAACTAATCTCTTAAAAAATTTCATCTAAATCGATTCAGTAGATCCAGAGATTTCCCCCTACAACGTCACAAACTCACAAACTTTACCTCTTTACAATATTAGTATAGATAATAAAAAATATTTTTCAGGCAAATCCATGTACAACGTGAACAACAACATAGCAATCAACAGCAACAACTCTGAGGAGCAGCTGACGGCGGACACTTCCTCCACCGCCGGTGAAGAGCTCAAACTAAGTAAGTAGTCAGATTTTCAAATTGATGTTACCTTAATTTTTTTTTAAATGTATTATTATCTGTAATTTACCTGCTTTGTAAGTATAAAATTGTATTTAATTCAATATTTTGTTTTTTTACTATAATTATATTATATCTATTTCGCACTTTAATGTAATTGTGACATTGTCGCAAAAAAAGGATTTTAAAATTACATCCTCTACAGGGAAATAAGCCCTTAAATAGAGTAAATAATCATTCCTAAGGATCGTTCGTTCGGAAGTTCGTCATTTTTGAAATTACAAATATTGAAAATGATGTTTAAGCTTCTGTTTGTACTGCTAATAATATTCTATATCTACTAATTATACAGATGTATAATTAGTAGATGTAGAATATTATTTTTTTATTGTATAGATGTACATATAATAAAATTTTAACTGAGTCGAATCTGTACAAAAATATTTTTTTAGAAAATCTTATTGAAATTAGTCATTATTATCGATACTGAGGCCGAATCTATAGTTTTTAGAATTATTATCTATCTGTATCGAGAAGCATATTCATTAGCTGTTATCTCGCATTCGGGGAATCCCCGCATGCGGTATAACGATGAAGTTAATGATCAATGAAAATGAGTCTTTAGCATAATGTTGTTCTTTGTTTGGTTGCAGGCGTGTGGTCGGAGCTGCTGCTGTCGTTCTCGATGAAGGCCAACGTGCTGCAGATCCTGGACCGGTCGGTGGGCGCCGACACCGTGCCGGTGGTGCACGGCCTGCGCACGCTCTCCATGATCTGGATCATCTTCGGGCACACTTGCATTGTCGTCTTTAAGGTACGCTTTAGGATTACTTTTGGGAAATTATAATGATAAGAAATCTGCGTTTAAAATAAATAACAAGAGTACATTTGTTTTGTATATGGTTAAGTATAAATTTAGTTTCAAATATGATTTAATTTTGTATGAGATGGTTATTTGACATTTTTAACAGATTTTAAAAAAGGACGAGGTTCTCAATTCGTTTGTATTTTTTATGTGTGTGACCTCAAAACTCCGCCATTTATTACCCATTTTGACTTTCTTTGTTTGCGAAGGTATACCTACTTCTCATTTGGTACTGTAGTGGTATGTACCTCCCTCTTACCAGTAGTCTAAATTACACTGTGTAATAAATACATATACTCCTAAGTTTAGTGAGCAGTAATAAGGAGATATTGAAACGAGACAGTCGTTTGTATGGACCCTATCACAATCCCATTTAAATTTAAAGAAAAAATACCTCCCATAAGAATGAATAAATAGTTTTGTTTTAAACATAAAATTAAAAGAGGAGCATAAAATCTGTGAGTTTTACACGAGAGAATTCACATATAGCATATAATATCATTAACTTTTAAAATTAAGCGTATTTAGATATTTAATAATTAAATATTATTAATTAATATCTTAAATTATTACTTTCAGTACGCTGACAACACCGCTTTACGCGCGATCCTCGAGAAAAGCTTCTGGTTCCAACTGATCATCAGCGCTGTGTACAGTGTTGATACTTTCTTCTGCCTCGGGTAAGAAAAACTGTTTCATTTTTATATTATTATTTATAATTAGAACAATTTATTAATTTAGTTTATTAGTTATAAGTTGCTTTCTAAAATGAATAGTTATTGTTTTTAATCTGTATTTTCTTACCTGATTTCAAAGAGAAGGAGGCACGCAATCTACGTCAAGGATGTCCCATATAAAATAATCAATGTCCGTCATATATGTAGTGCCCCGTCATAAGAGTGCATACAAAATATTTATCTATTTACTTTATACAACACTGAAACTACTTATAACACTTATGATGGTCTGATACGAATGACATGTTGACGTTACATGAGGTTCTTAGTAAATAACAAAAAGTGTCGTGAAGGGTGAAAAATACATTTTTTCTATCTAGTTCTGATTCACCAAGTGTGCAGAGTGCAATAACGAACTTCGTTCCGAAAACTCCACACCTAAAAATGAAATGATTACTTTTAAGTGATTTTGAAGTCAATGTATCTATTTTCTTAAAATGTAATATATATCTCAAAGTACGCATATTATATAGACAGGTTTCCGTCAATCAATAATAAAAAATATATTATTTGTACATGTACAGTACAAGTACAAATACGCCTAATATTAACGGAATTCAAAAATTACCCTTTTATTTCGTATTTCGCTTCTCATGAAATGAATGCCCTATAGTTAATTCAAAACCCACTCACAGCGGCATGCTGGTGTCGTTCCTGTACTTCCGCACGGCGGCGAAGGGCAAGCTGGAGCGCCTCACGAAGGGCCGGCGCAAGCTCACGGCCGGCGTGCTGCAGTTCCTGGGCCTCATGGGCTACCGCTTTGCCAGGTCCCGTATACTGTTTTACTTGTATTTTAAATATATTGTGCTATGTGTATATTTATAATGTTTTAGATTTACGAGAGTATTTATAACTTAAATTTTGAATTTTGCCACGGATTTAACTTAATTTTTGTTTCCAAATTTTCAAATGCTTTACAGCGAACATGGCCACGGAAGAAGGTTGCTGATGTTTCAAAAATTATACTCGTAGTTGTACAAACGGTTGTCTCCTCACGTAATTGTATAATAATTTGAAAAAAAAAATAGAAAAATTATGTCTATATTAATTGTTGCTAAAATTTTATTTCATATATAGGTACTTAATTTTTTTTATTATTTAAAAATTATAAAATTGCATGTGGCGGGCAAGTGGTGGTGATAGTGGTGGCTTTATATGAAACTTTGCAATTGAATAAAATAAAAGTGTAATGTTTAGATGTAGTTGTACTATATAAGTCCTCTAAGCACCAAAAACATCTTGCCAGAAAATTATTAAACATATAAAAATCTTAAGAAATTGTGACATTTAAAAATTCACATCGAAAATTAAAATGAACATACTGACCATTCCTAGAGACTAACGAAAGAACCATTCCCCACAGACTGACGGCACCGTACCTGTTCATGCTGGGCGTGGTGGAGGTGACGATGAAGTGGTTCCAGCACAACGCGGTGTTCGAGCCGCCCGCCCTCGACCACGAGACCTGCCCCAAGTACTGGTGGCGGAACTTGCTCTACATCAACACTTTGTTTCCCGTCGAGCAGATGGTATTTTTTTATTGGTTGTCGTTATTTTTTTTTAATTAGGGTACAGTACCTGGACGATGAGTTACGAGTACTCGACGAGTTACGAGTACTGGACGAGTTTTTGGCCGATAGCACAATTTTGTTTTTAATTTGGCTTTAAAATAAAAAAAAACTCGAATAAATACAAAAAAAACTTTGTATCCTACCGGGATTTGAATCCGGACACCTGTAATTGTTAATATTGCGCCTTAGCTGTTTGACCACGGTGCTTATATGCGCGAGCGTGCGAAATTAGCGACCATATTTTGCGTGGAATAATGCTAAAGAAAACCGCATGAAAATTCGAAAACACGCGTTTTCCCAGACATAAGACTAATCTAGATCGATTTTTCGCCCTCCGAAAACGCTCACATCAGTATAAATAAATATACAAGAATTTCTCATTTAAAGGCATTAGATATTAATATATGGCCTCGCTGGTCTAGTGGCTAGCATATACGGCGGAAGATTCAGAGGTTTTGGATTCGAGTTCAGTTTATGTTGTATCAAAAATTTCTCAGTAACAACCTGTTGGGCAGTTGACGATGTGACACCGTCGGTCCTGCGCCTGATCTCTAATATCTAATACATGGCTAGTCTCAATGAGATTGGGATAATTGTTTTCAATACTAATTTGTTCAATAATCAATTCCAGTGCATGTTATGGAGTTGGTACGTGTCAGATGATACGCAGTTCTACGCCGTCAGCGCCATTCTCCTGATCTTGGCTACAAGGTAACTTCATTGTGACATAATTCTCATATATGTATGTATTTACTCGACTGCGTGAAATTTTATGTTAACCAAGATGATATGAGATGAGATGTCTGAACTAATATCAAAGGTTATGATAACAAAAAAATATGTAAAAATACGGTCTTCACCGGAAGGTAAAAATAAAAAAGACCATTTCCAATCGAGAAGTCAATATAGGTAATACAAATAACACTTTCTTAGTTTTACGCAAATAGTTGACATTTAAAAAAAAAACTTTCAGTCTGTCCCGTAACCATGATGTCTGTAGAGTGTAAAGTATTCAAAACGTCGGGCGCCATAAATATTAAAATAAATCCGCGAAAAAATATAAAAAGATAGTTTTACCTAATACAATTTACAATTCCATTCTTTATCTATACACGTCATAATTTAACCCAAATAATCCAATCAACCAACCCAAACCTGCAGCCACTTCAAGTTATCAGCGGTACTGACGTCCGTGTTGTTCGTGTCGTCGCTGGCGACGACGGGCTACGTGTCGTACAGCAGCGAGCACATCCCCAGCGGCGAGGATCCCTTCACGCAGTTCGACAAGATCTACGACAAGCCCTGGACGCGCCTCGGGCCCTACCTCGTGGGCATGGCCACCGGCTGGATACTCTTCAAGACTAACCTCAACATTAAGATGACCAGGGTAGGTTTTTGGTGTTGGATATTCTTCTGTAGGACGTAGTTATTCACAAGTTTATTCAATTTAGGTTCGATGTATAATTGATAATAGTAATAATCTTGTTAATTGTCGTGTAGAAAATGAGTAGGGTGTCCATATTTTTTGTAAAATATAGTCACTGTTTCTTGAAAATCAATTATTGATGTCGATTTTAGTATCGATTTTAATTTTTAATCCATTAGTAATCGACGACGTATCGATATAATACCTTGTATGTGATATTTGGATTAAAAGGCAATAACTTTATTATATTAAACTTAATATAAAAATTAATTAATTAATAATTTCATCTACCGATATAGTAATTAAGGCTAAATTGTTTTGTTACCAACAAATATGGATGTAATAATTCGTTGGCTCACTATTACAAGGTTCTATGTTAATTTTAATGAAGTTTAGTAATTTTTACATAGAACTTCGTTATTTTGTTATCGTAAAAAACAACAACATAGAACTATGTAAAATTGAATATTTTGTAGTTATAGTGCCGCTATCTAGTGGTTTGTTTTTGCAAAACTGTAACTAAAGACACATAGAACCTTGTAGCATTAATAACTAAATAAGTACTAAAATTGTCACATAGGACCTTGTAATAGTGAGCCAACGAATTATGTTGAATTAAAAATAATTATAACCGTAGGCGTGGGCGGCGACGGGGTGGGCCGTGTGCGCGGGCACGCTGCTGTTCCTGGTGTTCGGGCTGTACCGGCTGCGGCTGGGCGTGGCGGCGGCGGCGGCCTACAGCGCGCTGTCGCACTCGCTGTGGGCGGCCTGCGTGGCCTGGGTCATCGTGGCCTGCTCCACCGGACACGGGGGTGCGTGTCTTGTTGTTTTATGGATAACTGGCAAGGGTATACGCTATGGCGTAAGACGAACCGTGTATAGGTTACGCTTGGATATTTTTCCTTTGAATCTGTTACATGGCAATCTTTATATAAACAATAAGTCATGTGTGTCATGTCATGTGTTTGTTGCATGTGTTTTTATAATGGACACATCTTTTTGTCTGCAGTTGGTCTAATGGTCAGAAACTGTATCAACACATTAAAGCTATTATTTTTGTCTCATGCGCAACTTTAATCATTAATATCATCAGAAAAAAATCGCCTGTAACTAATTAAAACCAAAATTCTAATACCAAATTTTAAAAGAAAAACAAACCAATGTACAATTATCCTATTACAGCACTGTACAATTATCCTATATTATAAAAAGGCAGAGTTTGTTTGTTTGAACGCGCTAATCTCAGGAACTACTAATTCGATTTGAAAAAATCTTCTTGCATTAGATAGCCCGTTTATTGAGCCACTATATCATTATACCACTACCCAAGGAAGCGGAGTAGCAGTCATAAATGTCAACAAACCGGGCAGACTTCCATACATCATTGTAAAAGTGATGTTTATAATCAAACAAATTTAACGCGGGTGAAACTGCGGGGCAAGCTAGTATAATATAATGTATAACCGTACGTGGGATTTTTATATGCAAAGAGGCTTCAGTGTGAGTATCTCTTTATTAACTTCTTAATATATCATCTATACCGTGTCTTCTCCATTTTACACGACATTTTTTTTCTAGGTAACAATACTAAAATATTGTAACCTAATATTATTACGATCGAACCAAAAAGGCTAATAAATAATTTAACTTTAACTTAGTTTTATAAAATAATATATCTAAGAATGTGTCCATTGCACTTTTCTTATAGTCTCTAGTTAAGGCGAAGACACTTTGTTTATTTATTTATTTATTTATTTATTAATCCTTTATTACACCAAAAAGAAAAATACAATATATAACTTTACAAATATATATGTTAGTGTAAAGGCGGCCTTATCACTAAAGTGATCTCTTCCAGGCAACCTATATTATAAAGAAACTCATAGGGTGATATGAATTATGGTTGGTGCAGAAAAAAAAAGAACTAGAACCAACCAATACAAAACACGAGAACAAAGTTCTCGTGTTCTATATTGGTATTCTACACGATATCGGCGAAGTAATCTGTATCCAACTGGCACGACTAAAGGCAATTATATATAGTACAATAAATAAATTATCATTAAATAACAAAGAATTGAGTAGAATATTGGTATTGAGTAGTATATGGATGTACAATAATCGCGTCGTGGTGCAGGCTGGGTGCGCGCGCTGCTGGCGGCGCCGGCGCTGTACCCGCTGTCGCGCCTCACGTACTGCGCCTACCTCGTGCACCCCGTCGTGCTGCGCTGCGTCGCCATGCGCCTCACGCACCCCATACACCTGGGCGAGCTGCTCGTGGTAACCTTACTTTACTTATTCTCATATTCGACATAGTTACTTGTGACGACACCTTTGACTCAGTTTATAGTGACCCTACTTGATGTGCCAGCGATCGCGAGTTCCATCCCGCTGGGGCATACATTTGTGTGATGAGCAAGAACGTTTGTACTCCAGTCGTGGATGTTTATATTTATAATATGTATGTATTTGAAATTATATGTGTAGTGTATCAACAAAAGTGCTTAATCACCGATAGCACACTATAAAAATACATACACCAGTCCGCCTTTGATTTTAATAGGAATGCTTCCAAATTATTATAAGAGTTGCCTTTACTTACTTTCTTGGAAAACGTTAGCTATTGAGAAATTTAGCTTAAACCTCAATCTTTCCCGTAACCATGACTGCTGTAAAGCATTCGAAACAACGGGAACCAAAAACCAAAATAAATTTGCGAAAAAAAAACAATAGTTTCATTTAAACTATCAAATATTCGCATAAATATAAGCAAGCAATTATGTAAAATCGTATTATATAAATAAATATGAACCCCCACAGTTCGTCCTGTTCCTGGGCCTCGCGGTGATATCGTACTTCCTCGCGTTCGTCATCTCCGTGGCGTTCGAGGCGCCAATGGTGACCATGCTCAAGCTGGTGTCGCCGCAGCGGAAGCCCCACCGAGTGTGATACTTTATAGGTATATCTACCATACCATGTAGTCTTCTATTCAGTGACAGTGAGACAAGGTTAAGAAACAATCCGGTCATTCATTCTTGAATAATATTTTGACCCCTATCGATACTGATCATCTTAAAGAAACTTTTTTCGATTTGTTTACCGTCTGTCTCACTCTTGGTTAAATAGTATTAGCTATCGCTTACGTGAATGCGTCCACTCGAAAACCTTTTACAATAAATAAAAATATTTATTGTCCCATATCCGAAAGGTATCAACAGGACGATGTGTATATCTCGTACGATGGTATGGAACCCTACGTGTGCGAGACCCACTCGCACTTGACCGGTTTATTATTTTACATTCGCGACCATAAATTCTCTGGTTAAAAAATGTGTGTGTTTTTTTTTTAATTGAGTCCTTCTACTATGTAACAAAATTCGAATGGCCAAACATACAAAATAATAAATATAGATTTTTTTAAAAGACTGTAGTAGTAAAACTAAAAACATGGACAATTATATAACTGGACGCAATCACAAGCGAATAAATGTAACATAAGTTAAGTTTTAAATAGCTTTTACCAAGTAAAAGCACAAGTGATACGTGCGACGTGTTAGTACAGCTGTCTGTGTACTACTCCCTGTCATTCCACTACATCGATCAAAAAAAGTACTAGATACACAATCCCATGCAAAAGTTCTCTTAAAACTGTCACCGATTGTGTTTAGGTCATTATTCTAGTTGAAATAAATATACTGCAATATAAATTCAACCTTAAATGCAATGCTTAAAATTGTTTTTACAAAAAAAAATTAAAAGCGCACTCAAATGTTTAAATGAGCGCTCATTCGGTGAGGACATTTTTTTGTCGCTGATTGTGTATCTAGTATTTTTTCGATAGATGTTCCACTATAATTATATAATTTGTTTTAAAAAGGAAAAGTTGTTTTAAAAGAAAAACATTATTTTTAAAATTAAAATCTTAAATTAAAATCCTTTAAAATTAAATGAAACGAGAAAAAATCATAGTAAAATAACAATTCAAACTTATTTATAGAAAGCCGTTGTATGGCTTAATTATTATATTATGGTCATTGTATAATACAAATGTAACCAAAATGGCGTTTTTATTTAATTTTATCTTAATTTTTAAAATGTATTATTTCTTTGTCCTCAATAATTTATTTATCGAAGGCAGTGATAGCCCAGTGGTAACGCGCTTACTTGGGAAACCGATTGAAGCGGGTTCAAATCTCGGGTCTCGCACCTCTGATATTTTTATGTGCGAATCATTTCTAACATGATCACCACTTGTATTACGGTGAAGGAAAATATCGTGAGGAAACCTGCATGTCGGAAAGAACCTAGCAAGTTTTCGAAAGACATGTGAAGTCCGCCAACCCGCACTTGGCCAGCGTGGTGGAGTATGCCTACCCCTATATTAAAAGGGAGGTCCGTGCCCAGCAGTGGGACGTTAAAAAGGGCTGAATACATACATACAATAATTTATGATTGCCAAAATCTCTGTTTTTTTTTTAATTTATTTAACATAACATGTTAACAAATGCAAAGAATTTGAAAATGTATATAAATACTAACAGTCAAATAAAATAATATATTTGTACTTAATAAAAACATTCGTTTGAGTTTAAAATGTCGGTGTCATATCATAAATGATTTATAATACTTTTATTGATAAAAATTATGAATATAAATTAAAGCATTTTCACTTTTCTTGCTAATGGAGGTAAAAGAAACGTATTGTGAAGGAAATAGAAAACCGTCGTCTAAATGTGTAATTACTGATAACACCATTTATACTAAAGATAGTGAGTACTGAGTAAAATAAAAAAGAATAAAATCATCTTATCGGATTTTTTCGCGGATTTATTTTGAGTTTTGGTTCCCAAAAACCAAAATGGTTGGTTGATTGTTTCATTTTGGTTTTTGGGAACCAAAAATAAAAATAAATTCACGAAAAAATCGAATCGAAGTATTATCAAAAAAATTACAGTAGAAAGGACTTGGAAAAGAAAATGGAGTATGGAGAAATAAAAACATGCAAAATAAATATATAATGAGGTATTTTCAATATAAATGGAGTTATCAAATATAATAGATTTTTTGTAAGCGACGATTAATTAGTCCGTCCAAAAATGTACATATACGATAATTATACTGTACCTACTTAGATGTAAATAAGTTGTAAATATTGTTTAGATGTAAGTTTGTATGAATGATTTTTATTAAAAGAAAAAATTATTTATGTTATTTTATTTATTACACAATATCCTTTTAGTATGTATATAGTAAAGCTTAGGCTCTCTGGGATAACTTATACTTAGAGTATAAAAAATATTAAAAAAATATATATTATGTGAAATTAATGAACCCACTTTTGTAGTTACATAAATTTAGCAAACTAAAAAAGGCAAATAACCTAAATTTTTAGCAATAATATTTAAAGCATTTACATTAAAGCATTTACTGACTACATAAATACAATTCCAAGTAACCATACAGGTACGTTTTTTTAAATAAAAAATATGTGTGTGTGTGTGCAATTCATACGCGGTAGAAGTGAAACTTCAGAAACATAACCTACGAGAGAATGAGATGAATATAGAGTATCAGGAGTAGGATAATTGTAAGGTTTATTTTTTTATAATATTTTTACAAAGTTAAAAAATTATTTTAAATTTTATTTGACATAAATATACATTATATATTATTCATTTATTGTATATATTATTTGTAATTAATTTTATTATTTTTCACTTCCTGTGTAATGTATTGTATCACATTCTCTCGCTAGCTTAATCCTATATATTATGTGTTTGTCTCTTTATTTTGTCACATTTTCGTTTCATCGAGTTTCAAATCACAACGATTCTAAAGAAGTTTCACTACAAAAATTGTAGAGATTCTTTACAAAGAAGTATCTCAGCCCTTTAGGTATAGAATTTTTTTATAATATTTCATTTATTAGAAATACATCAAATAAATAAACACACAATTCATAATTTCATAAATCTTATCTTATGAGCAATTTTTGTATGCGTATATAAATTTATTTCGTGTATTTCAAAAATGGCTGAAACGATTTGCATCAAATTTTGTATTTAGATAGATTTTGCTTTTAAAAATTATCTACATATATATATGTGATTTTTTTTCTTTTTTTAAAGTAATTTTTAAAATCTATTACGAAAAAACAGGATTTTACAAAAAACCACAGGTTGCCCAAATACTATAATAATTAAACGTATAATTTTCTTAAAATTATATATTCATTAGAACTACATCCAAAAAATAATATACAGTTAATAAATAAAATATAAAAAATAATAATAAATTAACGAATATCTATTTACATAATACATTTTAATATACAATACAAAATGGTATAAATTACATTCGCGTGTTAAATAAAAAACATAAAACTATCGTCTATCGCAGCGCCTCCCAATTTTTTTGGCCACGGAATCCTAATTGATTATCATTATTTTTTACGGATCTCCATTTATAATAATAATAATTAAATTGATTGTGTTGTAGTTAGAATACTTTCTTGTTTGACTTGAAAGAACAAATCATGAATGAAAAAAAAATCTAATATTTAATGTAATGAATAAATTTTTTTCACATATTTATTTATAATAGCACTAAAAGATAGGCTTTATATATATCTATAGTCTGACAACGTTTTCTTTAACTCTTGGACGGAACTCGGAACCCCTGTGACCCTTCCACGGAACCCTAGGGTTCCGCGGTCCATCATTTGGGAGCCGCTGACCTATCGGTGCGTGTAGTCGGAGAGGCGCCGCAGCAGGCAGCAGCACGGCATCTCTATGAGCAGCGAGATGCCGAGCGCGACCAACAGCGTCAGTATGACGGAGCCCGCGAAATAACACAACTGGAATTTGAAAATATGTAATAAATAGTAATACTTTCTTAGATTCAACCGAATATTTAACATTTAACACCGGATTTTTTCCCGGATTTATTTAGATTTTTGATTCCTGACGTTTCGAATGCTTTACAGCAATCATGGTCACGTCTTCTTGTTGTCTCTCTCGTGACCATGATTGCTGTAATGCATTCGAAACGCCGGTAATCAAAAATCAAAATAATTCCGCAAAAACGTCCAAAAAGATAGTTTTATTTAAAATAATAAATAGTAAGTCAAATTCTTATTTATTTCACTCGTATCGTGGGTGTATGGGTGAGTATGTGTATTCACTGTAATTGAGTATGTAGTGAGTTAATAATCACGTTCAAAATTATAAATATATATTTATTATATTGACTCTTAACTTATTTTAAAATATCTCCATCATTATATATTACACATTAATAATATATATTAATAATATGACAAATGGACAAGCGGATCAGTAAGCGGTTACGGGACAACTAGGGTCGTGACGTGGTGCTTTTGTTATGTATGTGATATGAATTTATGTCACACTCCCCACGTCTTTTGGCTGTAACTGAGCACTTCTAGACAGAAAAACTCAATACTTTCACTTGGTCCAATATCTCGATCTACATCTACAATCTCTGGATCTACAGCTGTACATGTGCTAGTCATTAGACCACCGACAAAGAAATACCATAAGAACTTACGGTGGGTTCACACGGCATTCTCCTACACGTTTTTTTTGTTTTCAATCTTAAACGTACAATCAGCCGGGTGTTCAGTGTTCACACAGTAGATTTCATTCGTGTAAAAACGAATATCCGCAGTTTTCACACGTTGTCATAGTGAGTAGACGTGATGGATCCACGCTTGGTTGTTCTTTCATATTGGTATCGAAGGCGCCAAGGATTGCTATTCGGTTTAAAAACATATGATATTGTGCCGTGTCAAAGAGACAGAGCTAAATTATGTGCCACTGCAAACCGAAAACGTTAACGTTCATTCGATTTTCTTAACAAGTCCTGTGAGTATTCAGTTAAACGTATAAACGCTGTACGATTTTTTGCAGTACAAAAGACGTGTGAACGGTTCTATATACAATGTATTTGCCACTATGTATTCGTTAAGACGTATACTGCAAAAAAACCGTGCAGGACAATGCCGTGTGAACCCAGCGTTGTTTTACTGCGAGCATGCACTGGCCACTGACCAGACAGAAGGCGCGGCCGCAGAGCGCGGCGTCGGCGGCGAGCAGCGCGGCGCGCGCCGCGCCGGCGCCCAGCAGCGCGCCGTAGCACACGCGGCTCGCGCCCGCCACCGCCGGGCTGCACAGCAGCACGCGCGTGCTGCCTGTCATAATATGGTTGAAATCTATTTTAGATTTATTTTTTACATTTATCCCTTTTCGGTTTTTATTCCCTCATTATTTTGCCCTACTTTTTTGTATGGGACTGATAGAAACAATTTCCAATTCGAAGGGTGTTAATATGTGGTAGGATTTTAGTAATATGTATTGAAAAGTCCCATTATCTATCTTGCGACTCCATTGTCAGATCAGTTTTGTGGTTTTAAACTTATCTATATCAGCTTATATACTTGATCGATAGGCAATTAAATTTTATGCCTACCTATATTATTTTGGTATTTTTTTGACGTTTCAATTAATCCACAACAAATATGATCACGAGTACGACAAAAACGCCCAAAAAATATCAAATTTACGAATACATCTAAAAAAAGTATTAACAACAAAACCTTAATTACGACAGTCTGACTAAACCTTTACGATACAAAACCTTAAAAAATTACATACCAACATGAGGCAACCGCTACAACTCACCAGAATACCTGGTGGCGCAGGCGACGACAGGCCACAGCAGCGCCAGCGGCCACGCGAGCTGCGCCCCGGCGACGGCGGCGCCCGCGCCCACGCCCGCGCCCGCGCGCAGCGCCAGCGACGCGCACAGCGCCAGCGCGGACGCACCCCACAGGCACCGCGACGTCAGCTGCGAGTTACATACACGTCTTTGTCAATGCACTTACAAGTGACAAATACACTCACAAACTTACATATTTATGACAAGCGTTCTCCTGCGGCTCCGCCCGCATAGTACATAATCACCAACATATATACTAAAACCTACTCCGAAACTCGCTGCATCTTACGGTATGAGTACTATTCCGATCGGTTCAGTAGTTATCGCAGTATAACCGAACAAAAAAATCGGCTCTCCATTTATTAGTATAGATTATAATATTAGCTTATGCATTTATAATAGCAGTCCGATTGAGAGTCAATGGCGATGACTGAAGCTTCTATTTCTTTTTTCTTCTTGGTGATACGTGTACATATCATCAACAGCATTTCTATAACGATGTTAGCAATTGTATAAAAATTAAAAAAAATCACGCATATTCCCATTATATTGTATGCCATATATTTGCTTAAATAACTTACTTTAGACACTGAACATTCTCCATCCATGGCATGTAGGAGCCAGCCCGCGAACACTCCGGTGAGGTACGGCGTGACTCGCGACCAGCCGCGGTTTATTAGTACGGAGTACAGCGCGAAGGCGTCAGGTACACTGAAAATACACATGTTCCTATATATTAGTGCATTTTAGTTTAATAATAGTAGCTATTATTTGATGTTTTGCAGACGGTTACAGCGTATAGTTTAGAATATGGTAGCAACTAAGCTATTAAGTATAACCGCTGCTATGTAAAGAAAAATATATTATTTCGAGGTGCTTCTGGTTTTATTTATGCGATACATTAATTTTTGTTTATTATTTTCTGAACGTAAATACAATCTACAATAGAAAGGTTTCATTGCAATCGATCATTTTTACGAGCGCCGATACCGACGAAAATTCAATATAACCTTTAATAATTGCTTCAACAAATTCCATAAAAAAATGTATAATATTATGTATCATTTTACAAATGTTCTAAATATTTTAGGGTAAGTATATCCTGTTCATCGTACTGCAATGTGACCTAAGAAAGATGGCGAGCAGCGGATGTACGCGGGCTGCACAGAACCGGGATGGCTAACGCTCATCGGGGGAGGCATTTGCTCAGCAGTGGACGATGGTCTGATTGATTGATATCCCGTTCTATTCTCAAATATTTCGTCTAAATACTTAAAAACAAGCAAATAAATAATTTTTCAATTGTCAAACTGAGAGTATATTTCAAGAGTAAGTAATAATACTTCCGATAAAAATAAATACTTAAGTTTTAAAGTTCTTTTAAGTTATGGTGAAAATACCGCGGAATTAGATGCTTTTAATTATACTTACCGATATCCGAAATCTGTATATGCAGTAATAACATCATACACAGAAGAGGCCAGCACCAGGACGAGGCCCAGCGCCGCCGGCAGCCGCCGCCGGCCCGCCGCCAGCAGCAGGCAGAGGAAGGCGCCCACCATGTGCAGCTTGGTCTCACACGACAGGTACCAGGATATTTGCATACACTAAAATGTTACAAACTATAATCGTAAATTTTATACTTTACTGATTTATGGAAGATACGTTGATAAAAAGTACGGTATGTGTTCTATTCATATAATTCAAGAATGAACGAAAGTAAAAAATATACAAACATTCACTCAGTAACAAATTGGCACGTTTTTAATATTATTGCAGTTGGCGCCCAACGTGGGCTTCAAATATGATCGCCCCAGTAGTCGAATTCCGACCATAATCCTTTTTCTCGCTACAAAGTTTTAGCATGTTCGTTAATAGCTACTAAATAAAAAAAATCAAATCAATTGACAAACAGAGGAGACAGTATTTAATTTTGTTTGTCTTTGCCTAATTATATATAAAAAATGTCCTCCTGCATCCGCGACACACACACTTCCGCATCTATAACACCAGTCCAATAATCGAACCTGTTCGTCTTTCGGGTACAGGTCGGTGACGTAGAGCAGGTTGCGCCACCAGCGCGCGGCGCAGGCGGCGGCGCGGCCCGGCGGCGCCAGCGCGGCCGTGTCGCGCGACACACGCGACAGCGTCGACGTCAGGAGGATCGCGTACGCGTACGGCGGGAGTAGTCTGGCGACATTTTAGTTTTTATTCGTATTGATATTAAGATGTGTGTATGTATGTATTATGTAAGTATTTAGTATGTGTGTATAAGGAAGTGTGCATGTATGTATGTGTTCAGCCCTATTTAACACCCTCGAGACGAGGCACGAGCCTCCCTTCAGTACGAGGGGAATCAGGCAAGTCCACCACGTTGGCCAAGTGCGGGTTGGCGGACTTCACATGTCTTTTGCAATCTTGCTAGGTTCTCTCAGACATGCAGGTTTCCTCACGATGTTGTCCTTCACCGTTAAAAGAAGTGGTAATCATGTTAGAAATGATTCGCTCATGAAAATATCAGAGGTGCTAGACCCGGGATTTGAACCCGCTTCACTCAGTTTCCCAAGCGAACGCGTTACCTACCACTGAGCTACCACTGCCACAAATAAAATACTGAATTTTATTATTGAAAATTCAATATTACAAAGCGATCCTTAAGCTATTTTTAAAAATTACTCATATCAAGATGAATTGTCGTGAGTAGATTCGATTTAACAATACGCCGAAATTTTTTTATCTACGAAAATTATAAGTAATGTGACTGAGTTTGAGATGAGTTTAGAGAGAGTATAGGTGTAAAACATATTAAAGATTTTTATTTTCAAAATAAAATTTAAACACTATAATAATATTTTCATAGCAAGTAGGTAAGTCGATAAAAAAATGTTAAATAAATATCAATTTTTTCTTAAACCAAATAAATACGATAAAAAATTCCTTTCATACCTGATGGCTCTGTTTATAATAAAGCATATTAGCTGTAGAGCCTGTCCAAACACGCCTCCTTTACTTGCAAGCTCCTCCGTGGAGTCTCCACTTTTTAAGTAGAAAAAATGTTGAGCGCTGAACAAACCACTAAAAATGAATAGAATATAATAAATATAAGTTTTAACAAAATGACATCTTTTTAGAAGAAAACGTAAGCACGAAAGTCAAAATAACCGAAAATATAGGTAAAGATACTTAGAAATTTTTTAATAGATACTAACTTCATTCTTCAAATAAATCCTCTTTGGACTATTTTTCAATCATTACATAATATATATCCATTAACAGGTTAAAATAAAAATATATATTTTTTTAATAATGATAATACATACAAACATACATAAAAATACATAATATATTAAATAACTACCCGACGTCCCAAATCGCAGAAAAAGATAGACATATAAGAAGATTGATATAATTGATGCAGTGCGTTACCTAACGAAAAACAATGTATCGAATGCGAGGCTCCCAGTCGACACAATATAATAAATATAGTTATAATCGTTTATATCACCGCCATTTTCTGTAAAGGAATTGTTTTTGTATAATATCAAAGCAATTGTAATATACCAGAGAAGAGGTATTAGGCAATGTGTTCTATGTCGCTCAATTAAAGTCCTTGTTATGATACATACCTATCTTCACGATATTTATTTTAAAAAATCTAGTTAATCAATGTAATTTTACGATAAATAAATAAATATATTATAGGGACATTAACACACAGAACCATCTAGTTCTACGAGGCCTGTGTTATGGATACCAGGTAATTGATACACTACACATATATAACTGTAAATACATATCCCATCAAAAACATACTGTAAAAATATTGCAAGTCTCGCAACGTATCTCTCTACCGCAAAAAGCTATGAGATATAATGTAAAACCAAGTCGGTTAATTTATTCATTACCTATCTATGGAAGCATCTATCCGACAACTTTGTCATAAATCGTTACCGAATTAGTTAAGTTACAATATTTTGTTAATTAATTAAAAATACCATGACCAAGGTGGACGGACGACTTGGTCAAAGTCGCTGGAGCCCACTGGATGCGGATGGCACAAGACTGGTTGTCGTGGAAATTTTTGGGGAGGCCTATGCCCAGCTGTGGACGTATTTGGGCTGAAATGAACGGAACATAGTACTAGCGGGTCAAATTGATGCATACACTAACAATACATAAATAATGCACTCAGAACGTTAATATTAGGTAAATTTTGTTATTTGTAGGTTCTGTTATCATGTGCGATGGCCAAGTCACTCTATTAATTAAAGAAATAAATATATCTAATATTAATACGGTCACTACAAAATGTTGTAACTTAACTAATTCGGTAACGATTTATGACAAAGTTGTCGGATAGATGCTTCCATAGATAGGTAATGAATAAATTAACCGACTTGGTTTTTGATAGGGTTTGGCACGCAAGTCTACTGAGCAAGCTTCCTGCTTACGGCATCCCCTCCGACTTCTGTAACTGGGTATCCGACTTCTTAAACGAACGGTCGATCAGAGTAGTCGTTGACGGTTGCTCTTCTGATTCAATGACTATCGAAGCCGGAGTTCCACAGGGGTCTGTTCTCTCTGCGACTCTCTTCCTGCTGCACATCAATGACCTGCTTTCATCAGGTATTGTTGCGTATGCAGATGACAGCACAGTCATAGAGAGCTATGTGTCCGGTGCAAGGGACGGAGGGGTAACGATATGCACTTTGAGAGAGGCCATGGTGGAGCGTACAAATGCAACCTTAAGTCTTGTGTCACAATGGGGTGACGACAATCTGGTTGACTTCAACGCCGCCAAAACGCAGGCCTGTTTGTTCTCTGCAAAAAGGAGTCCATTCAGCCTGACTCCTACTTTCCGTGGTGCACATGTGGAAGTATCCGACAGTCTAGAGCTTCTCGGTATAAGGTTGAAGGCAAACCTTAACTTTGGCGATGACATCGAGTCGAAGGCACAGACTGCGGCCAAAAAACTGGGTATCCTAAACAAGGTTAAGCGATACTTCACGCCTGGACAGCTTCTCAATTTATACAAAGCTCAAGTCCGATCATGCATGGAGTATTGCAGTCACCTTTGGGATGGCTCTGCAAAATACCAACTTGCCGCTCTTGACTCGGTGGAACGCAGAGCTAAAAAGCTAATCGGCGACGAAAAGCTTGTGAAAACTAAGCTTCACAGCTTAGCACACCGTCGCCAAGTTGCTTGTCTGTCGGTTTTCTACAGACTGTACTTCGGGGAGTGTGCCCACGAGCTCCAGTCTCATACCGCCATCGCCATTCTTTTATCGGAACACCAGACGTACTGCAGGATACCATCCTTTCTTGGTTGACATTCCGACCACTCGCACTAAGCGCTATTCATCATCTTTTATATTGCGCACAGCCAAGAAATGGAATGCCCTGCCTGCGTCTGTTTTTCCGAGAGCGTACAACTTGAAACTTTTTAAGGTGCGTGTCAACAGGCTTCTCCTGGGCAAACTCGGTACATCATAGACCTTATCTATACATTTAAAGTAAGATGAAGGTCAAGAGTGAGCCTATTTTTAATAAAAAAAAAAAAAACTTGGTTTTACATTATATCTCATAGCTTTTTGCGGTAGAGAGATACGTTGCGAGACTTGCAATATTTTTACAGTATGTTTTTGATGGGATCTCATTTCTTTTTGTAAATATTTCTTCTTTTTCCCTTTTCTTGTACTATTTCTTGTGTGTCAGCTAAGGACTTCTTAAAAGCCCACTCCCTGTCTCTGTGGACTTTTTTCAGAGGCTTTGATATAACAAATTTTGACAAGTCTGGATGATAAAAAATCTAAGTCTATTGTATTCGGAAATTGCGGATTCCTGGGCTTCATTACTACTATCTTATGCATTGAGTATAAATATGTATAGTTAATTTAATGAATATTTTAATTTCATTGTTGACCCTAAATACCTACCCCGGATACTGATATTGATCTTACGTAAGTTTAATAAAACGTGTAGATTTATGTGTCTATCTGCGGCATCGTAGGTAAATCCCGAAGGTTGTTATACTTAATTATTATTGCTTGTTCAGTCAATTTTGATGCAGTTTAATAGAAAAGTGAGGTTGCCAACTCACTTCATTCACTGATTCCATTGGCCATTTTAAAAGTAATTTTCGAAGAGATTGATATTTCATGACCTCTATATTCCATGTTCTATTAGGTGTGTACAGTTGCGAGCAATAAAATGTTAACAAGTTTTCTAATTCAAATCAACATCATACTTTATAAAAGAAAATATACGAGCTTTGTTTCAAAATATGTTGGGACAGTAACACACAGAACCATCTAGTTCCATGGTAAGCTACGAGGCTTGTATTATGGATACTAGATAGTTGATACACTACACATATATAACTTTAAATACATACATATTATAAATATAAATACCCATGACTGGAGTACAACCTTTAGTCATCACACAAATGAATGCCCCCAGCGGGACTCGAACCCGCGACCGCCGGCACAGAAAGTAGGGCCGGGCCACTACAAACTGAGCCAAACGTGTCGTCAAAAATTAAGTAATCGTCAAGTTTTGTCGTAATTAGGTATATATTTTAATAAATTCATTATAAATAACAGGTAATCGAATATTAGTTGGTAATACACTATACACGCTTCACGTTGTATTTATGTACCCATTTGTATATGCATAAAAATGTATACAGCTACTGAAAACGCTTGAAATAATATTTTCACATTTGAATAATATTTTTCTAATGTATACAATAGTTGCAATATCAACATTAATAAATAAATAGACGAATCGTGATTAGGTTAGTAATTACGAGGGAACATAGGATCAAACATACAAACATACATACAGGTTAAACACTAACCTAACCTCCTTTTACATTGCAAGTGACGACAATTATATGTATGAACTGCACAAGTAACTTTGTAATCCCATATATCGCATATCTATTTGTATAGGATTACAAAGTTACTGATGCAGTTTGTTGTATATCTCGAACACAGGCTTAAAATTGCGTGATATTTGAATTTTTCCTTGGGTTATAGAGTATACACGAATTGTGTTCAAAATTTGAAGCTTCTATGTCTGCTAGAAGTACCTTAGAATTTTGATGATCGGTGAGTGAGTGAGTGACGATATTAACGAATTTTGATCTGCAACAGTTCATAAACTACTGGTTCAAATTGAATGTAATTTGGAAATGTACCTACTTTTATTATGTTCTTTTAGTCACTCAAAATTCAAGCTTCTAGCTTTATCCATAACGAAGTTATGGGGGGGTGGAAAATGCTCTGAATCCCTTCGAGAAAAGGATGGTACTGCCGTGCCCTTTTTTGCTCGACTTATTTGCTCGACTTGGCGGGGGCACTGCCGTGCCCCCCGATATATTATAAATATATACACCCCTTACTGGAGTACGAATTTTCGTGCTCATCACACAAATGAATGCCCCCAGCGGTATTCGAACCCACGACCGCTGGCACAATAATTATGGTCGCTACAAACTGAGCCAAGCGTTAAGATTACAATAAGTTTTAGTCAACCAAATATAGCTAATATTTAAATTTTGGTTTAGTTTGTTTAGCACTCATATTTTAAATAAAACTATCTTTTCGCGGATTTTTCAATGCTTTACAGCAATGAGTCTCTCCCATGACCATGATTGCTGTAAAGCATTCGAAACGTCCAGAACTAAAAATTAAAATAAATCCGCGAAAAAATCCGAAATAATAATTTTTACCTAATTCTAAAAATCATAATTGAAAAATAACCATTACTATTTGTTTACAAATTAAAGTCAATTTTTTTTCTATATGTAGGTCTATTTAATTCACAACCAGTAACCAGTAACAATGACCTCCATATATAGGAAAGCGCATAGAACTTGGAGCTCAAGTTACGTCTTTGGACCAACTGGTTGAAACAAAACAGATAAATTTTTATTTTCCCTAATAATTGTTGTATTAATGTAGTCAACTTTATAATATTTGTATTAGTATATATTATATTTTCTACTTCCTACTCACCCTAGCTCCGCTCGGGTTCGTCCCTATTCATGTTTTAACCAGCTATAATTATATCAAATTTCATCAAAATCTGTCCAGTGGTTCACGAAAAAACGCGTGATACGTTTCCAGACAGATAGACAGACAGAAAAAAATTCCAAATACTACAGATTCGGCCTCTGTATCAATATAAAGACTATTTCAATAAAATTTTCTAATAAATATTTAATGTACAGATTCGATTATATGTATATAGATTCAAAGCAGAAACAAAGAAAAAGTCGCATATTACCTGAAAGATCACTAACAAGAACCGCGACGTGAACGAAAATAATCCAGAGCACAGCGAATATCTTCAACACATGCACCATCGCTAGGTCTTTGTTAGCCATTGACGTATTAAATATTCTCAACCAACTATGTTTCAGGGAAAAGCTCAAGAGGAGACTCTTATAAATATTGTTTTTCCTTTTAAACTCCGTCGTTAAACTCGAACTCGAGTTATATTTGGCCCTCGGACAAGGAACGTCGATTTGCAACGGATTTGCGCACTGCTTCTTATATTTCCCACATCTCACACAACTTTTGGCCTCCATCGGTTTTACGTCCAGCGTAATCACTGGAGGCTGGACCTTTTTTGTTATAACTTTTTTGAATTCGTTAAAATCTATTGTGTCATCCAACTTTGTATGTTTAGGTTCTATCGGTTTTATGTTCTTTTCAGATTTGTCAGTGTACTGTTCGAGGTCAAAGCTTATTGATTTCGAGTATCTTTTGAATTTGATCAAATCTAAATCAACTATTGTAGCGATGATGGCTACAATCACGAGGGTTAAAGTGATTAAAATCAGTGAGACAGCTGCTATATCATTTTTAATATTATAAGTCTTTTCAACATGTCTTAGCGAATTTAATTTGATGCTCCTAGAAACTGTACGGTTGGTCCTCAAATTGTCATTGAGCATTATGGAGAAGTTTATTATTGACACAACGTCCTCGCCTGTACAGGAGCGAGGTAGGCATAAGCCGAGTGTTATTTCGTAGGACTAAAAATATATAAAAGATTAAAATAAAAAAGTTCAAAAATAATAATTTTTGGTTTAATATGCCAATGCTTTGTGTATATATATATATATATATATATATATATATATATATATATATATAATATACATATATATATATACATATATTGTATATATATATATATATATTTTCATTCGGACCCAGGTCCATAGTTTAATATATAGTACATATCTAAAAACATTTAAAATTTAATATGAATAATTTATATATATTTATATATATATAATATATAGATATATATCGAATATGATATATATATATATATATAAACTACACGATATATGTATAAAACTCATTCATCATTTGCTAAGCTATATATTTGGAACTACTTAGTCGATCCAAATGAAATTTGGCTAGTTTACTGGTTGGTTATCTGGGCAGTAAAAGAGTCCTAATTACACTTGTCCAACCACATAGGGCTTCATAACTAATTACACAACTAGACAAAAGATATAAAAAGGTCGTAGGTACGAGTACATTCTTAAAGGGCTAAAATTGAATTTTATTAATAAACACAAGTTATAATAAGCTAAAAATATCAAAACTTATATAAAATGAAATTCATTTTGCTAATATTCTTCTAAATCCATAAAACCTACAATAATACAATAAAAAAATAATATTAATAAATACTAAATTATTGTATATATGTTCAATATTGTAATAATTGTATAAAAATAATAATAATAAATATTATTATGATTATTATTATACAAACTAATCACTTTCTCTCAGCAAACATACCTTAGGCATAGTGAACTTAGTGATGTTGAGAGTGATTTGCAAGACGGTGTACGCTAACGAGATGGGCGCGTCATTGTCCGCCGACACCACTCTGCGCATCAAGTCGTCTCGTCGTAACAGCGAGTGCCAATCATCGATATCTATACATATAATAAAATTGTAACTAAGCCGAATCTGTACATTAAGTATTTTTTGGAAACTCTTATTGAAATAAACATTATTATCGATACAAAGGCCGAATATATAGTTTTTAGAATTTTTGTCTGTCTGTCTGTTACCGCATCACAGAAAAACCACTGAAGGGATTTTGATGAAATTTGGTATGGTGATAGCTGGTTATCCGGGTCAACATATAGGATTTTACCGCGAGAAAATATCTCATTTCTGAGAAAAAATACAAAAACTGCAATGTAAAACCTAAGAAATTGGTTTTTAGTCACCTGAACGCGGGCAATGCTGGTTCCATAATAAATTAATGCTAACACAGAAGGAATTAAAAGTACACTCTGTATTCTTTTTACTCTCAAACTCCGACGGGACGATACATCGGACACTACACGATCACGACGACGATACATCTAACTTCCCAACTCTGTTGTTGAGAATATCTTAACGAAAAACTCAGTAATATACTAAACTTGGCCCGACCCGGGACTCGCACCCAGGACCTTAAGATCTGCATACATGCTAGCCACTAGACCACCGAGGCAGTTAAACCAACACTTTAATATAATTAATTCAAAAAAATAATAATTGATTCAATTTAAATGTATAAGCAATACAATAAGTATACATTTAAAAACAAGTTACCAGCCTGGCATTTCCTACTTTCCATGAATAGCTTTAGGAGTGTCGTAATATTAAAAAAACCAATCGTTTTATTATTAGAGTTTAGTCTTTAAGAATCGATTTTCATATAAGGCCACCGATATGCAAATTTATGAGAAGTGATATTAATACAAGCGTTACGTTTTTCTACGCAACGTAGGTACGTACCTCGCGCACCTTTCACTTTGAAATGTCACAATGATTAATCATTTATTTATTTATTAGTTACATTTTAATGTATAGTGTAAATTTCTCAGAGATGAGATATTTTGCCGCAGTAAAAAGTATCCTATATGTTGACCCGGATAATCAGCTATCATTATACCAAATTTCATCAAAATCTATCAAGTGGTTTTCTCGTGATGCGTTCCCAGCAGATACACAGGCAAACAGACAAAAATTTAAAAAGTTTCGGTCTTTGTATCGATAATAAGACTATTTCAATAAGATTTTCCAAAAAATATTTAATATAGAGATTCGACTAAGAATTTTATTATATAGATTTATTTATTTTTAAACGCTTAATAACTAAATTTACATAGTGACACATTTTATTTGTTACAATTTAATTAATTTCTTAGAAATTTACCTTGACGTGTTAACTAGTGCATTGTTAGTTTTAATATGAATTATACTTACTTCCACCAAACTCTCTTTCTTTTCTAAACAAAGTGTTGAGATAGTCGCCACTGTAAAACTCCCCCCATGTTTCATTTACATCTTTTGACATATAATTTTGATCCTAAAAATAATAATACATATAAATGTAAATAACATACATATTCTGCTCAGCGTAAGATTGGATCTAGTTTTACAATTCTTCTTCTTCTCATTCTTCTTTTCCTACGCTACGTAGGACATACATACATCTTAACACACATACCTTTCACACACATGTACTCTTTCACACAGTCCATCCATGCTTTTCAATCTGTTACAGTTGTAAAAAATAATATTTCTAAATAGAATTTACAGCATACAATTTGAATATATTAATGTTTGACGTAATATTCTGATTATATAATTTTTCTAGTGACTAAATATAATTTAAACGGTGCCATACCACATGCCTTCATATTATATTGTAGATAATAAACTTCGATATATAATCAATCAAGATTTTTTATTGCATAAGACTTGAAATATTCATAATAACTGAACTGGTTACATATTTATTAGAAAAAGAGATATTGCGGAAATCTTGTTTCTTAATTTAAATTCGTTATATTAATTACGATAATAAAAATACATAATATTGTATTATGTACCTATATATTGGATGCTGCTGGATTTACACTAGGGGCACTCGGGGCTAGTGCCCAGGGCAGGAAATTTTTTGGGGCGGCAAAATTCGGAGGGTGGGAAAAGATTTTTTCTTCGCGTTATCTTTTATTATTTTCCAAAAAATGAATCACTAAAAAAGTAACTAGTACATTTTTCGAAAAATAATAATAATAATTAAAAAAATTATATACATATTATATACATATTAATATACTTACCAATAAGAGACACTGTTCCTTAGATCCAAGCCAAAACCGTTTCCCGTCAAACAAACCGGATTGGTAGCGCCCAGATGCATCAGCAGCTATAGATGGCCAATATTCAATGAACAATATTTTATATTAGTAAGAACTTGGATTCTATAAGTAAAATATATGTATTTATGTTTAAAATTCACGCATTGCTAGAATCAAAAGTCGATTTTTTTACTGAATGAAAAGCATCTAATAGAAGGTCTAAATCACATCGATACATTTTAATTGTAAATATCAAATTACATATATCAATTGAGATAATCTAAAGAGAAAGCGAGAGTTCTTCCACATAGTCCTATTTAATAGAGAACCTAATGATACCGCTCATTTGCGCTTTAAACTGAAAACTGAGTTACTGCAGATTATACGCCTGCAAGTCCTCGATTACTTATACTTGTAGGTAGAGTTTAACAGATTTATATACCATACGTTGAGCTGCATATTCAAGTGTCCCTAATAAGTGACCCTGTGTCAAGAATCCATGAAAAACATTATTACAAAGGGGACATTCATATACCGTATGAATGTAGGTATTGTCCCAAATGGAAATGGAACCTCGACTTGCATAGTGACAGTTACTGAACCATACCCTTACTAGTATAAACATTAATGTTAGAATTTAGCAATAAAGATGTCTATGTATTTACATTAGATAGCTTTTCATTTCTATGAGATACTATTGATTTACATCTTACGATATGCGCAGTTGGCACCCGCGGGACGTCAGCCATTAAGTCTTTACTCGATACTACTTTTTGCACTTAATTTCATATTAACGACATACTGTACCTGTATGTGCGTAAAGAATCTTTTAACTAATTAGATTTTTTTATATATATATATATTTATTTACTATATTTATTATTTCTTTTCCCTAAATTTTACATACAAGTTAGTTTTTAATATATTATATTTTTAAACATAAATATTGTTAAATGTACGTAGATTTTTTTTTTCATCATGTTATAAAGTCATCGATAAGCGCGCTTTTTTGACATATCACGAATGTATCTCGTGCAATTTAAACTCGATAGTTTAAAACGCGAAATATCAAATAACTAATGAAAACTATTATCTTTTTCCTAATATTAATTATCAAATATACTGTTTTAATTTGCCAATTAAAAATAAATTGTAATGTATTGTAATAAGGGACGCAAATGTCGTTGACAGTGTTTCGTTGCAAATGAAAAGTTTTGCTTTCTGTCACAGTCGCGATATAAACGGCATAAATTGTGATACTAATTATTCATAGTATTGAATATTAATTAAATGAAAATAAAATTTAAAAAAATAAATATTATAATTATTTTTTATACTTCCTTCAACATTCATTACATTCATACTGTAATATTCTTATAGTAGTAATATTTGAGGAAAATGATTTATGAAACAATCAATTCATTTATTACGATTTCTTACATCTACACTACAATTATAAAGAGGAAATATTTACTTATATTTTTGTATGTTTGTAACGATTAAACTCAAAAACTACTGGACCGATTTAGATGAAATTTGGTAAGATAGTTTGAGACCTTGGGAAAGGACATAGGACTCTTTTTTATTCCGGAAATCATCCCTTAAGAAGGTGAAAATGGGATTGAAAGTTTGTATGGGGAATCAACCTAGGGACGATCCCGAGCGAAGCGAGGGTGAGAGAGTATGATTTAGTCATTTATACTGATATAAAAGAACTATATTATTATTTAAATCAAAAATAATGAGCCAAGTATCTACTGCTCTACAAAAAAATTCTTTTGCATAATAATAATGTTATTTTGTTACATACCTCTATAAGCCCAGGCCCGGCCCTCTGACAAATCTTTCAAAAACACACTAACATCATCCCAACAATAGTGTCCAATATTCAAATGCACACCATTTTTAATTTTAGGCCACACGTAAGATAAGAATGAAGGATCAAATATAATAAATAGATTTTCCATAATTTCCCCGCGAGATCGATAATTTTTGGGCATTCTGACAGTTTCCTTTTTCACATCATTTTGGCGGGGATTCACTTTCGCGCAATGCACGTAACAAATAAAAAAAATAAAAAACACTATGATCACTTTCACTTTCATTTTGTCATAATTAATTTAATTGATACTCGATATTATTATTTTTTTAGTTTAGTTTGTTTACAGTGCGTGCGATCACGCTGCGTTCGCAATCAATAATAGCCGCGGTCCTCATGTGGCATGCAGAAAGGCTAATAGCTTCAAAGTCAACGTAAGGAGAGCGTAATTTCTAATGTTAACAACCGTTTTATAATGCATTAATCAGTAATAATTATGCAACAAGCATTACTCTTGTCGGAAAGTCGAGCTAAAATAATTTAGCGTGGGTTCGAGTACTGGCTATTGTTCACTGCCTCGGTGGTGTAGTGGCTAGCACGTACGGCTTTTCTTTAAGTTTTTTCTTTTCTTTTATTACATTAACACGCAGTGCCATCTAGTTCCATGATAAGCTGCGAGGCTTGTGTTATGGATACCAGATAGTTGATACACTACACATATATAACTTTAAATACATACTTATTATAAATATAAACATCCATGACTGGAGTACAAACTTTCTTCATTACACAAATGAATGCCCCCAGCGGGACTCGAATCCGCGACCGCTGGCACAGCAAGTAGGGTCACTACAAACTGAGCCAAACGTGTCCTCAACGGTACGGCTGCACACTCGTAGGTCCTGGGTTCGAGTCCCGGGTCGGGCCATGTTTAGTTATTGAGTCTTTCTGTATATTAAGTCTAGTAACGGGCCGGAGTTGGGAAATTGGCGGTGTTTCACCCCCGTGCCTCGGAGAGCACGTAAAGCCGTCGGTCCTGCGCCTTAACTCTCACTGGTCGCGTCGAGCAGTCGTCCCACCGGAGTATGAGAGTAACAGGAATAGAGAGTGCACCTGTGTCTGCGCGTACACGCGCTGCACTATAATACCTCCTACGCAGTTGGCTAGTCTCAATGAGATAGGCCGCCGTGGCCGGAGTCGGTCGGGAGAACATCATTGTTCACACTTATTTACTTATACACAGAAATTCTGTATATGCAAATTTTATTGCATAATTGCATATTAAATATCAAGTATTTTTAGTACAATTTTCTAACATCCACTAAATTTATAAATGCCATGACATCAATGACGTTAAATACGAAAATAAGCAAAAGTTGATAAGATAATATTTTTAACAATGCCTACTTAGCACTATAAGTACTCCAGCATATCACTTTTGTTTTGTGCGTTACGGTTCAATATTGTACGATGCAGCGGGTGAATATTGATAATACGTGTTGTCTTGACAATATCTTTAATGAGACTAAACAAATAGCATATACCATATTCATTCATTCACAACCTTTATAAAGTATCGAACATTCCGCCCACCAAAGCGTATACAACGATTTACATTTTCATCAACATTTTATTCAATGAATCAACATTTTAACTAGTGGACTGTATATAGATGTTTCCAATGAATTACAAACAACATTGCATAACTGAATCTCTAAATTTCGAAATCTTATACATGTAAAAAGAACATTACAAACTACATTAGCTAAATAAATTACATTATTGAACTGTAGTAGCGAAAATACATTTTTTTTTTTTTTTTAAATAGAACATTAATAAAATATAAATTTATTGTAGTGATTGACATTCGCGTGAACTAAATTCATCATAATAATGCCTTTAGATATTTTAGATTTCAAATTATTAAATCAAGTTAGAATTCATCTTTAGTTAAGTTTGGTCTTTTATTTCTTTAGGAAGAATTATAAGTTTGGATAGAGGTCTCTTCAAAATATTATTGCCTTTACACTGGACGGATACAACGCGAACTAAACTGTCTGATCCTGGGTGCACATCTTTTACACGTCCTAATAACCATTTTGCTGGTGGCAAATCGTCTTCTTTGATAATAACAATGTCTCCGATATTCGGTGACGGTATCTCAGTTTGCCATTTATAGCGTTGCTGCATAGTGTTCAAGTATTCTAACCTCCATTGACGCCAAAAATCTTGTGTCATCCTTTGTATCATCTGCCATCTGCTGAGTAGATTAATGTTCCTCAATTCATAATTTACATCAGGCACAGTGATTAAGGGTTCTCCTATCAGAAAGTGCCCTGGTGTAAGTGGATTTAGCGTTTCGACAGTATCATCAAGTTGACACAATGGACGCGAATTTAAGCATGCTTCTATCTGCGCCAATAGTGTAGCCATCTCTTCATAAGTCAATTTTGTAGATTTGTTCACTCGTACTAAATGTCTCTTAACTGATTGTATGCCTGCCTCCCATAAACCGCCATAATTCGGCATTCTCGGAGGGATAAAGTGCCACGTCGTCCCATCATTGGCCAATAATTCTGCAATTTCCTCTGTGATGTTGGCTTTGCCCTTTTCGAAAAGTATTTTAAGCTCTTTAGCGGCACCGATAAAGTTAGTCCCATTGTCACTCCATAAATGTAGACAAGGTCCTCTCCTAGCAACAAGTGAGATCCGTTACAGCTTCTAAATGAATAGCGCGAGTCGCCATGCAAACAAACAAACAGATATATGCCTTTGTTGCATGGTGACCACGCCCCTTGGATGTCCTAATGTATATAGGACCAGCATAGTCAACGCCCGTGTTTAAAAAGGCTCGATGCTCATTAACTCTTACGAAAGGAAGTTGTCCCATTTTCTGCGTTGAGATTTTTGCTTTGTCGACTATACAAACCTTACACGTTCTTATACATTTTTTAACTTCATTTTTTAAGTTGATAATCCAGTATTTACTTCGAATATATGCCATCATCAACTGAATACCACCATGGAGAGTCTTAATGTGCGCCTCCTTGACTAATAGTTTGGCAACATGAACCTTTGGCGGTATTATAATTGGATGTCTTGATGACTCAGTAATGTTTGCATTTTGCAATCGTCCCCCAACTCTTATCATCTCGTTCTTATCCAAGAAAGGAGAAAGTGTTACAAGGGAACTTCTTTTCTTTACCTTGCCTTCTTTATTAATGTCCTCTATATCCTTTTCGTATGCTTTCCTTTGATAATATTTTATACAATTCTTTAAAATAATTTCCATTTCATCTATCGTCAACCTTTTCTCAATGTTTCTTTTATCCTTTGCATTTAAAAATCTTCTGCAATATGCCAATACTCTTTTCATTTTAGATAAACTAGAAAATCTTTCCCATATCGGTGTTTCTTCTTCAAGTAAATATATGTTAAAATTTTTCTTTTCTAAATCAGTTCCAGGAATTTCAACCTTTGATCGTTCTATATATCTGTGATTTAACCACTCTGGCCCATTCCACCACAACCTTTTATCCTTTAAATCACTAGCCTTAACACCTCTTGTAGCAATGTCTGCAGGATTTTCCTCTGACTTGATGTGACTCCATCTACTATTATCTAAAACTCTTAATATATCAGCCACTCTATTGCCAACAAATGTACGCCAACGATGTGGTTGCGACTGAAGCCATGACAAAACCACCATCGAATCAGTGTAAGCAAAAATCTGTTCAATGGGAATCTTAAGCAAACCAGATATTTCCTCTATAAGCTCAGAAAGTAATGCCGCTGCACACAGCTCAAGTTTTGGTATAGTGAGTTGTTTTAAAGGAGCTACTCTTGTACGAGATGCAAGCAATGTGATGTGGACATTATCTTCTTCGTCAACAACTCTCAGGTAAGTGACTGCAGCGTAAGATGTCACTGAAGCATCTGCGAAGCCATGGATTTGCATTTCTTTAGTGCCACCGCTTGTGTGGAACCATCGTGGTATTTCTATAGTCTTCAATTCAGGTAAGTCATCTCTATAATTCTTCCATTCTTCCACTAATTCAACAGGTAGCTCGTCATCCCACCCAAGGTTGCTAAGCCAGAGTTTTTGAATTAGAATTTTTGCTACGATTACTAAAGGAGATAGCCAGCCAAAGGGGTCGAAGAGACGAGCAACGTCAGAAAGAATGGACCTTTTTGTTATAGGATATGTTAATTCAGGTAAGTTTACTGATACTTTAAATGTATCATCCTTTCTATCCCATGTAAGACCTAGAATCTTAATAACTTTATCTAGTTTAATTTCAAATGTATCTTTTATATTTTTATCCCCTTGTATAAACTGTAACAACTCTTCAGAATTGCTAGACCATTTTTGCATTTTAAATCCTCCCTGTTTTAGTACAGTTTTAATATCATTACATAGCTTCTTAGTTTTTTCTACATTATCACTTCCTGACATGTAATCATCAACATAAAATGACCCTTTTATTTCAGGTACAATATCAGGATATTCATTTGCTTCGTCATCAGCTACTTGGTTTAAGGTTCTTATCGCGAGGTAAGGAGCTGCTGCCGTGCCAAAGGTAACAGTTGTTAAGTCATAACTTTCCAGCTTTTCATCAGGATTATCCCGCCATAGTATTCGTTGTAATTTAGTGTGTTCATCTGTTAGTTTGATCATTCGATACATTTTCTCGATATCACTTATCACGCAAACTTTGTGTATTCGCCACGTTGTAATTAAACTTCGCAGGTCCGGTTGCAGTACGGGTCCCACCATCATGGTATCATTTAAAGAAAATCCTCCAGACCCTTTTGCCGAAGCATCAAATACCACACGAACCTTTGTTGTGTCTTTTTCTTCCCGTATTACAGCGTGATGAGCGAGATATACGGCGGTCATATCATCTGTTGTTTCTGATTTTTTCATGTGTCCTAATTCCTTGTACTCGTGTATAACTTTCTTATATTCTTCTTTAAACTTAGGGTGTTTCTGAAACTTCTTTTCTAATTGTTTAAATCTATGTACTGCTGGATCCTTTGTGTTTCCACACAGCTTTACCGTGTCTTCGATGCTTTGCTTTAAAGGTAAGTGTACAATGTAGTTTCCAGTTTCGTCTCTCTTCGTTGTATTCTTGTAATTCTCTTCACACCGTTCCTCTTCCTTAGTTAGAATCTTTCTTTTTTTGTATAAATTTGTTTCTACTTCCCAAAATCTCTTTAAAAGATTATTGTCTTCCTCGACTTGTCTTAATACATGCAAACTCTTTACATGTTGTGTATTTGAATCACCTAATCGGCCTGATAAAATCCAACCTAATCGTGTATATTGTGCAACTACTTCACCTGGCCCCTTTATCAACCCTACGTCTATTATTTTACCAAATACGTCAGCACCCAGTAAAATGTCTATCCTACCAGATGAGGCAAAAGTTGGATCAGCTAGCTTAATATTACCAAGTTGAGACCAATTGTGATAATTAAGATTTATATTTTTAGAAGGTAGCATACTAGTTAATGATTTAAGAATAAAAGCATTTACCTTTAATGAAAATTGTTCACATCTAGAAATTATTTGTAACTGTGTTGTATGACTTACATTTATTGAGTTGTCACCTACTCCAGAAACAACGCCGCTGATTCTGAATTTTTTCAAACCCAGTAACTCCACTACTCTCGCAGTGACGAACGATGCCTCTGAGCCCTGATCAATGAGCGCCCGGAAGACGTGTGTTTGTCCTTCACTTGTGCTTACGTCTACCAGTGCTGTTGCCAATAATACCATTTGATCAGGTTGTTTATCTCCTAAAATGTGTGTTACAGTTACCCTCGTATCTATCGGTTGTTTTAATTCATCTTTTTGTTTGGTTCTCTCTGAGTCTCTGTGCAATAAGGAGTGATGCCTTTTGCCACATATCTTACACGAAGTCTTGCGTCCACACTTGAACACAAGATGGTTTGGGGCCAAGCAATTAAAACATAAGCTTTTATTTTTGATAAAATCATATCTTTCTCCTATTGATTGATTTATAAAATCTTTACAGTTGAATATATAATGTTCTTGTTTGCAATAACTACAGGAAGGCTGTGCATTCACTGCCTTCGAGTTGATGTAAAAAGTTTTGTGCTCTTGAGGTTTTTCTCGGGTATTATAAGTGGTTGTTGGGTTAACTAATTCAAGTGTCCTAAATTTGGATTCAAGAAAGCGCTTTAACTCATTCCAAGTAGGTAGATCCTCCTTATTCTCCTTATAAACACTCTCCTCCCAATCCTTAAGTGACTCGGCGTCTAATCTTTGTCCAACGAGATATATTAGTATGGGATCCCAATAATCAGTGCAAACCTTCATATTATTAAGGCTATTTATACATTCTGTTGTAGTGTCGAGCAATGACTTTATTTGATTAGCTGATTGAGTAGTTAATTTCTTTTGGCTGAATAATCTTTTCATTAATGAATTTACAATAGCTCGTGTATTACCAAACCGATTAGATAGTAATTCCCAGGCTGGTGTATAATTGTCATCCGTAATAGGTATATGCCTTAATAATCTCTCTGCTTCTCCCGATACACTCGTTTTTAAATAATGTAGCTTTTGAACATTGCTTATATTAGTATTGTGAACAAGTGCCATGAATAAATCTTTATACGTAGGCCAATCTTCATATCTTCCGGAAAATGTAGGTAATTGTATTCTCGGTAGCTTAGCGAACGACCCTTGCCCGCTTAGTAAGGACGCTGACATATTATTTGCCTCGGTCGTCCTTTTCGATTCTAAACTTAAAAGCTGATCCATCATATCTCCTTGTAAACAGAGAAACATTTCCTCACATGTAAAGTATTGTTCATTAAGAAAATATGGCAAAACTCCGCGATGTTCTTGTGGTGTACACTTCAAAAGTTCATTGTGTGTTTGTTTAAACATAGTCCAATAATCTTCAACTGTTTTCAATCTTCCTTTAATATAACCTTCTGTTAACCGTTGTTTAGGGCATTTCTTCATATTAATTTGCGCCTTTTGTATCATGTTGGCTATGTCTTCTAATGTAGTCAAATATTGAGATTGTTGTGGAGTAGGTGGAGCCATTTTGTAAATTGAATAACTTTTAGTTTATTTAACAAACCGCAAACGTAACAAATGTTCACTATTGATTTACATATAATATAATAAATGTTAATTGTTTACTTTTCTTGCAACAACGTATAAAAAGTATTATTTTTAAACAAAAATATTGTTCAACTGGTCTTTTAAATCACACTTAATAAGTTCTATTTTAACCACTAAACAATAACTGTAGTTCAATTATAATATTTAAATCGTCTATAATCAACTTAAACGGTTATGTTTTAACCGTGAATTGCACTAATAACCTTAATTAATGTCCACCACAATGTTTTTTAGCACTTATTCACCAATAATTATAATGTTTTGAGTTAAACGTATGCAACATAACTTCACTGATTTATCGCAAACAAGTTTTTTATACGTAGTCTATTGTATTCAAACGCTCGAGTCACTTCACCGCTTCACCGATCAATCCGGCTCGAAGGACCATATGTTTTGTGCGTTACGGTTCAATATTGTACGATGCAGCGGGTGAATATTGATAATACGTGTTGTCTTGACAATATCTTTAATGAGACTAAACAAATAGCATATACCATATTCATTCATTCACAACCTTTATAAAGTATCGAACAACTTTTAAAACCTCTTAACAATCTACTCAGAAAGTACTAGTCAGTACATACTAAAAAAAGCCTTCTTTCAATAAATTATTTTCACCGCACTTGACCAAAGCTCATATTATGTATTTTTATATAAAAACCTATATATGTATATAAATATGAAATAAAACACCACAAGCAAAGTTAGTTAATTATTTATTAGCTGTCAAAAGACAATAGTTTACAATAATTGATGTACTTAGTAAATACAATTAGCTAGATTTGATGCGATGTCAGTCTGTAGACGCGCACTCACACACACAACACGGAACACACATATACACGAGGTTACATTTGTCGGAGCCGCTTGTTCGGCCGCTGGCCGTCGTTCATGAAGCCTCCTTGCTGTGAAAGAATTAAACGATTATTCATGAATATAAATTATTTTATTGATTATTAACACAAATAACATTAATTACGCATTTAAAAAGCAAGTGTAATAAAAAAAAACATTAAGTGTAAATGAAATTAAAATATCAATTTATAATCTGTACAATTAAAAATATTGAATTAAATACCACAAAATCAATGTCTTAGTGAAAAATTCGATGTAGCAATTATTTAATTATTCACAAACTACTTAAGTGGTCTTGGATAAAGAGTGTGAAATCTATAAATGGCTTGATTATTTTACGGCCATTTACAATTTACCAATAAGAAAAATGTTTACTTTATTATTTACTTTCAACAATTCCGTTAGGAATTTTACAATTTAAAATTTCTTGTTACTAAAACATAATTAGTTGGAACATTTTTACAATTTAACATTTTTACTATCATTTATACACTTCACTGTTTCTGATTTTCCTTTTTTTGTTGAAGTCTAAAGAAATAAGAAATAATATAGGTACTTTTCGTAAATATCAATTGAACTAGATGCGAATACGAAGTTTAAATAGGTATTTAAATTAACTTTTAGTCAGTAAATGTTAGTAGGATAATATGAAATATGAAAGTTCATTAGTTAGTGTTATATTTATATTAAGTTACCTGTGCGACATCTTGACTAATGTTCAACTACAGGTAGCTCTGAAAAGAATGCACAGATATAGCAATGGCAAAGAGTGTTGTTTGTTACTGCATTTCTTTGCACATTTTCTATGCATTCGATTCGTGTAATGAAAATAGAAATGAAAAAATAAAAGCATAATATGCAAAAATGCAAAAAAATACAGTGTAAAAAGCTTAAGATGATCTAAAAAAAGAGATAGGACCTTTTTAATACTAGGTACCAGTAAAAAAAGGTGATAAATAAGTATGAAATCAATAACAATACAAGATTTTCTTATTATTTACAAGGAGACAAAATCACCATACAGATGTAATTTATAATTAAATTATTTTTAAAATTACGATATGAACCATATAAATAACATTACAAATAGTAAATGAGCAAAATTTTTACACATCACTAAACTAAATCATCACAACAAAAAATATATAGATAATTATGATTAATAATAAATATTTACATAATGTATATGTCGCAGGGTAATTGTAAAAACCGTTAAATTATAATTTCACTAGTTAAATTATAATTAATCTGAGTTTCAATTGTCTCCTTTTCTTACAATATTACGGGACAATGTTAGGTATATTATAATTTCCCTACTAGTGACACTAAAATTTCACGGTTTTTACAATTTACCTGTGACATAATAAATATAAGTTATAATCACTAATGTCAAGTTACCGGTCGTCCCATGAATGGCTGTGGCGCGGGCGGCAGGTACGTGTTGACGGGCGCGAAGCCCCCGCGCGGGAAGGCGCCGCCGCGGCCCGCGAAGCCGCGTCCACGACCACCTACGCAGTAACACGTGTATATAAACTTATGCATACAAATAATCATATTATACATGAAACATTACCGTTTTTTTTAATGTCAACAAAGCGTAAAAAAAACACTTATATCTTATATATTTATAAAATGATTATTATCTTTTTGTATGGCCAGTTTGTCTAAAGATACAATCTCAACGATTTTTTTAAAGCGGCTCTATAAAATTAAACACTACGTTTGTTTTATTAAAAGCATGGGCATAGAATATTTTATATTGTACAATTTATAATGTACATAATATTATGTATATTAAACTACATTTATTTAATATTTTCCTTATATCGGCCATAAGCATTCAAATTTAGTACTATTTTCAAGTAAACAAATACTGCCATATATTTTTTACAAACTTACGAGATTTATTTAGTCTCTTGGCCGATTTGACCAAGGCAATGTCAAATAAAGCCAATCACCATCGAGATATCGATATCACAGTAATAACTTACAAGTAAAAATATAAGATATAATTCATTATTTACTCATAGCAGGTAGTGGGAACGTGCTCCCTTGGGAAACTGAGTGAAGGCTGAAGCGGGTTCAAATACCGGGTCTCGAATCTCTGATATTTTCATGTGGTAATCATTTCCAATATGATTACTAAGCTTGTCATACGGTGAAGGAAAACATAGCTAGGAAACTTGCATATCTGTGTGAACTTAGCAAGTTTTCCAAAAAAGTGAAGTCCGCCAACACGCACTTGGCCAACATGGATTATGGGGCTGATCCTCCTTGTATTGAAGGAGCTGCGAGCACCGCGAGCAGTGAGTCGTTAAAATAGGTCTGAATACATATGTAATAATAGGTCTGAATATATATGTATAGTATTTAAGAGTGTATGTACCTCTGAAGTTCCCCCTGGCGTTGAAGGCGCCGCCGCGCGGACGGAAGTTGTTGGCGCGCGCGCCGCCCGCCGCGTTGTTAGTGTTGGCGCTCGCCTGCCGGTTCTGCTGCGCGTGCTGGCGTTTGTTCTGACAAGTTCATATCATTTTAAATACACATTTAGAATAAAATTATTTTATTTATAATTCAAAGTTAGAATTAAATTATTAAAATATTAATAGCAAATACTTTAATTTATATGCACTTACTGACATTGAATTTCATCTTTATTTAGTCCCAACTGGTCATATATATTCAATGTTATCTAGCCCCCAAAGTATGGCTACGAAATATTCAAGAGAATTATTTAAGTTTCCTTTGCAAGAGTTCAATTTTTCATTACTTAAGTTTATTAATAGCTTTTAAATAAAAGTATCTGAAAACTTTACAGCAATCATGGTCACAGGAGAGACTGCTGTAAAGCATTCTAAACGTCAGGAACCTAAAATCAAATTATATCCGTAAAAAAATCCTAAAAGATATTTTTATTTAAAATGTGAAATATTTGAGTAAAATTAAGAAAGTATTATATTAATAACTAGTAACTAGTAATAGAAAGTACCTTATTAGAATTGGCCGAATGCGCCTTCTGTTCGTCCTCATCGCGATACTTAGAGACGGTGACCAGGAAGCCGTTGACGCGCAGCTCCCGGTCGAGCTTCAGCGCCTTTTCCACGGCCTCCTTCTCGTGGAACGTCACCCGTACTGTTAACAAAATAATAAATCCCATTATTAGTGTTATAAATGCGAAAGTTTGGATGGATGTCTCTTACTCAATCACTCCAGAACGACTGAACAGATCTGGTTTAAATTTGGCACAGAGATAAATTATACTCTGGAATAGCATGTTACTTTTTGTCCCAGAAAAATGTACAGTTCCCGTGGAATAGATTTGTTTTTGTTTTAGGGGCATAGCCGACAGAGTGAGGCAAATCCACTAGTCATTTTTAATCTTTTGTCTAAATTTTTCCAATTGTACCTTTGCAAATGACTATAGCAATTAGTGTATTACTAGAGCATTTAGTGCATTTATATATAGCACCCATACAATATATTACTCACAGATCTTAAACTTAGTCTTGCTGAACTCATGCACATGAGCAACTTCTCCACACTGCGAGAACAGTAAGCGGACATAGTCTGAGCTGGCCTCATATGGCACTCCCACTAGGACCGCGGTCTCGGCTCGGGACTCCGCTGCGACGGATATAGCATTGCCGTCGAGGAGCGTACCCTCTTCTGTCAGCGCCTGTTAAAGTATGACATTAGTTGTTGCTCTTTTCTTTTCATATTTGTGTATAAATATATAGTATAAAGTCTATTTATATGCATATTTTAAAGTGTTCTTAATATAGTTAAACTTTAAATATTTATAAGTTTGGTTTTAGCATTAAGTCCAATAATAATAATAAAGATATAGACTTTCACCATATTGCAATATTTAATTTGTTTTAATAATTAATTTTAATTTTATTATATTTAAATTAATATTTTAATGTGCATATGTTGCACAATTTAAACAATTAGGATAAATCACTTTGATTGTACTAAAAGTATATTTTAAAAACATTTTTGGATCTGATCTGACCTGGATCTGGATCACCATCTGACTCACCTTTCCAAAGACATAGATAAAGATGTTGTAAAATAATAGCATTTCAAATTAGTGTAAGTGGTATATAAATGTTTTTGTTAATTTATATTTTTCTAGTAAAATATAAGGTTATTTAGTTAAATAAAATACTGATATTTAAACTAAGTATTTGGAGTTGTAGAAACTAAAAACTCCATCAAAAGTAATTCAATAGATCAACAATTGTTTTTTACGATATATATATTTTAGAGTTAAGAGCAGTAACATCCTTCTCAAAATGTGTTAATAATTTAAAACAATGTTTGTACGACAAATTATTTCATAAACAACCTTGTGCCTAGAGATTTAACTAACAACATTTTCAGTTTTAAGATTATTTTAAAGCTCTTATCATCACAGAGCAATAATTTATCTTATAAGAAACACTGTGAAATTTTATCTTTAAAAAGAATTTATTGAGTGGGTCATAAAAATGTTAAATGAAGAGATTGCAATATTATTTTCAAATAATATTAAAATGCTGTTATTTGTAAAGTCACATGTGCAAAATAGACACCACTAAAGACAGGTTATGGGCTGATCTACTACCACAGTAATAAAAAAAAAATTTTCTCCTTTAAATATAACAAATGTACAATTCCAAAAGATAGAAGATTCCAGTAGCAGACCAGCCATTTGAAACATTCAAATAGTCATTCATACTGTACATTAGGAATTCAAGGTAATTTGGAAAAAATCTAGCCTTACATTAAAATTAATCGTCTTTTCGGTTTTACCCAATAAAGACAGCACATCTATGTTATCTAAATAATAATTTTCAATAATAATATGTTAATAATCGTTTTTGTTACCTTCTCCAGAGAATCTTTGTTTTTGAATTCGACTATAGCCGATAATGTCGGAGATGTGGTCAGTTCAGTAACAATGATTGGACCACGTCTAAAAAGAAAAAAATTTCCCTTATTAATATTCAATTCAAATTGTTTCAGGCAATTTGTGCCACAGAGTTGTTTATTTCAAAATTTGATTTTCAGAACATTAAGAATGTGGTTTAATATTCAGGGACTGATATTTGAATGTTAACAAATATATGTTAATTTTATTTAGTCCGAAATTACTTTGCTCTACTTACTTGACACTGATGATTTCACCATGTTTGGAGAACAGCTCCTTAAGTTTATCTTGGTAGTCAAAAAGATAGCTCGGTGGTAGATTTTCTACAAGCAGTTTACCAGATTCCACTTTTTCTTCCTTTGATTCTTCACCTGCCGCGTTCTCTGCGCCTTCTTGATTTTGATCAGCATCAGCTTGTTCTTCATTGCCTTCTTCCGCTCCAGTCACTTCTTCAGCCTGCTCAGACTCTGGCTGTGCGTCTCCATTATTTTCCTCTACTGCTTCAGCTATTTCCGTCTCAGGAATTTCTGCAGCAGCGGCTTTTGCTTTCGCTGCTTGATTTTTAGCGCCACGGCCTTTCTTCGGAGCCACCATTTTCACTTTAAAACTGAAAAATCACGCATCAATTCACTTAAGTTTTCCATCGCGTCCACCCATTTCCCGCCATATACTTAGATACTTATAGTTTGTGACATATACTTAGTAACGCTTGCCGCCTATTTAGCATCAAGGACAAACTTGTAACCCGCGAAAATAGCGCAAATAAAGTTTTGCCAAAAATACTTTCATGAAAATAAAGCATGCAATTTGTTTTATAAATAATTACGTACATAACGGTAAACCTATCGATACCAATCGAGCGCGCCATGAAGCATGGCGTTCATGGAAAATTCACGAAACCTTATACCACTATAAATGAAGTACTACAACACAAAGTACGTTTCAATCACATACACTAATGATTATAAAATATTACATACCTATGTCAATTATATTATCCTTTTTAATAAATAACTTTGATTTTGCACAAAAACGACGCCACTTTATAAGTTAAAATAACACGCACCCGGCATCACGCAAGCGCATCCGCCATTAATTTAATAATGTTGCCACTTGCCAGTAGGTTAACCAGTTGCCACTTGCCACTAGTCAATAGTCATTTTATCAATTACTCATTAATATGGAGGGTACAAATAAGAAGGACCAACTCAGTGTATTAAGTGTCCATTGAACACAAGATTTCATAGAAAAACCACTAGAGGGAATTTGATGAAATTTGTTATGGTGATATAACTCGCGTCATCTAAAAAGAACGCTGTAAGAAAGGGGAGAGGGGTATGTTTGCGCATGGGTATATTCGCGCACAAAAGTACTAAGCCTATTATTTTATTTTTCATAGCATTGCGCTCTCGGCTTCATATATTAGTTATTGGTAGGGACATTGAAAAATATATTACATAGAGTATCATTAAATAGAATTCTATTGCAATATAAGAGTATACTGATATGTAAAGCCTAAGAACTTGGTTTTTGGTAATCTGAACGTGAGCTGAGCCGCGGGCAATGCTAGTTTTATAATATGTATGGATATTATTTTTATATTATGGTTGTCTATAAATTTCATTTTTGGTAGAGTTTTTTCTCTATTCGGAAAAAATAATTGATACATCCATATTCCATACTCATATTATAAATGTGAAAGTTTTTGAGGATAGATGGATGTTTGTACTTGTACTTGTTACTCTTTCACACCAGAACGGCCAAACGGATCTGAATGAAATTTGGCACAGAGATACATTATAGTCTGGAATAACACATAGGTTACTTTTTATCCTGGAAATATGTATGACTTCCGTGGGATAGATTTGTTTGTGTATTTCTAGAGGCGAACTCGAGCGAAGCGAGGGTGAGCTGCTAGTATTATATAATGTTTAAAGTTACTTGTCCAGATTGATCTATACATATAATAAAAATGTAACGGATCGCTGTCTGTACATGGAAGATATATGAGAAAAAATACCATTGGGACCTTTATCAATTAGATGTTGTTTTCAGTTTTCACTAAAATATTGTGTTAAAGCTTCACTTAACATATACATTAGTGTTTGTTTCATATCAATCGGTTCATAAATAAAAAAGAACATTTATTATACTATTTATATCTATCTATTCTTACTCTGTTCAGTAGCATTGACTGAAACTTTACTAAACTTTATAATAATGAATCGTCTATACAAAATTATGATTATATAATAATAATATTTTTATCCCAGAAAATGTACGGCTCTCGTAGGATAGGTTGGTTTTGTTTTCCTAGAGGTGAGCCCGAGCGAAGCGAGGGTGAGCCGCTAGTTTATAATAATAATAGTTTCTTTTATTCCGATTTGTTTTATCTTTAATAATTGTTAATTTAATTAATCATAATTCATCATTTTTATTTTTTATCATTTCTTCATTAATGCATCAACAATATGTTTAATGTCAAATATTTAATCTTCAATAGTTTTTTCAACATTTTTTTATATATTTTCAGTTTTTTTTATATTAAAGTAAGAGTATCAGTAAAGTAAGAGTAAAAATTTTGGATTGAGTTTGACACTTGACAGTTTATTAAAAATATAACCTAAGTTTTTATAAAACTAAACAAGCGCATGTTGTTAGTTATTACTTTATTGTGAAGAACTTTAGTACTTATTTATGTAATTATCTAAGATATTTTCTAACTGAAATGAAGTCCAAATCAATTGAATTGCAAAGAGAATCTTCTGAAAAGACAAATCAAAATAAAACATATGACTTTGTGAACTTTTATAAACCATGTAACGTTAAGTTAATAGAGAAAAGAAAATCAGATGATAGTAGCAGCAAAGAAAATGAAAATTTACTTAAAACAAAAGAGGTTGTTAAAAGAGAACATTCACCAAATAAAAAAAAGAAAAAGTTTAAAAATGATAATTGTAATGTGGAGGAAGGCTGCGAGCCCCATGGTTCAAAAAATTCAAATGATCCTAATATAACTTCTACTCCAAATGCTCATGGAAAAAAAGATATAAATGCAAATGTAAAATCAATAATGAAAATCACATCTGTAGCAGATAATTCTTTTGATATATCAACAATTAGTACACCCAATACTAAACCAAAAAAAAGAAATAAGTCAGTGAGCTTCCTGCTTGAGGAATCTAAAGATGTTATTGTAAAAAGGTCCAAATCAGAACAATCTGTTTCAGATAATAGTAAATCACAGTTAAAATCTACCATAAAAAATAAAAAACAAAAAAAGAAAGTCCTCGATGGAAATGAAAGTCAAGGTATTGCTAACCTCTCCGACATTGATATTGATAACTCTGATAGAAATGAAACGAATTCTTTAAAAATAAAAAATAAAGCAACATCAAAAACCTCTGAAGAAATAAACATTGAGTTAACTGAAAAAGAGACTAAAAGAGAGAAAAAGAGATACAAGAAGCAGAAAAAATCAGTTGCAGCTGAAATTACAACTGATATGGAAAATGATAATAAACCGAATGTTGAAGGTCAAATTAAAGTTAAAAAGCTAAAAAAGAATAAACTTCAATCCAGCCAGTCTACACAAGCTGAAAGTATAGAATCTGATGATAAATCAGATTCTAAATCTAGTAAAAAAGAACTAAAACCAGAAGTTATTGCTCAAGATTTGCAGAATCTGAACATTGGTGACAATCCACATACATTAACAAATCTTCTTGATGAAATGGCAGTTGTAGATAAAAATAAAAAGAAAAAGGATAAAAAGAAATTTAAAAAAAGTAGTCCCAAAAATGGTGTTAATTCGTCTAATAATAATAATAAATCTAAAACAGGAACTACTAATGAAGAACAAGAGTCTAATGAAGAGAAGGAAAAGGTAAAATGGATGAAACGAAAGTGGAACAAGGATAAGAAAGGAGCTGTTAATGATGAAAAACTGTTGACATCTATTATTGTTGAAAATCTGCCCCTCAAAATTATGTGCAACTACAAAAAGCTATTAACAGATCACTTTGTTAAATTTGGGATAATAAAACAAGTAGGGTAGGTGCCCATATATTCATAATTTTAAATCATTATATTATTTTTTTCAAAAAGAGTTATTGTGAATAAGTCTTTGCTCGTTACTTTATTATTTTCCTATAAAAAAAATCATTAAAATTTTGTGTTAATATATCTAAACAAAATAATGTTTGTAAGGGTAATCTCATTAACGTTTCAGAGTGGCAGAGTTATACTCTATTGAAGATCCTGAAGTGTTCACTACTACAATTAATTTTTACAGTGAAGATGCTGCAAAAAAGGTATATTTTAGAATTTACCAATTAAATTTGCAAAATATTTATGTGTAACATACCTTAATGTAATTTTTTCAACAAATCAGGAGTATAAGTATTAATAATTATAAAAACAATAATACTCGTAAAATATTATCCACAATTTGAAACTGTAATTCATCTATAAGTTAAAACTTTCTAAAAAAGTCTGTCCTAATTAAGCAACATATTTTAGAAAAAAGTTCATTCATTTTAAATGTTTTGAATTATGATTACAATGTATAAACCAATGAGATGACCTGTCATTGAAACTTATAAGGAAAACAGCTAAACATATACATACATCTTTCAGTCATTAGAAGAAGACAACACACTATTTGAAGGCAATCGCATTCGCATTAAGAGACCAATGCCTCCAACACAAACTACACTAGTGGTCCGGTCGTATTCTGATTTATCTGAACCAGCACTAAGCTCAGTATTCACAAGTGCAGGAAAAATAAGGAATGTAAGACGCTTAGTTAAAGGAAAGAAATCTATGTGTAAGTATTATAATTAATCATTTTAATGGTTTATGTTATTTAAAATAATTATTGACCAAACTTTTTTTAACCTATTCCATTTTTAATCATTTTAAAGTGTTAACTTAAATAGTGTTTGAAAAAAAGTTTTTTCAAATTATATATAAAAATAGCCCAGTAACATGCTTGCTTGGGAAACAGAGTGAGGTGGGTTCAAATCCCGGTTCTCGCACCGCTGATATTTTCATGAATACCAGTTGCGTTACTAGTAAAGAACCTAGCAAGTTTTTGAAAGACATGTGAGTACCGTCAACTCGCACTTAACTGGCATGGTGGACTATGGCCTGGCTCTCGTATTAAAGGGAGGCCCATGGCCAGTAGTGAGATGTTAAAAAATGCTGAATAAATTTAAATAATAATTTATTGATCAGGAAAATAAAATGCAATTTAAAATATAAACATGGATATTATTTACTTTCTACATGTAACTCAAATGATCTTAATTTTGAATTTCAGCGACTGCATTTGTAGAATTTGATGGCCCAGAAGCTGTGAAACGGGCGATTAAAATGGCTGAAGATGTAAAAATTGGTGGTAAAAAGATTTTCGTCGCTAAGTTTGAAATACGTAATAAAAGTAAAAAGCAGAAAAAGGAAAGTGAAAATGAAGAAAACACTGAGGATTCAGAGGAATAATTCTTGATTTTGTTTGTTTTAATTGTTTTTTTTTGTTCATTTTAATCATTAATTATAGCTCAACTTCATTACCTACCATTTTTTAATGTCGCCTACATTCTAAATAGTGGACAAATACAAAATGAGCCACTCCCGTGTATTTTTATGAGCATTTAAATGTTTTTACCGAAAGAAATAGTTGTTAAATTAAAAATCAATGGTTATAATTTTGTAAAAATATAGAAATACAATTTAATATGTGTAGTTTTAATACCGAATGTAATATATTATGTAATATTTAACTAATAATAGTAAGATTATCTATACAGAAAAAAATGATGTGTCTGTATGTCAAAATAACAGCTTTTTACTAAATTTATATTAAATTGTTTACGGTACTTACACGTAAAACACATTCTTTTTGTCCGTCGGTCTGTTTATTACGGCTAATCTCCGAAACGGTTGACAAATTTTGACGAGACCTTCACTGGCAGATTTAATTTTAGAAAAATAATTACGAGTTCCGCTCAAAAAAAAAACGTAACTAAGGACGCACCCAAGCAAAGCGAAGGTAAATCGCTAGTATTTAATAAAATGAAATAATAAATCTTTCATTTTCTAAACAAAAATAATAAAAAAACATGTTTCCGCCCGGGATCGAACCGGGGGCCTTCTGCGTGTTAGGCAGATGTGATAACCGCTACACCACGGAAACGTTGAAGTATAAAGTGAACATTTGAAACACATCCGTCCAATAAACGGTTATGTAATTTTTAAGTGCTTCTTTATAACTTATTCATGACTATTTGATTTTTAAGATTTCTGTTAGAAATAAAATATATTGCTTCACTTATGTTCGTATTTAATCAAGTCGTAACCATCAAGCGTCACTTTCTTATACTTTGGAAGCCAAACTGTGAATTAAGCCATTAAAGCATAGAGAAATATTACATACTAGCGGCTCACCCTCGCTTCGCTCGGGTTCACCTCTAGAAAAGCATAAACAGATCTATCCCACGGGAACCGTTCATTTTCCCGGGATGTAAAGTAACCTATTGTTTGACCGGCAATATAAGGTATCGGCATGCCAAATTTTACTAAATTAGGTGCGTAAGTTTTTGTGTACTAAGCTGTATAAGTTGTTATAGTTTTTTAACTATCCCACGGGAACTCTATAATTTTCCGGAATGAAAAGTATCTACGATGTAGTCCGGGGATATAAGGTACCACAATGCAAAATTTCATTTACATCGGTCCAATAGATTCGGAGATTAGCCCGTACAAACAGAAAAACAGACAAACAACTCGCTCGGGTTCGTCCATACCTACGAATATGTTGTATTATCTCTTTAACCATTTGTCCAAATTATATGCAGTAAAAGGGAAAAGTCTTTTGTTTTAAACATTTTAGACGATAAATTTACTTATTTTGATAAGAATTCATAATTGTTGATAATATGACCAATAAACATGACCTACCGATTTAAATTATTTTTTTAATATAAAATACTACTTTTTGTGACTTAAATATAAAAGTTAGACATATGCTGTCGCTGACTTTTTTGTAGGCATTATTAAGCTCTACAACTTTTCTCTAGAACATAATCATATATCTCTCATCGTTAAGGCAGCGTTCGTAAGAAACGTTTTCGTTCGACCGTTTTTTCTCCGACTTACTTTGCAAATCCGACTTCCACGAAAAAGCCTTTTCATTTTTCGGGTTAATATATAGCCTATGACCCTCAGAAAGAACGTGGCTTTCTATTGGTAAAAGAATTTTGAAAATCGGTTCAGTAGATCCAGAGATTACCCCCTACAACATCACAAACTCACAAACCCACAAACTCACAAACTCACAAGATCACAAACTTTACCTCTTTATAATATTAGTATAGATTATGGAACATTAAAGTTAGCCGACACCTGCGTAGGAAAAATAATATAGATAGTCCATATAAAAAAATTTTTTTTAGGAATCGTACTTGCGATCTTCTGCGCAATAACTATTGCTCTATAAAGATCATAAATTAATATATATGATATCAATCTATACGAATACTATAAAGAGGCAGAGTTTGTTTGAATGCGCTAATCTCAGGAACTACTTATTCGCTTCTTTTGCATTAGATTTAAAATTCTTTTTGCATTAGATAGTCCGTTTATTTATATAACATCATATAATATAATCTATCTATTCCATACCAACCTTTACAACGGACGAGTTCTGACGAGGACTGAGTTGCTAGTTACTTATATGGCTTGACCTGGGACTCGAACCTTGAACCTTCAAACTAGCCGTACATACATTCATTTCAATAAAAGTTTTTACTAAAACAAACAGGTGCACCAATAAAAAAAATATCAAATTGAAACAATAATTTATTGTGTTCCTTACAATATTGATTCTCAAATGTTATACACAGGTCCTTACGACATAAAGCTACTTACATAAACTATTTACACGATACGATAATAATAAATTACATTGCAATGACCATCGCCTTTATACAAATAATACTTTATACCAGCGCAAATACTATACAAATTTGATCATTACCTACTATAATGATTATCACGTTTGAGACTTTTTTTAAATTTCGAAGCAATTTCTTAAATCTAGTTGAAGTATCGCAGTACTACCGACATATCAGTGTCCTGGGCGACGAAACCCTCATGTTTTACTGTTTTAGCAAACGAAATTGTTTATCTCACAATATAATATGTATTCTAAATAGTGATTATTTAGAGAGAAATAATTTGAGAATAATATTTTGATACCAAAATAGCTCAAATGCCCATACGGACACCGCACGCCATGTCGTCGCATTATCAAAACAAATCACACCGTTTTTTTTATAACTATTGTTCTGTATTTTATGCTTTAAGATATTGCATATTCAAAGGCACTAATCGAGTAACACAATTCCGATCGACCCTTATCGATAAAGGAAAATTAAAATGGCGACGTTCAAACGCTTCGCCTTCAAGCGTCTGATAAGCCCATATTTACACTTACAAACTATCATATCAAACAAGTTCCACTAAACCGAATTATTCTTGATATAAGGCTTCGTTTCGTGACTTTTACACTAGACCGACGCAGGTTCGAAATTATGAAATTAATATATACATAGAAATAATTCGGAACTTTCATTGTTGCAAGTCGGCTAATAAAAGTGCACAGTATGGGGATGAGGGTATGGGTGAGGATTAGGGTGTGGATAAGTGAGGTGTAATGACATACAATATAATACAAGTTGAGATCGCGTACTCGCAACGTAGTACAGTTCGTGCGCCTACAGCTAGGCGTGTCGCTGGTTAGGCACGGGGATGCTGCAAATAACATTTTTTTAATTTATTATTATAATTCATTATTCAAATAAGATTTAATTTTAAGAAAACTAAATACCACTTGAATGTTATTATATTGTTAGATTTCCATTTAAAGTTATCTAATAAAAAAATGTATAGATATTCATTAAAATTTCATAAGACTCAATAAGGTTTGATTTTACATATTGCATAAAAAATGACTCGTCAATTTTCTAATTGCTGCTAATAATGTTCGAGTTCATTTTAAAATCCTACGGAAAAGAGTACTTTCAGTTTTTCCAGTAATTCCCAACTTGTGGGCCACTTTTCCTATTCCCACCCTTAAAAACCGAACTATTACGAACATTTAATCAAATCGGTCTAGCCATTCTAAATTATTTGATTAATTTTGAACTACATTTAGAGACAATCCAATACCAACCCGTAAAAAGCCGGAAAGTTAGTGTCCGTATTGAATTGAAAGTTGACTGGTGTTTTGGGTGAAGCGCAGCTGTAGCTCAGGTAGTCGTCCGAGGCGTGCAGCTGTCTGTTTAGACTTGGCTCTGAAGCACTTCTGGTGATCTTGGGCATGGCCCTTAGCATAGATTCTAAAGATGCTAGTATTTGTCTGAACAGAGGTCTTTGTTCTCTGTCGAACTTAATGCAGTCCTCGAAGAGGCGTTTGAGGGATTGTGGTGCATCTTGGCGGAGACGTCGCACATCGGGCCGGAGCAGGCCGCGTCCCACCATCCAAAGTATCTGGGGATTGAATTGTTTAATGTTAGTTAAAATCTAAACTTGTATGGATTAAACAACATTCTTTATTAAAGTTATAAACTTTTGGTATTTAAAATATTTATAGAAAACTAGCAGTACCCGCTTCTTCGCCTACGTCAAAATTTCCGATCGCTAACAAAATTCATAGGATCACCTGCTGGGCTAATCTGAAGATTACCTAAAAATTTCATCAAAATCGCTCCAGTTGTTTTGGAGGCCATAGGAAGCATACATACACACATATATGTTTATTTTATTAACAATTTAAATTTATTTATTGCTCGGAAAAGGAGTCTTAAAAAATTTAGTGACACACCGACTGCAGCGCCACCTACCGGGTCCATTTGCATTTTCAGACCTTGCAGGGACCCACTCAAACATACACATAAAAAACGTCCCTGCTGTTTAGGAGAAGATCAGTGACATACTAACAGCAGCGTTCAATTGTGTTTTCAAACCCCCATTGAAATATACACGCAAAATTTCATCTAAATCGGTCCAGTCCTTTAGGAGGAGTAGGTTAACAAAGACACGTACAGAAGAGTTATACATATGGAGATGATGCAAAAATTGAACTTATGAAGGTTTGAAAATGTACCAATATTGGTACGACTAAACCACATTTGACCAGCGTGGTGGATTTTGGCCTGATGCCCCTCATATTGAAGGGAGGCCCGTGCCCAGTAGTGAGACGTTAAAAACAATCCATATAATGTAGGATATAATGTAGGACAGTGTATATATAACAAGTGTACCTGATCCTTGTTGTTGAGGTGGTTGTAGGGCAGCTCGCCGGCCATGAGCTCGAAGAGCACGATGCCGTACGCGTACACGTCGGAGCGGAAGGTGTAGGGCACGGGCTCGTCCATGCGGATGACCTCGGGCGCCATCCACAGGATAGAACCCGTGGGCTGCTGCCACTGCACGCCGCCCAGCGTCGACGAGTCTATGGTAGACGGCGTCATTATCACTTTTATTTCTTATTTATTTATTTCATGGGTATTAATTTTCTAAAACAAAAGTATCTTAAGTTACACTTCTTATAATATCAGCTATCTGCCAGTGAAATTTCCGCCATAGCCGGTCCAGCCGTTTCGAAGATTAGCCAGAACAAACAAAATTTTTTTATTATTATATTGTTTCTTATAAATAAATACAGCACATTCGTTCAAATGCATGTAGTAGATAGCTTTTATTTTGATATTACAAACAGACACTTCAATTTTATTTATAATTGCGGAGACCCACTGGCTAGAAAATCCAATACTACCCACTAAATATGAATTACCTGACCACCGCACTTTGGCCGTGGCGAGACCGAAATCTCCAATTTTAACCGACCAGTCGTCTCTTAGAAATATGTTGTTTGATTTCAGGTCCCTGAAACAGATACAAAAAGCATGCTTAAAGCATCATAAATTGAACCTTATATATAATGCTTAAATTTGTTTTCACAAAAAAAATATTAAAAGCGCGCTCAAATGTTCAAATGAGCGCACATTCGGCGAGGTCATTTTTTGTCGCTGATTGTGTATCTAGTACTTTTTTTATCGATGACTTGAATTTAAAATTATATTATACTCGTAAATATTGCCCCAACACTATAATCTCAAATTTGGTTAAGTACAGTTTTATATACTGTTACAACGAACAACCAAGTAGAACAATATGGCATATAGAAATACTTTTGTTTGTGTGCGTGTATATGCGTGGACGTGCATGTAGGTGTAGTGCGTGTGATCACTGTGTGGGGTACCTGTGTATGATGTTCTTGGCGTGCAGGTAGTCCATGCCCTGCGCGGTCTGGCGCGCCACGTCGATGAGGTAGAGCATGGGCAGCGGCGTCTCCAGCACGTGCAGGTGCTGGTACAGCGAGGAGCCCTCGCACCACTGCGTCACGATGGCCAGCGACGGCTTCGACACGCACCCCATGAACAGCAGGATGTTGCAGTGCCGCGTCTTGCGCAGCACCGCCACCTGCACCACACACACACACATTCAATATTATACTATATTTTAATTTGTTTAGTATTTATTTAAGGTCTACCAGAGTTTTACAATTAATATTAGTACTATCATTAATACGATAGATAGCACTGATAAATTGTAAATCTATATTTAAACACAACATCCTTCAGAAATAGTATTTAACAAAGAAGAAGAAGTAGTATAGAACAGATAGACTATATATACATAGGTATGATGAGTTGCTATGGATTGTATTATAATGTGTTTTCTTGTCACAGTGAGATACTCTTTTGCTGTAAAAAGTAGCCTATGTCACTCTCTATCTACACACAAAAAAATCCAGCCAATCCGTCGCACGTTTTGATGTGAAAGAAGGACAACCGAACAAATGAATAAACACTTCCACATTTATAATATTAGTATGGAAGTATGGCATGCATATAACGTTGCTATAGTTTAATAGATCTTTTTAAGAGGAATAATACATTGTTTTTATAAAGCTATATAGATTTACGCGATCGACACCAATAAAGCTCTCAGTCGGCAGGATTCTTTCCAACATAATATTTAACAATTATCATCATATTTCATCCAATTTAAACAAAACCTTAATGAATTATACACCTAAACCTTCGTCCTAAACATCTTCACGAGATGGTAAAGGTTTTTGATGGCTTAAAAGTAACTACAGGTGGTACCCACAATTATAGAATAATTTGGAAAAAATAGAAAAATTACACTAAAACATTTAACAGTATTTTAAGTGGAACTTCCTTAGTTCTATGTTGAAATTACGTTTTAGGTTTTAAAAACGTTTTGATTGTTTCATTGATCGCAGTGAATCGGCCAAAAAGAGTCTTCCAACCACATCATGGTATTGCATTCATTGACAATTAACTAGGGTAATTACAACATCCTGAATGTGCTTAGGGAAATTATAATATACCTAAAAATGCTTCGTGATATTGTAAGAAAAGGAAATGAGTGACAATACTCCGGGCAATTATAATTTCACTAGTAAAATTATAAATCAACGGATCTTACAATTTCCATACGACATATATACAAATACAAAATTACTTTTTTTTTAAATAATCTAAAAAAAAAAAATTGATATCAGCAATAAAGGCTTTTGTATTTTTTTGCGACATATATTAAACTAAATAATAAAATCATACCTCATTCTTGAACGCCTGCAGCTGCAGCGCGGTGGGCGTCTTGACGTTGAGCGTCTTGACGGCGACGGGCCCGTGCCAGTGCGCTTTGTACACCGTGCCGAAGCTGCCCGACCCTGACACATTGGAATTATTGTTTATTACTACATATATGTAATAACGCTATATAAAGTAAATTCATATCTGCTAATCAAACTCACTTTAAATAAAACTATCTTAGCGGTGAGACTCTCTCCCATGACCATGATTGGCCTGAAATATGAATTGAATCGCGCCACGAACTCCAGTTGTCCCGTAACCGCCTACCGATTTGCTTGTCAATTATCTTCTTAATCTCTCTGCCCATTTCCCAATCACTTGGGGTCGGCGCAGTACATCTTCTGTACTGCTGATAGGATTTGGCAAAAGTTTTACGACCAGCCGCCTGCCTGACATCAACCCTCCTTTGTCGTGGAAGTATTACAAGACTTCATGCACATTCGATTTTGTTTTCTTTTTAAACATTTTTTTATACTATTACCTACTCAAATGTAATTTTCGGATATATTTTGAAATAAATTTTGACCACATTAAATTTCGTTTTGACGTTGTCACTTGTCACTTAGCTATACTTACAAATCATATAATAAAATTCTGAGTAGAATCTGTAGATGAAATATATTTAGTAAAAGCGTACCAATGCGGTTTCCGATGAGTATCTCGTCGGCGTGTATGACCCAGTCGTCGTAGCTTTCGCGCGGCGACAGCGCGTGCTTCCACGACTCGTCAGCCGAGCGCGCGCGCGCCCGCCGCGGCCGCAGCGTGCCCGTGGGCGACGCCTGCGCACACACACACACTTGTATACTAACTAACTCTGTTTGTCTGTCTGTTACCTTAATTGCTTAATTCAATAAACCGATTTAGATTAAATTCGATATGGAGATAGTTTGAAACCCTGGAAAAGATATAGGATAGTTTTATCTCAGAAATCATCCCTGATGACGGTAAAAACGGGGGTGGAAATTAGGAATCAACATTTCTCGAGTAAGGGATATAAAACTCATCATAATTACATAATCTGTATATAAATAGTCTATATTCCACACTAACCGTTAATCTTAAAATTAAGACCACTTGGATAAACACTTATTACCGACTATGTAATCAATGACAAATATCAAATTAATTAACTAATAAATAATATCCTGACTGACTGATGATTGAACAAGCCATGTGAGCAGGATATATATATAGTGCATAAGTACACTCGATTCCTGTCACTCTTATAATCTGGTGTGACCAAACAAATACCAACTATTACTGAGAATTCCTAATAAAGGAAAACTGATTAACTAATTATATGCTTAATCCGATACGAATATTGAATCCAGAACCTCGGGATTGGACCATGTATAACCATAAATGATAGCCACTTGCTAGAGTCTAGACTTTAGACCAACATTTATAATAAACTCACTACACATGTACATAACTAAGAAATATCTTTATAAAATTTTTGTTCAAATGCGAGTCGGATTCGGATGAAGACGCGTACTTTATCCGTCAGTTGTAAAAATGTTTTTTTTTAAGTATGAATAAATAATAAATAAATATCTTGGGACATTATCACACAACACCATCTAGTTCCATGGTAAACTACGAGGCCTGTGTTATGGATACCAGATAGTTGATACACTACACATATATAATTTTAAATACATACACATAAATATAAACACCCATGACTAGAATACAAATATTCGTGCTCATCACACAAATGAATGCCCCCAGCGGGACTCGACCCGCGACCGCTGGCGACAGCTGAGCCCAATGTATTGTCAAATCTATAAATTTGTTTTCTTTACCAAACACTTAAATATATATAAATAAAATAATAATAAAATAAAACAACAAAACCAACATAGCATTACCTGCGTGCTCTGACTCTGCTGCGCGTCGCCCTTGTCCTTCTCGTCCTTGCCGTGGTGGCCCGACGTCAGGTAGTTGCCGGACTGCGGCGAGTTGTTGCACTGTCACACATTACTCATCATTCATTCATTCTACATTTTAAATATATAAGGTTTTTATAAGGATTAGTCTATACTAATTTATACTAATATTATAAAGAGGTATAGTTTGTGAGTTTGTGACGTTGTAGGGGGTAATCTCTGCATCTACTAAACCGATTTAGATGAAATTTGGTAAGAAAATAGTTTGAGACTTTGGGAGGGACATAGGATACTTTTTTTCCCACACCACCCCTTAAGGGGTGAAAATGGAGATGAAAATTTGTATTAGGAAACAAGCTAGGGAACACTTGACCTGACTTTAACACTTTTAATTTCTCTACACCGAAATTATTATTAAATAATTAATTTAAGAAACATTATAGAGTTGACATATCTATATATATAATAAAATTGTAACAAAGTCGAATCTGCACATAAAATATTTTTTGGAAAATCTTATTGAAATAGATATTACTAGCGGCTCACCCTCGCTTCGCTCGGGTTCACCTCTAGAAAAGCACAAACAGATCTATCCCACGGGAACCGTTCATTTTTCCGGGATGAAAAGTGACCTGTTGTTTGACCGGCAATATATGGTATCAGCATGCCAAATTTTACTAAATTAGGTGAATAAGTTGTTGTGTACTAAGCTGTATAAGTTACTATAGTTTTTAACTATCCCACGAAAACTCTTTAATTTTTCGGGATGAAAAGTAGCTGATTTTTTTTTGTCATGTATGAACTATATTATTGTAAAGTTTTATTAAAATCCAATCAGTCGTTTTTGTGTACTAAGTTGTATAAATTGTTATAGTTTTTTAACTATCCCACGGGAACTCTTTAATTTTCCGGGATTAAAAGTATCTAAGATGTTGCACGGGGATATAAGGTACCACCATGCAAAATTTCATTTAAATAGGTCCAATAGATCCAGAGATTAGCCCGTACAAAGAGAAAAACAGATAAACAGCTCGCTCGGGTTCGTCCATACATACGAATATGTTGTATTATCTCTTTAACCATTTGTCCAAATTATATGCAGTAAAAGGGAAAAGTCTTTTGTTTTAAATATTTTAGACGATAAATTTACTTATTTTGATAAGAATTCATAATTGTTGATAATATGACCAATAAATATGACCTACCGATTTAATTTATTTTTGTAATATAAAAAACTACTTTTTGTGACTTAAATATAAAAGTTAGACATATGCTGTCGCTGACTTTTTTGTAGGCATTATTAAGCTCTACAACTTTTCTCTAGAACATAATCATATATCTCTCATCGTTAAGGCAGCGTTCGTAAGAAACGTTTTCGTTCGACCGTTTTTTCTCCGACTTACTTTGCAAATCCGACTACCACGAAAAATCCTTTTCATTTTTCGGGTTAATATATAGCCTATGACACTCAGAAAGAACGCGGCTTTCTATTGGTAAAAGAATTTTGTAAATCGGTTCAGTAGATCCAGAGATTACCCCCTACAACGTCACAAACTCACAAACCCACAAACTCACAAGATCACAAACTTTACCTCTTTATAATATTAGTATAGATTATCAAATACAGAGGCCGAATCTATAGTTTTTAGAATTTTTATCTGTCTGTCTATCTGTCTGTGACCGCATAACGAGAAAACCACTGGACAGATTTTGATGAAAATTTATATGATGATAGCTGGTTATCTGGGTCAACATATAGGATACTTTATACTCCGGGAAAATATCTCATCTTTGAGAAATCTATACTAGCCGTTAAAACGTGACATAACGGGAGGAACCCGAGCGGAGCGAGGGTGAGTCGCTAGTAATTAATAACTTGAAATAATAATCCTCAGATTTACACGACACAGCCAGTGAGAGAGCAGTCTAAGGATCACTGACTGCCCAACTCCAGGCTGTTACTGACAATTTCTTGACAAAAAAACCCCCAAAATATGGCCCTACCTAAGATCGAACCAAGAACCTTCGGATATGCAGCCGTACAAGCCACTACATCTAAATATGCTAGTGCTATCACCTGGTTTTGCTTGCGTTGGTGTTCCGCCAGCGTCATGGGTCTCTGCACCATGTTGATACACACGTTCGGCGCCGAGTTGGACCGGTCCTGCTGGTTCAGGGAACGCGGATGTTGCTGCCTGAAATAATATATCCGTTTGTTATACTAATAATAATAATAATATTAAATTATACCAAAACTGAAATAAAAATGAATCATATCGATATTAATTTATTTTAAATTTTAATTCAGTTTATCAATTTATTAAAATGTTTTCGATTTATACTCAAAGAAGTTACCTTTTAAAATATAGCTCCTGAACAATCCAAACATCAAAAATAATGTTTCTTGTATAATAATAATATACTAAAATAAAAAATGTTAATTTGTGTAATAATATGTCCCGAAATTTTATTAAAACAACAATGAGGAAGTATAACAAAAAATGTACAGTCAACAAAAAAAAGTTTGAATGTTAATGTGATAATAATATTCACCAGTTAACATCAAACTCCTTGATCTTCTTAGCAGGAGAGGCAGACCTGAATATTATGAATTAAATACTACTAAATTATATATGTTTTATAAATAAAAATGTATATAAGAAACATTTTTTTTAATAATTTATGTTCATCGTACCTTGATGGAAAACATGTACATATACAAACACACATACTTATTTCAAGTTGGTATTATTAGATTAAAAAAAATGTAATATATTTCCATAAATAACTGTAATTGTGATTGAAAATAAATTAAAAAAATATATATTATGATATCTTATGATGAAATATAGATTTTTTAATATTATCATGAAACATTTTGTTGATAATACAAAATTTAAACATTTGAAGTATTCATATTTTTACATTCCTCATCAAAAAATACTATAAATTAAAATACTTACTTGTTTTGATGATAGCTGAAATGTGAAGGTAAATATAGTATACCGGCTTGCGTTTCTGGATTCTTCGCTAACAGTGCTGCGTAATATTTATCCGTCATTCGCACCTGAATTAGTTTAATGAGTATTATTTTAGTAAATATAATGAATGAAGTTATACTTATATATTATATACATAATGTAAATAGCTTGCTTCCTAATACAAACTTTCATCTCCATTTTCACCCTCTTAAAGCGTTGTCGTATGATTTCCGGGATAAAAAGTATCCTATATCCTTCCCAGGGTCTCAAACTGTCTTCTTAACAAATTTCATCTAAATCGGTTCAGTAAATCCAGAGATTACCCTCTACACCGTCACAAACTCACAATCTCACAAACTTTACCTCTTTATAATATTAGTATAGATAGATATTTTTGATACTTATATCGTAGTCTGATATAAAAAGCGTAGTGTAGTGAGTGATAGCTCTAAGTGAGACTCTTTCAAGAAAATCTGTTTTTAAGTCGCTAGTGTGCTTATAATTCTTTTGAATTAGATACATAAAAAAATAACAAAAATGCAAAGCCACCAGGCAGGTGCTAACATAAAGTAAATAAAAAGCACACTTCATTCATAAGAATAAAGTAACTGAAAATCACTACCTTAACACAATCTGTAAGTTTTACTGTTGAAATAATATATTGATGTGCCTCCGGAAAACATACAGCATTGTATATGAAGAAGAAGCAGTGTATACTTTGCCATTTATTTACGGTCTGTGGAATATGTCATCTACTTTTCAACTACCCTATACTAAATTTTAAATTGACGGTAGTAGAAAATCCAGCTAGGACACGGCAAAACGTTGTCACTTTGAATATCATAGCGTTGTGTACTTTCGCCGCGTGCGGTCGAAATCCAAAAATATTAGAATAATCCGTTAAATATTTTGAGAAATAATTTTACTAAGTGTTAGCATAACTAATATTACATCAATATCTATCTGTATTTTTGTGTTTGTGCGGGTTCTTATACCGGAAGTGTATCGTAATGAATCGCGCGCCTAGCGAGGTCGATGAAGCCATCGAGGCAAACCGACCTATCGTTTCTAATTCACCGACGATCGAGAGGAAAAGGCAAGAGAGAGAGGACTCTTCCGGTTCCAGCAGTTCGTCAAGCAGCGAACCTGAAGAAGAGGAACCTCCGCGCAAGAAATCAAAACGAGATGCTCAGGTAACGGTCGATCTCCGGATCGACGCGTTATACGAACAGGTCAGTTTCCTTACAAATTTAATTATGCATCAGCAATGTGCGTCATCATCAAATACAAATGTGACCGCGAAAACCACTGACGTGATTGAACAACCTGAACAGAATAATGATGATTTCTTGACCAATCCTTGCTCTATTACACCAAAATCATTAGATTTAGGTTTTTGTAAAACTGATTTTGATGAGAAAAAAAGTTCTTAAACCAGCCGATGAACAACGTTTAAACCAGTTGATAAAATTGCAACATTTTAATTCATCTACGTGGCAACACATTCGGTATAAAAAAGCATTGGCAGACATGCTTGCGTTCCCAGGCTTTTGTAACTTAAAAATTAATGACGAAATATGTTGTTTAAATAAGGGCAAAGATTTCCTGGCCTCAACGGAGGAAATTATGGCTGCAATTACCAATGCTTTACTATACCAAAGGCAATTGCTACAATCAGGTTTACAAGAAATTGTTAATTGGTCTCACAATAATCCTACGGAACTAACCTCTAATAACCTTTTTAATAAAATAAGCGAAATGTTCGGTAATTCGTCGCCATCTTATAAATTATCTGAACAAACATTACAAATCGTCTGCGGGAAACGAGCGGAGTGTATAGAAAACTAGGCGTAAAAGATTAATTAGCGAAATTTCTGATAAAAGTATTCAAGCCGCTCTCGTTAACATACCTCCCAGTGAGGAATTTCTATTCGAGAAGGCACAATTGATGTCGCTGGTGCAATCCCTCGGCGGGCCTCATTATTGGTTATCACCCCCACAAATCTCTAAAAATAGGGACCAAGTAAAAAGGAAATACCATGAATCCATACCATCAAACATCCAAATCTAGGCCACAAGGACAAGATAAAAATTATTTTCAAAATACCTACAAAAAATCAAACACTAAAAAAACGTACAAAGGAAAGACTGATGCTTACAAACAACAAGGAAACCCGTCCTTTCGAAGCAAAAAACAAGAAAATATGACTATCTAATACCATTCAGGGGCGGTCGTCTAAAGACGTTCAAAAACCGTTGGCAGGCACTTGGCGCGAACAAATTTATAATATCGGCAATAACTGGTTTTCGAATACCGTTTTACAAGAAACCTCCTCTAATAATGCCAACAAGGCTTGTTATGAGTCGGTTTGCAACCAAACCGTCGCCGGCCATGACTCAAATAATGCAAGACCTCTTGGATCAAAAAATACTGCAGCCTGTTACAAAAGAAACGCCCAGTTTTATCTCCAAGCTATTTCTGCGGAAGAAAAGCGACGGATCGATGCGACCTATTTTCGATCTACGAGAATTAAACAAATTCGTAAAGATAAAGCATTTTCGCCTTATTTCTCACAGTTCAGTGCCAGATTTTCTCCAACCGGGAGACTGGATGATAAAATTAGACATTTCTCAGGCATACTTTCATGTAGCTGCAGCAAAATCTCACTGCCCATTCCTTCGAATCAGTTACCTAGGTCAGCTGTACGAGATGACCTGTCTACCTTTTGGCCTGGCATCAGCGCCACATCTCTTTTCGTCCATAACATGCTGGGTCGCGGAGACCCTGCGTGCCAAGGGATGTCGTTTGTACTAGTCTACCTAGACGACTACCTTCTGGTCAACCAAGACCAATCCAAGTTATGTCTTCAGGCCTCGGCGGCCGTGAGGCACTTGGAATATCTGGGCTGGAGCCTCAATTACCAAAAATCGATCTTGACTCCGACTCAAGACCTAGAATATCTTGGTATCCGCTGGCAAACCGCCAGGAAACAGAATGTCATTACCAGAAAAAGAGGATACAGAATCTCAAAGCAACCATAGATCGTTCGTTACTAAGAGGCCATATCACGCTTCGCGAACTACAGAGCCTACTGGGACAGCTAAATTTCGCCAGCTTTGTCATACCCCGAGGCAGGTTACATTGTCGGAAAGCACAAATCTTTCTTCGGCATTTCAACAAGAGGCAACCACGACAGAGACAACTAATTCCCGAAACGGTATATCAAGAGATGAGGTGGTGGCTCGGCGCCACACGTCACTCTTCGCTAATACACAAAAAGCCGGTTACTCATTTCCTAGCGACGGACGCTTCGGATCTGGGTTGGGGTGCTCATCTAAATGGGCATCTAATGTTGGGGACGTGGTCTCGTCAGCAACAAAAATGGCACAGCAACAAAAAAGAGCTTTATGCAGTAATGGCAGCGATCAGAACAAACGCTGCAGCGTTAAGCAAATCCCATGTACTCATCCAATCGGACAATCGAACTTTAATTGCGTATATTCGAAAAGAGGGCGGAACGAGATCGTTGACACTACTAAGTTTGACTTACAAACTACTGACCCTAACAGACAAGTTCAAGATAACTCTTTCGGCACATTATCTACCAGGGAGGTACAACACAATTGCAGACAGATTGTCACGAGGGAAAGAGGTTGCGGAATGGCATCTCTTACCACAAGCAACTGGAGAAGTCTTCCGGAAATGGGGTCGACCGGAAATAGATCTCTTTGCTTCACAACGAAGTGCTGTAGTAAAAAACTACGTATCAATAGATTGCAGAGATCGATCAGCAAGTTATATAGACGCCTTCAGCAGACCTTGGCAATACCAACTAGCATGGGTATTCCCTCCACCGAGCCTATTACCCAGAGTCTTGGCACACCTAAACAACGCGACAGGGACTTATTTAATAGTGGCACCGGAGTGGCCTCAAGTCTTCTGGCTTCAAGATCTGAAGTCCAGAGCATTGGATCACCCACACGAAATTCCGAATCTATCGAAAACAATGATCGACATGACAACGTCACAGCCACCTCCACAAGTAGATCTATTAACCTTGAAAGTTTGGAAAATTGGGGGTGGGGTTCCCAAATAAAAGAGTGGTCTACACAAGAGAAGGAGCTGCTAAGAAATAGCTGGCGAAAGTCTACTCTAGCAACATATCTACCTGCCATTAAAAGATGGTTGAAGTGGTGTAACAGTACTCAAGTAAATCCAAAATCACCTAATCCTACTGACATTGCTAAATTCTTAATCTATCTTTTCCTTAACGAAAACTTATCTTATAGCACTATTTTGGTACACAAGTCGGCTGTATTAACTTTCTGTGGGCCTTATGTAGAACAACAAACATTTACAAACTTCATTATAAAACATGCCCTTAAGGCAATTGGGGTAGCTAAACCAAAATCAGTTAGGTCATTTGTTAGTTGGGACCCAAATGTAGTTCTGGAATGGCTTTCAGCTAATTCACCTAAAGATACGCTCTTTGAAATATCGCGTAGAACAGCAACAGTGTTATTGCTAGCTTCTGGACGTAGAGTCCACGATCTTACCTTGTTGCGAATTTCCAAAGACAACTATCTTGATAATGGACAAAACATCTATTTAATACCGGCATTTGGTTCAAAGACTGACAGACATGACTGCCGCCAATCTGCTTGGAAGCTGTCTAATCATCCTGATAAGAACATCTGCCCAGTTAGTTTAGTTAGATGTTTAATAGAGAAAACCAAACATAGAAGGTCGGATGTTAAAGACTTGGACAACCTCTTCATTACAATTAGTAATAAAGTAAAATTTGCTTCCCGTACTGTAATAGGCAACTGGGTGCGCACAGTTCTTAAAGACAGTGGCATTGATGCTTCCCCAGGGAGTTGTAGGTCAGCTGTAGCTTCACTGGGGTGGTTAGATAATCAACCCTTAGATGATATATTAGCACGGGGTAACTGGAAATCTTCCACTACATTTTTTAATCATTACTGTAAAGTAATTAAAGTATCTAAAAATGACCATAATTCCTTTTTCAATACATTCACGTCATTATAAATTTATGATTTAAATTAGTTAATAATAAATAATTAAGAGATTTGCAATAAAAAAGGTGTAACAATTATATACAAGTTAATATTGTTAAACAATAAATAAATAAATATTATAATATATAATATATAATTTACTTTCATATTAAACTTTTATTATTCTCATTTTACTATTCATCATAGCGTTGTGTTTATATACCTACAATGTACATATTTCACCAGCAGATAACAAACACGTCTTCATATACAATGCTGTATGTTTTCCGGAGGCACATCAATATAACGGTTTTACATAATAATAAAACCGATATTATGTGCCGAGAGGGAAAACATACAGCATTGCAGGAAGTCCTTCCTGGTGAAGACTATGATATTCAAAGTGACAACGTTTTGCCGTGTCCTAGCTGGATTTTCTACTACCGTCAATTTAAAATTTAGTATAGGGTAGTTGAAAAGTAGATGACATATTCCACAGACCGTAAATAAATGGCAAAGTATACACTGCTTCTTCTTCATATACAATGCTGTATGTTTTCCCTCTCGGCACATAATATCGGTTTTATTATTATGTAAAACCGTTATATTATGACAATTGTATATCTACAAATAAAATTATAATCAATAAAATTCGAACAACTTGCTCACAAATTTGGTTATAATAAAAAACTTCTGTTAACAATATAAACATATATAACACAAAAGTTGGGACTTTACCACTCTATAAACTAATATCATCCAGGTTTTAGTCCAGCAACCACATGGTTGCCATAATTTAAAAACTGAAACCTAGATAGGTTCTTTAATTAATTTTATTATTATGTATAATCTACTTAATCATCAACATGTTTACCTGATGACATATACTGGGCACTTTATCAGCGCATCTCTGATGGAATTTGAAGTTGCATTGAGAACAATAGAAACCATTGAAGAGCAGTCTCCGACAACATTCACAATAGGCTAAGGTGAAAAAGGTCTTCCTAGTAAACTGATGTGACATGTGCGACATTATTGGCAGCTTGTCTAGAATTCTTACTGTCACCTAGGATATTACAAATGTTATATATTAAACAAAGCAAATTGATAAATAAAATGAAATAAACTTTTATTCAATTTTAGGCTTATTATAAGCACTTTTGAATCTTCAATATAATTTAAAGAGCATCAGTGTAGTCAGTCCATGAGGAAGCTACCACCGGCTCAGAAAACAATTCTGCTGAGAAGAGTTGGTGAAAAACAATTTGGGACAACAATAAATTAAATAGCTTGGAAATTTTAGTCCACTGCCGTGGCATATTTAATAAACTATACTATACATTACCATAGCTTTTTTTAAAGACACAAATATATTTTTTAATTTATATATGGGACAAAAATCTTAAGATTATTCAATATGCACATTACCTTTTATTGACAAATAATAAACATAAACAAGCTGTTTTTATTATTTGTAAATGAAAATAAATAGGATAGTTAATTTTAAATTTAATGTAAACTTCAAAGAATAAAATATTCAATCAAATCAAACAATTATTGTAGATTAATCTTACCTATGATACTAAAACATTTTAATTAAATAAATTAAATAATATATAATAGTAAATATGAATTATTTAAATATTAATTTTAATAAAATGTGTATGTAATATTTATAAATTAACTAATCAATTAATTATTAATTTGTAACTTTCCAAATTTTTATACTATTCCTGAGTGACCGTATGTTAAGGTTATTGAATGTAACAATATGTGTGCATTCTTACCTTAATTGTACAGAAAAAAATTGTTATCACTGACCTCCTCAGCATCGATCGTTGTAATGTCGATGTCCCACGGTATCACTTGATTATTGCCTGTCCTAACCACTTCGCACATTTCACAAGTTAAATTACGCAGCTTCAGCGCCTTCATCAGCGCCTCTCGTAGCGTCACCCCTTCTTTAACTTGCACACTCGTGCGCTGCTGGTTCGGCAAGTGAGCCCTAAGGAACACCTTAGGTTGCCGGGTAAGAGTATCATACTTCTTCGAGTCATCCTGCCAAGAATACTCCTCGCTTCTATCCGGCGAATCACACTGCAACAAGTCGCGCAAAGTCTGTTCTCTAAGTTCTAAATTATGCAACTTCGCAGTCAACTCTTGATATTCCGACAGATATAGAGGCGGAGGATGCTGCAAACAGGCGAACTTAGCATTTAAAGCGTCAATGTTTTCACGGGTCACATTTATAATACTTTGAATGTTCCTAATTTCATATGTCGGATCTGCTACGTCGTCACTGTCTGTAGATGTCGACATATTATCACTGTTGAGAAATAGCGCGGGTATATTTCCATTAATTTTTCTTGAACAATTTTCTTTCTCTCTAGTAACTGCCATTTCTTTTCTTTTTTATTTTTTCTTAATTTTCTCCGCGCACACTCGCGCAGAATAGATAAATGTTATTTGTTGCCATTACACGTAAAAACTAACTTTAACAGCTGAACGTTGATGACAATATTTTTAAAATTAAGATTTTATTTAAAATCATATGTTGAAGGAAATAGTTACGCAAATGATTATGTTTTAACTCTTTATTAAAGTTTAATTTCGCAGAGCATATTTCGATCCTTAGTAGTTAGTGAACTCTTCTAGTATTTTAAAGTAGGTATGTATTTATGAATAAAATTTTAACTGAATTATAAAATCAAAATATTAGTTTTTATTATATTATTTTGATATTATTGTATAAGCAATATTTTAAATTTTTAAGATAATGATTAAAATCATTATTTTAAAGTTTTTTAGAAATGACAACTTTTAGAACATTGACGGTTGACGGGCTGACGCCTGATTCCTGACAGCTGAAGCCGTCGCCTGATGCTAATGTCATCAGAAACGTCAAACCAACGAAGGTTTTGTTTATGTTTTAGAATTTAGACGAATTATTATTTATTATTAAAAAAAATAGTCGACATTTAAATTAATGAATAATTATGTTTTTAATTTAGTCTTCAATGTACCGTTAGTTTATTAAGGAGACTTACCATATGAGAGATATACTATTAGTATTTTACTTTCTTTATAGACATTTTATTGTTTTTATAATACAAACTAAACAACAATAACAGAAATGACTGATACTGATAGTAGTTCTCGTCACGTATCTTATGAGCAAGTAAAACAAATGATCGATTTTATGGGGCAACACGTCGACTTTGCGTCTGGAAGTCTTCGTTCCTTAGAAGCTAGACATACATCTAAAACACTATGGAATGAGCTAACTAAAATATTAAATAACTCGAAATCTGGCACCAAGAAGACTTCTGATGGCTGGAGTAAGGTTTGTTTATTTTACAAGTACTAATAGGTTTTGTATCTGCACAAGAATCATATCATCAATAGGTATCTTTTCTTAAAATATTAAATATATAGTTGAAGGCTCATGTCCACTAATTAGAAATCACTTTTATAATATTATAGTCATTTATTTAGTTGATCATTTGTACATATTTTCTTTCATTTCAATATATTGCAGAAAATTAGGATTATTTCTTATTATCAAATAATATTCCCTCTGTTTAGTATGGGCCTCTTCCATTCTGTTAACTGTAAATTTTCTTTATTAATTGTAGTACTGGAGTGATTTTAAAAACAAACTAAAAAATAAGGTTAATTTGCTCAAAAAACGCAAAAGGGCCAGTTCAACTAAAAAGAACATAAAACCCTTATCAAGACTAGAGAAGAGAACATTAGTCATACTTGGACCACATTTTGAGCGCAAGATATGTAAAAGATCTGTTGACCCATTCAGTGATTTAACTTCTGTGAGTATATTTTTAGCTTTGATTTACATATTAAAAATACTCTAAAAATCTTTTCCTGTTTTGTCTATGTACTATATTACATTTTTAATCTTTAATAGAAAGACTATCCACCAGTGGTTAAATTAGAAGCTTACCAAGAAAATGGGTTTGATTATAATCATATTCAAAGTGATAGCAGTGAAAGACCCTCAGGTAAAGAAACAAATCAAATACATTTTTTTTAATTTCATGGCTGATAACTGAAATCACAAGTAAAATATGTTTTGTAAATAAAGAAAATATATAAGTAATATAAGGTAGTATAACTTTAAGTAAAATAGAATTTGCAATAACTTAAAAATATATTTCTAGATGGTGATAGAGATAGCAACATGAGTGAAGATTCAAATGATGAATTTGAAGATGATTCTGATGGAGATTCTAATCAAAATATCATACAAAGTAAGATATAAAATTAACTGAATATATAAGATTTTAAATCACATTATTCGAATTTCAATAATTGTAAACAAATTGATTCATTTCGTAGGAATAAATATCAAAATACATTCTTTTTGTTTTGTAGGTATTTACCCCAAATGGCTAATAGAAATAGAAAAAAAACGCACAGAAGCCGATTTATCCAGAGCTAAAGCAGAAGAACAGAGAGCTAATATCTCAGCAAAAAATGCAGACGCAGCTCTCACTCAAGCTGAAGCCCTAAAAAAATTAGCCGAGGCAGCTGAAAAACAAGCAGATGCACTAATGAAAATTGCAAACCTTTTAGAGTGCAAAGTTCAAAATACACAACCTATGTGAAATATGCACAACATTTTCACACTGTTCTGATTCTTTTGAAGAATTATTTAAAATTTTATATATGGATATTTTTTGCTACAACAAAAGAATACTTAAAGTATTTACTGTAATAGAGTACATTATGGATTTTTTTACAATTATTAACTGTTAAGATATTATGTAATGTGAATATAGTGACTTTTTAAATATTACACACATAATATGATTATCATAAATACACAAATGATTTCTTTTTAATATATTATATGGTTAGGCTAGTGAAGAGCAAAAAACTCAATTTTTCTTGAAAATATTTAATTATCTATAGAGTATCTTACACTTTAACACACTTGTACTTAAGAATTACACATGAAGAACACCACAATTTTTATGAAATCAAGGCTAGTCATTTAGTTTATTTTAATATAAAACGAACCAATTTGGTTTGAAAAATCTAAAACAAAGTTTTAATTTATTTTTAGTCCTAGTCTTCTGTATAATTTGTTTATCTTTTCCCAACTAGAGCATTTCAAAATCATCCCTCTGAAACAAAAACATTTAGTTGTAAATGGCTATTGATAAATAGATATGGGTATAAACATGTTTTTTTTATTGAAACCAACACTAATTTTGAATATTTAATAGCATAATAAAAGATGGCATAATACTATACTAGTACAAAAACCTCATCCTGTACAATGATTTTGGACTTCCCAAATTTATTTTCTTTTTTAAATTTTGCCTGAATAGAGTATAGACAATAGATATTGCTTACTCAAAATTTGCCAAGTTATTTTATTAAAGCAATGACATTGATTGTGCAAAGCATAGTAAAAATGTAAATTATGGAAAAATATCCTGAAATTATTTTAAATATGTAGAAGCATAAATTTAAAAAATTAACATGACTTACCATTTCATTATATTCCAATACATGTTTCCTTATAGCAGATCCATCTACCCATGTTACAAAATCCTCCAAAGCTCTGGTAACTAGAAATGCAGGATCTTTCACAACTTCTGGACCAACTCTCACATGCCCTTGTTCGATAAACTTAGTTGCCGCTTTGATTGTTTCTGACATTTTCTCTAAAATTAAAAAATAAACAATGTAATGATTCAAATTTTTAAAGAAAGTAATAACTAAGTTATTTTTTTAGGAAATAACATGGTACATACGTCTGACCATAACAACAGGTAGTCTCCTTCTACAAAAGGAACTAGCTGATACATTAGTAGCAAGAGCCAAGTCCCACCTTGTAGGAATAATACCCATTTGATATAATTTTTCTAATAACTGTGCACTTGATTCTGTTCTAAATTCTGTGCTAGCATCTAAATCTTTTATTTTATTAGCTATTTCTCGAATTTCCCTCGATATTTTATTGTATCTGTTAAAATACAAATGGTTAGTTTTGTTTTAGGTGTATTGCTGTGGCCAAAATCAGTCAGATAGATTAATATCAGTCAGTACTGTCAGTTATTAGCACTACTAAAAATGTAAAAGTGTATTTAATTAATGAAAATTATAAGAAATGTAAAAGAATTTGGAGGATATATCTAGATAATATTTGTATTCTGGAATTCAACTGGAAAATAAATAAATTGAAGTATGTACGTAGTTACATGCAGCAACATAGAAGTGTTTGATTAACTGTACATTTTAAATAAACACTAATGAAATAAATGCATAATAGCCTTACTTTGTATAATCTTCACGTTTTTGTATATGGTATTTTTTCATAACCTTTACTTCTTTTAAGTTATTATCGACTTTCCAAGAAATAAAATCTACTTTTTTAAGAAGTTTTTGTTCATGAAATTTTAGTTTTCGCACCATTGTGCAATATATTTAAGTATCGATATAAAAAAAGGAATGAAAAATACTTCAGAACACGTGTATTGTTATTTGTTAGTGATAAATATCAGTAACTATTCTCCTGTATCCTTCCGAATCCCTATTGTATGTTTTGGTTAAAAAATTTAGTAATAATATTGTTTTTATTATATTGTTCAATTCAATAAAAATACAGAATATACTTCTTTAATCTATGTAAACAATAACTGAAAAATCAAAATTTATTCGTTTGTGACACAAAAGAGTAAAGACTGTCAGTGTCAAGTGCACAGAACATATACATATTATTATTTATTATACTCATAACTTTTATTTGTCATCCATGCTCATAACGGAGGTCAAGTGTCAGAAATATAACCGTGAGACACTTCGATCAACAATACTAATTACTAAAATGTTGATCGAAGGTCAGACATCAATTATCGTGACTTTTTTTTCTCCCAAAACTGCCTGACTGCCCATAATACTATGTTATTTCCATAACGTCTTATCAACTTTATATATACTATACTGACTGATATATATTTTATGGTTGATTAGTATCAATAATACGGCTAATATTTATTATTGGCTAATAATTCATATTCCAAAACTTAGAATTGTTTCGCCACAATTTCTATCATGCTAATCTAAAAATACTATCTTTGATGTGAAAATGTATTTTTAGCGCCTTTTATTATATCAGACATCCCTTAAAGCGCATGTTCCTTCGCTTCGTAATTCTTGATGGAACAGGCAACAGGTGTTGCGACTTGCGAGTTCATTGCCTTTAGGCTTCAGTACCGATCAAAACGTCATACATAGGAATTTATTCTACATCATCCAGGATGGGATTATCAGCTTCGTGGCAAAACTCTTCTTTCTTGATTTCAATATATGTTTGCTCGAGAACAGTCTTCGTTTATATCTATGGTGATGAGCGAAGGAGAATATGCTAAATATCGTAATAGTGCATTGCATATGGATTAAGCCTACTGGGCTATGATATTACGATAAAAAAACGCGCTACTTAGTCTACCTCAAAGTGATATGGAAATGAGTTTTTTAGCCAAAACGCTTGTTGAAGTACATGTTGGTGCTCATACGCCAAAACTATTGATTTTACAAAGAAAATTGTTACTACCTTAATTGTAGGAAATTTTATTTAGTTTAATTTTGTATATAAATATTTTTACCGAAAAAATAGTCAGCAATCACAATGGAGATATTGTCAAAAAACGGCCATAAGGCGCCATTTTGCCAATATCACGGCTCGAGTGGCAAAGATACGAGGTGGCCAAATTGAACATCGAAACATCGAAATCTATAAAATCACTAATTTTCAAAACTCCCGGAAAAAAATTTCCAGGTAAAACTGAACCAAAACTGAAAAAAAACAAAACTGCTATACTGGGCTTTGTAGAAGATTAAAGAGTTTTAAAATTCTCTCTTTAAAATTATGTTTAAATAGCCAAGTAATAGTGTAATATGAAGATTTTTATTTTGCCAATTTTGGTCGTCTTGCTTTAGCCCACTTTTTGTCTCTTGGGAACAAATGATATCCATTTTTTTTTGCATTCTGTATCTATACATATATGTAATAAAATTCTGAGTCGAATCTGTACATTAAATATTTTTTTGGAAATTCTTATTAAAATAGACAATATTATCGATACATAGGCCCAATCTAAAGTTTTTAGAATTTTTGTCTGTCTGTCTGTCTGTTACCGCATCACAGAAAAACCACTGGAGGGATTTTGATGAAATTTGATATGGTGATAGTTGATTATCCGTGTCAACATATAGGATACTTTTTATCGCGGGAAAATGTCTCATTTGTGAGAAAAAAATACAAAAACTGTAATGTAAGAATATACTAATATGTAAAACCTAAGAATTTGGTTTTTGGTCATCTGAATGCAAGCGGAGCCGCGGCAATGCTAGTTCTTAATTAAAACTTAAATAAAATGAAATAAAAAACCCATCCACGTCTATAGAGCTTACAAACAACAATATACTGAGAGCTATAGTGATCGCGACATCTGGCCAGAAAAAAGGCAACATTCTTCCCATTAGACAATTCATCCCTAGTTATTTGTATTATTTATGCAGTGTAGGTAACTTAGGGGCATTAATCCCAAATTTAGGGGTTTTTAGGGGGGGAAAATGTTTAGTGGTTTTTAGGGGTTTATAGATTCATTTAAAAACTTGGAAAAATCATATATCTTTAAATATCATTTGCCCATAGTTGTGAATACAATCAACTAAATTAAATTTATGCTTACTCGTGATCGGTGATAATTTTATCATTATTTTTGTTATTAAATTATCCTTTTATTTATTATTTTCTAAGTTTGTTAGGATGAAATTTATTGTTTTTATTAAATGGTCATAAATAATTGTAATTATTATAGAACTAAACATAAATAAGTTTTTTATGCTAGTTGTAATCATTAAAAGAAAAAAATAATATTTAAAATAAAAAAATATTAGATATGAACTTATATTTTTCAATTTGACAGTTATAAGATTTTAGGGGTTTTTGAAATTACACATATGGGGGATAAAATTTCAGTTGTTGGTCACACTCACACTGTATCTATGTCATCCATGGTATCTATGCCTAGTGCTAACAGCTAGACAGTAGACTAGGTCGTTGAGTTTATCAAAATATCAATAATTTTCGGCATTGCTCTAAAAATTTATCTACCTGTTGCATTAAATCAAACAAATTGTGAGATAACTGTAAGCAATTATAATGAGCGGTAACGATAAAAATAATGCTGACAAGTTCTCTCATTACCTTTTATCATCTAAATTAGAGGAGCTAGAGAAATTAACAAGCAATTTGTACGGTGAACTACAAGACTCAAAGAAAGTGATGGCTGAAATATGTACTTTGATGGATAGTATTCCCAAAGAACAAGCTAACAGACCACAACAAAGTAATGGTCTAAGGCATGAAGATATATCGCAATTTCTTGTGGCACCTACTCCGAATTTGTTAATGCCAGATATGTCTCAAAATACTGTTGATTTAGATCTTGACAGCATGATCGCTGAGATGAAACAATACGCGGAAAGTATAAGAAATAATATTGTCCATACTGAGTCTCATCAGGAGCATGCTACAAGGCCAATAGAAACTGTAGACTGGGACCAGTGTGCTATAAGTATGGATAAATTTGGCAAGCGCATAACGAACATAAAGATGGTAAAAAGCACTGGAGGTAATAGAAACATGGAGTTGGAAGCAAAAATGGATGAGTTGTGTAAGGATGTCAATATGTTTACTCAGGTAAATTCAATTTATGCTTTGTATTTAAAAAAAAGTGATCAAAATTCTACTTATTTGTTCTGTTTTATAAATGGTCTTTATTTCTTCTAAAAACAAATCTTTTATTACTTCAATTTTAATTTCTTAGATGGTGCAAGCAAAGACAACACTGAGTGAAAGCAACCAGAACTGGGTTTTAACTGAACAAGATAACAGAGTCTTACTCTATGAAGACTTAATCAATAAGATACTCTTGAGTACTAATGAGCTTTCATATTTACTCAAAAACAAAAATTAAGTTATGATTTTTCTAAAAATCTTTACTACATTACTATGTGTATGCACTTATAAATATTATTATTCTAATTTATATATAGCAATAATTTAATGTTATACAAATAAGTTCAACTTATATTTTGTTTTATATAACCGTTGCATTTCTTTCATTTATACCTATAAAAATTAAGACTACACATTTGGTTAGTTTGTAGTGAGCATACTTACTGTGCCAATGGTCACTGGTTTGAGTCCCACTGGGGCATTCTGTGTGATGAGCACGAATGTTTGTACCCAGTCATGGGTGTTTATATTTATAATATGTATGTATTTAATGTTATAAATATGTTTAGTGTACTAACTATCTGGTATCCGTAATACAAGCCTCATAGCTTACCATGGAACTAGATGGTATGGTGTGTTAATATCCCAACATATTTATTTATTATTTAAATTAGATATGTGTAGCAATTTATAAGAGAGTATTTTGACTTATATAAAGAGGGTATTTTGACTTTATTAGTGTGAAGTAGACATAATTGACTGGCTAAGTTTGAACAAATTTTGGATGGATACTATTCGTATAAAGGAAATTTTAAAAATTTTCAATATGTAATCTCTTAAAGTAGTAGATATTTAAGTTAGGAATACTAATCATAGGGATAAGAGATTTAATTTGTTGGCTTGATACTATGATATCTTCAAAATTAGCTTGTTATGTTACGTTGATCTCAATAATATTAGTTTTGTTCAAATCATTGTTTATAGTTTTAGAAAATATTGTGCATGCATTTTTTTATTTGATGTAAATTATGATTTATTAAATATTAAGCAATGTTTTTGGAAATTTGTTTATATACATACATTTAGCATTAGCTAAGTACCTATAATTTGTTGTTAGGGTGCATTAATTAAAAAATAGTCATTTTGGTTTTGAAAAAATTGTAGATATTATCAGCTTTATGTAGGCAACAAATATTATATAAGTTTAGTCATGTATGAACCAAGAAGTTCATGAATTGTAAACATTTGATGAATAATAAAGTAGACATTTCAGTTTCATGTTATTTTTTATTTTAAAATTATTTAAATAGTAAGGTTCAATGAATAAGGTTATTTATATTAAAATGTAGAATGATTTTATTAGTAATTCACTATTGAAAAGAGCAAATAAAATAAATTATGGAGAAGTATGTAACTTAGGAATGGTAGAAAAAGAATGAAAAATAGGATAATTATTGGAAACATAAACAAAACAAAATTACTTCATGAATTACCTTCGTCTGTCTTAGAATTAACAAGAAATATTTAAAATTGTTAATAATATGAGTCCAGCTCTAAAAAGTTAAGTCACCTTAATAAAGAATGTAAAACGGTCATAACCATTAGTCTTTGTCGGTAAGTCTCATTCTCTTGCTGTCTTTATCGTAGTCAGTATTTTCATTTTGATCATTTTCACTTTTCAATGGCCTCTCATCAGCTTCCAATACCTTCAGTTTTATACCAGTGACAGTTGCCCCATTTAAATGTTTCATTGCTTCCTGAGCAGAACTTGAAGATGCATATTTGACAAACCCAAAAGTTTTGTTAGGTATCGTTGATACATTAATGAGATCTCCAAAGCGACAAAAAACATCCTGTAATGTTGTTATTGGTGGAGGGTGAGGTTTACAGATAATAAATAGCCTTTGAGCAACCCTGCTATTGATATCAACCATAGGCTTTGGTGATGGAAGACTGACACTACAGTACTTGAAATCTTGGGGCTCTTCTATGTCAACCTGATTAGAAGCAGCTTTAATTAAAGATGATGCTTTAGCAATAGCATCTGCCAGCTGCTTTAAATCAGGTGTTCCAGAATCTACTGCAATTTTAAAATTATTTGCAATACTTGATAAATGAGTAGCAGCCATGCTCAAAGGATTCTTATCTGGTCTAACTGAAATTATCTCCCCCGAGGGAAATTCAAAGTTGTTTAACTTAACAATTGCATATTCTGCATATCTTTTTTCTTTGTAAGTTATTAGTGCTTTGGAGATACCACTATATGTATCCAGTGAATATTGAAATTGTACAAGTCCAGGGATAATATTAAAAAGTTGCTCTATACATTTCTGAGGCACCTGGGGTGTACATTTTACAATGATGGAGTTAAAATCTTCAGAGTGACCTGATGCATGAGCATTGAAAGATTCATTTCTATTGAATGCAAATTCTGGTGGGTTATATCTATCATTAAAGTTATTATAAGTATTTTTTGGCACAATCATGTTGTCAGTATCTGAACTATTTCTACTACGTTTTAGAACATCTCTTGGGGTGGCAAATACTGCTCTATATTTTTTATCACATTCTTCATAAGCTTTAGCAGCATCATAGAATGTTTTATATTGAACATATGCAAACCCTTTACAAACATCAGTTACTTTATCCCTTTGTAAGTGAACTGATTCTACATGACCAAAGTTAATAAAATGTTGTCTTATTTCAGACTCTGTTGCATCCTTATGAACTTTAATGAATAATCTTTTGTATCTGTCTTCGTTTTCATTTTGTGTACTTTCATTTTTACCTACTGCTACCATAACTTTCATAGGCTTATTGTCATTACCCGTGACTTTTAAATGTAATTCTTTAATAGCAGCAGCTGCTGATGATGTTTTATTGTATTTAATGTAAGCAACGCCCTTGGATTCCCCTGAATTACGGTCTTTTGGCATATACAAATCCTCTATAGTTCCAAAACATTCAAATCGTGATAGTAAGTCATCTTCTCGTAATTGTTTGTTACAAACAACAAAAAGTCTTGAATGGGGAGATTCTTCTTTTCGCTCTGTACGTGTATAGTTCATGGTATATTCTTCAGGTCAGCACTCTGGTCGTGTATTGGTTCTGTTGCGTCACTGATCTAGTCAATACGGTCAATCGTCACGCTCTTTTCATAGGTATTTTCTTGTTCTTAAAGTCATATAAATAATAAATTAGGTACTGGCATGTAACGTCTTCCTAAAATATGTAATACTTAATTTTATCGTCAACATGTAAAAGAAATCTTAGCGTCGTTTCGACTCATTGAAATACGTTCCACCACAAATTTATTTAAACGGTATTATTAAGTAATCACCTACGTAGACTCTTTCAAAAACAACCAACCACAGATGGAGCAATAATAATCAGTAACCACGGATGATTAATAAAATACCAAGTTACAACCATAGATGAATAAGGTTTAGGTACAACAATTTAATGAAATTATCTAATTTGACGTTGACACTTGACACTAACATTCTAAAATTAAATAATATTTGTTTTTTTTTTTCAATTATTATTTAATGACTTGAATTTCAAGAGATATTGAATAAATAAACTTTTCATTTACGATATTAATCAAGAAGAAACAGTTGCTCGTTTTCTTGCGTTGTCTATTCTCTATTAAATATAGTAGGGCAAAATGTTTTTTTAATATTCTGGTGCATTTTCATTTCTTGACCTTTATATTTAATTTCATGATTGTAAACTTTTGTGACATCACAAGTTGTTATCACAAATAAATTATTGAATGTCACTTATAAATATAAGTAATTTGACACGATATGTTTGTGTTTGTTCGAGTAATCTCAGAAACTACTGTATGGGTTGTTTATGAGTTTTAATCTAGGAAGATTATAAAGCTATAATTTATCGACATTTTGCAAAACTACCGGTATAATGATATTTGTGAATTAAGCCGGAATAAAACATTCCTTTGTAGGGTGTACCCAAGCAGATTATGGAGTGTAAACCACTTGTAACATGGTAAGATAATACGTGTTTTTCAATTACAGCACTAAGCGGCATATTGCTCATCTTCGATTTTTTTTCAACTACAGTAATGCTCCGCACAATCGACCACTTTGAAAAGTACTGCTTTGGGTTGATGCACACAACTCAGTAACAGAAAATATATGAAGTATTTTTTCGCGTTGTTCGTGTTTGTATGGCAAAGTGCGGCATTATGCTCTTTAATTGGAAAATAGGGAATAACTTTTATTTTAAACGCACATAAACAATTTTTTAGTCAAATACTCTGGAGATTCTAAAAAGTCTCTAAATAAAAACAAATTACTTATGAAAAGAGACAAATAGAAATTCTATTAAAGTCAAATATTTTGGCACAATATAGAATTTAAGAGTGGTTGTCTTATTTTAAAACTCTCATGTGTGTTGTCTGTACTGGTACCAACTACAAGTACGTAGTAAATAATACTTAATCTGTGACTACAAGTTCAAGTATTGACGTTCATATTTCATATCAATTTCATTCACCCAATTGTTATTTTTTGTAAACATTAAACAGTAGTTGTATTTATTGTCTTGAATAAGCTTATATTGATATAATGCTTCCTAAAATAATCTGCTCTTTTATTTTATTAAAATATTTAGAGTGGTATTACGTCTCTTAATAAAACATTTTCTTAATATCTTAATTTGTACAGCGCAATATTTTTTTCCGATCAACGTAGGCGGTTCTGAAAATGTTTCATAAAATGGAAAATGTCTTTTCACGACACAAGTTCTATCGAGGCGAGGATTTCGAGGATGAGCTATCCGATTTATTCAATAAAAAGTACCAATTCCGATTTAATACCGAATGGAAGCTTCCTGACCGCGAGTCGTGGTTCTCAGCACCACCGTGGAAAGTAAAAAGTTTAGAGTCGCAGAAAACGAGATTAAATTTTCACAAAAGTCAGTTAAATGATTTCAGTATTGAGGAATGGAGTAGTCATACTCGGCGTCGTAACCCTGCTGGCGAAGTTGGTTGGAAAATTAGATGTCTAGTAAATCCGGAATTTTTGACACAGGCTTGGACAAAGTTCTATGAATGTGCTTGTACATACAATGTTGTGCCAAAAGAGGCAAGTGTGAATAAGAAAATGGTCTCACTCCATCTTTGTGAAGCACCTGGGGCATTTATTACATCTTTAAATCATTATTTAAAATTAAATCACCCAGATATTCAGGTAAATTTCTTGCAAAATATATTTTGATTTCAATAACTAAAGTGTATGCTGTATGAAGAATAAATTTAAATAATATTATTTGCGAAAGTATCTTAATGTATAAGTTAGAGGTAGTGTTAAGTGATTGATTAAAATTGATTTATTTTACATTTTCAGTGGAAGTGGGTAGCAAATACTTTGAATCCGTACTATGAAGGTAACTCTCCATCAAACATGATTAGTGATGACCGTTTCATGTTTCATACTCTGGACAATTGGCACTTTGGTGTGGATAGTACTGGGAATCTCATGGATTGGGACAACTCACAGGCAATAATAGTGAAAGCAAAGAATCTTGGCAAGGTATATTTCATTACGATTTTCTTTTTAATGTTATATTTCTATAATTATTATTAAAACACAATTTTTAGATATTACTGAGCACTATACTGCCCTCCCGAACCTAAAGTGCAGTTTAGACATTTCTTCCATGATTGTTACTAACTAAAGTGCAGTAATATTATGAAAATACTGCTATTTAATCTGTTTTTTTGAACAAAACACTGATATTCCACACTTATAGTAATATAAAATTACCTTTAATTTTGATAAAAATATGTAATTTCTTAAACAAAACTGGACATGCATTTATGACTATGCTATTAAAACTATTCATCAAAACATTGTACATTATAATCTAATAGTGTAAATTGTTTTATATGACTAACAATATAACAATCTATACAAGATGTTGATAATCTTAACTAGTTAATCCACCATAAAACTATATCACATGTATTTCTCATGCATGGATCAATAAAATTTACATAAAATCTTTCTTCTGAACATAACTAATTACTAAATGAATATACTTGTCTTACAAAAATAATAGTCTGAAAAGATTATGGAAGGGAGAACTAAGGAGAATTAACTTATATGGGAAACAGGTTGAAAAAGTGTCCAGTAGTGAGCAGCAAATTATAGCTCAGAAACTCACCGTTAAGCCTAGTTCGCATTAAGCTAGTATTTTAGTCTAGTAGCGAGTAATTTAGTACGTGTCTGAACACTAAAAATTTAGTCGATTAGTTTAGTAATTTTATTCTATTTTGGCGAGTAGCAGCCCCCATCAGAAGACAATTAGTAGCTCCTACTTTATCTTGTCTTTCGATCCATTTTCGTACCCATAGCTTCTTTTTATTAATCACACAAATTTCCTCATCCATCTCTTCTAAAATAGCCGTTACGATCAGCTTAATCAGTTTATTTACTTTATTGCGTTGTAGGCTGTTCATCTTTCAAAACACCACTCACTTGTAAACTGTACTCGACCAAAGTGCGAACGAGTTTTGGTGAGTAGCGAGTAATTTAGCTACTAAATTACTCGCTACTAGACTAAAATACTAGCTTAATGCGAACTAGGCTTTACAGCACTAGCGTAGCAAGTAGATGTGATGTGAAGTTAGTTGTTTTTAACGGAGTGAAGTGTGCTGAATTATTATTACTTGAAAATAATATATAATTATATTGCTGTTTGCCTATGCTAGAACTATTTAGAAAAGTGCGCCACAGCAAAGCGGAAATCTTTCTTTCCTTGTTTAATTCGCCTTCTTACTTTTATGACGTTATGTTTTAAACTAGCGACTCACCCTCGCCTCACTCGGGTTCGTCCCTGGAAAATTTTTTTTTGAGCGGAACTCTAATTCTTTTTTTTAAATAAAAGTAGCCTATATTACTCCCTATAACATCAGTTACCTTCCACTGAAAGTCCGTCAAAAACAGTCCAGCCGTTTCAGAGATTATTCGGAACAAACAGACAGACAAAAAATTTAAAAATTAATTATTCTTATAAGTACCGTATATAATTTCATATGCATTTAGTAAAAAGGTTTATTTTGACATTACAAACAGACACTACAATTTTATTTATCTGTATAGATGTATAGATTCATATACTTGTTTTCTGTGGCGCCACCAATTTAATGCTTGTCAGCGGGCACTTTTTATACGAGAAATAGTTCTCCTTAGTTCTACCCTCCATATCTCTTTGGTACAGACACAGCATGCCTCAAACCGCGATATTGCCTGTCCTGTGTTTTAATATTTTAATAATTTTCCCACAAGTTAATGTGCAGTATGGAATGTTAATACTGCACTTTAATTAGGAATATAAATAAAAAATATTTTTTCTTAACCTTTGCAGTATAATCAATTTGTATAGAGTCGAATAATACTGCATTTTAATAAGTTTTTTCTTGAATCTCCTAGAACAAACTACTATTTTAAGTGCCACAAAATATGATAAAACACTGCAGTTTAGTTAGGAAACAGAGAAAAATCTTGTGCAGTATTAATTGTACTGCGGTTTAGCTGGTAAACATGGAATATTTTAACAGATTTGTGATATTTTTGCTGTTACACCTTCCGAAAAAACATTAAAATAAAATACTTTTATTAGCGCTACAGAAAAAAGAATTAATTTGACTGATAGCTACTAAAATGGGGATTTAGAATATATATTTAACTCAAAACCGACCAAAATGTCTATTACTGCACTTTAGGCTCAGGTGGGCAGTATAGACAATATTCTCAAAATTATTGATACAAATTACTTTAAACCTATATACTTTTAAACTTCCAGGTTATGCTAGTTACTGCAGATGGGTCTATTGATTGTTTGCAAAAACCAGATGCTCAAGAGGAGGTGACATCTCCATTACATTATTGTGAAATTGTTACTGCATTACAATCACTAAGTCCAGGAGGCAACTTAATATTTAAACTTTTCACCACATTTGAGCATTCCACCGTCAGTCTGCTTTATCTCATCAATCATCTTTTCAAAGAGGTTAATATATATAAACCAGTGACTTCAAGACAAGGAAATTCTGAAGTCTATGCTATATGCATTGATTATAAAAACAATATAAACTTAGATGAATATTTACCTATTTTGAAGTCTACCTATGGAACAGATCTTTACTACAAAAAAGCATTATTCCCTATGGAAGCAATCCCTGAGACTTTTCTTAAGCAAGTAGAAGAATGTGCATATTACTTTTGCTCCATACAATGTCAAGTCATAAATAACAATCTACAAGCATATCTTATGCAGAAAAATATTGCATTGCATAGAGATATAAAGAAAATCAGAGCTTCCGTTGCTTCAGAATTCATTTGGAAATATAACTTAAAACCTATTGTATATGAACAAGAGATCCTCAAAGGTATTTTACATGAAGAGAACAAAATTAATACAAATCCACGCTATCATCGTGGTTCATATACAGAGAGGCAGTTGTACTCAAAAATGTCCTCAAAAGAGAAGTTAAGGAATCTGAATGCTTTCTTACAAGCAGAACTATTGTCAAATCCACTAATTTTAATAAATGAGCCTGTGCGGTGGATGGTTAGGGAGGAAAATTTGAAACTTGACATAGTATTTACATATGGCAGGCCACTACTAAAAATAAACAGTTCTAAATTTATTTTTGTTTCTATTTTCAAACTGTACCAACAGATATTGTCTGAGGAGGAGTTCAAAGAGATTATTCTCTTAAAACAATCGGGACAAGTGACTAATATTAATGATCCAGGGAGTGATATCTCCAAAGTTTTGTTACTCCCTGAATACAAATACAAGGACTGCTATAATGTATATGAGAAGAATTGCTTCAAATCATTGCTCAGTATATTACAGGAGATAGAAGTCGGAGAGTCACTTTTATTGAAAAATTTTAATACTTTAACTCATTTTAATGTTAGCACACTCTATATACTTTCTAAGGTGTGTTTTGAGAAGACTGGTTTTGCATCTTGTGGAAGCATAGTTTTAAACAATTTGTTGGATAAATCCCTCTTGAACTATCTAGATGTTATTAATAAAGAATGTGATAATGTCAGAAGTGATAATACAAAGGATGTTCTGAATACTCTTCCAGTACAAGTAACAAATGTTGGTGAATTTTTCAACAACATTGTGTTTTATAATAATACATTTTACAGAAATAAATGTATGGAATACTTGTACACAATAGAGCAGTCCCTTTAAAGTTTAAATAATTCAACTTTAAAATGCATTTATGGTGTCAGTAGAAAGTATTTTTTTAACTAATTTATTCTTGTGAGCTAAACTATGTATTCTCGTTGTTCTATGTCACAGTGTATTACATATTTTCTAAATGTTATGTCAAAATTTTATTTCACATTGTTTTTTCCTTATTTCTGTTGAAAGGTCGTAGGAACTAATGGGTTATGGGCTGATATTTAGACAGGGTATTTCTATAATCTATACATATAATAAACTTGTAACTAAGCCAAATCTGTACATTAAATATTTTTTGGTAAATCTTATTGAAATAAACATTATTATCGATACAGAGGCCGAATCTATAGTTTTAGATTTTTTGTCTGTGACTGCATCATGAAAAAACCACTTTAGGGATTTTGATAGGTATGATGGTAGCTGGTTATCAGGGTCAACATAATATAGGATACATTTTACTGTGGGAACATATGTCATCTTTGAGAAATCTATACTAAACGTTAAAACGTAAGTAGGGACGAACCCGAGCGGAGCGAGGGTGAGTCGCTAGTTAGGTATAAGAATAACAATTATTAAATGATCTTTTTTGAAGTCAAACTAAAAGGAGATAAAATAGGTTGGTAAATTATACATGAAGGACAACTTTTCTATATTTATATTATTGCTCAATTCACGAAACCTGTCGTTGGTACTATAGTTCAGCATAGATGGATAATAAGCGATTCAGTAACTAGTAAGTTAAAGTAAGAAAAGTGGTCGAGCGTAGCCAAGATCACTAGTTACAAAATGTTTTAATTTTCATTTATTACTTTAATTCGTATAAATCCTTATAGTAAAATTGAGAAGCTGTAACCTATTTTTTTAATGTTAGGTAATGTTAGATGTTAGGCCATTAGAACCATCTCATCTGCTCATAGTCGGAAACACTGATCGCGAGATTTAATAAAAAAAAAAAACTGTTAGGTAATGCATTTAGTTTTAGGCTTAGAGTATACACTATTACACTATGACTAAGGTTTTAGGCATAGCACTGGTAGGTATACATATTATGGTCGCTGTGTCTGCAAAAACCGATAAACATTTTTTTTTGCGAAAATGAGTTTTTTACATAATTTAATAGTACTCAGCCAAATATTCCAAAATAACCGATTTTGTGATATGTCTACTAGATCCAAAAATAGCAAAATGCCCTATGTATTTTTTTTTCAAAAATGGATGTAAAAAAACGATATGTGCTTATAAGCACATAGAGTATTTTGTAATATGCTGAAAGTTACACTTTTTGCGCCTTTTGCAGCACATAGCTGGTTTTACATTAGACACAATACAATGTGTTTGACGATATAAGTTTATAATTTTGACGACACGTTTGGCTCAGTTTGTAGTTGCCCTACTTTCTGTGCCGGCGGTCGCGGGTTCGAGTCCCGCTGGGGGCATTCATTTGTGTGATGACGAAGGTTTGTACTCCAGTCATGGGTGTTTATATTTATAATATGTATGTATTTAAAGTTATATATGTGTTGTGTATCAACTATCTAGTATCCATAGCACAAGCCTCGTAGCTTATCATGGAACTAGATGGTGCTGTGTGTTACTGTCCCAACATATAATAATAATATAATAATTCATTTTTGTTTATTCGAACTTAATTAGTACTAGAGTAAAGCTTCCTATCAAAAACATAACATCTAAAAAAAATGCAAATCTCGCAGTTCTTCTACCGCAAAAAGTTGTGAGATCTATTGTAAAACGTCGGTTAATTTATTAGTAGGTACCTGTATGTGGAAGTATCTATCGAACAACTTTGTCATAAATTGTTACCTAATTAGTTAAATAAAAACATTTTATAGAGACCGTATCAATATTACACATCTTTATTTTTTTAATTAATAGAATAACTTAGCCATTTCAACTCAAATCAATATTAGCCTTAATGCTTGCCTTCGCCACGCTGCGTCGAATCATAAGTACAATATAGATATATTATTAAAGGAGACATCATCTGTGACTTACTGTACAATATATCTATTATTTACCTACCTATCCGTTATTTATGCAGTTTTGTTGCATATCTAGAAAACGGGACTGAAATTATGGGGTGTTTTAGTTTATATTTGCTTTATAGGCTAAATTCTAATTGAGTTCAAAATTTGAAGCTCATGTTTCTACTAAAAGTACCTTAGAAACATGATGATCGGCGAGTGAATGACGAAATTAAAGAACTTTGACCTGCAATAGTTATAAACTGCAGGTTTAAATTTAATGTAACTTGGGAATGTACCTAGTTATTTTATGTTCTCTTACTAGTCACTAAAAATTTAGGCTTCTAGCTTTATCCACAACGAAGATACACAGGGAGGTCGAAAATGTTCTGAATGGCGGCGAGAAAAGGATGGTTCGGCTGTGCCCTTTTTTGCTCGACATGACGGGGGCACTACTGTGTGTGTGTGAGATAAGGTTCTAATTATTTAAACTTTAATAAGAACTGCATAATTACACAGTTTCAACACAAAGAATGTAAAACTTTGCATTCATTAATTAATTATGATATTATCTACGAGTATACTAATATTATGAAGAGGTAAAATTTATCAGTTTGTGAATTGTGAGTTTGTGACGTTGTAGAGGGTAATCTCTGGATCTACGAAACCGTTTTAGATGAAATTTGGTAAGAAGATAGTTTGAGACCCTGGAAAGGACATAGGATACTTTTTATCCCGGAAATCATCCCTTAAGGGAGTAAAAATGGGGAAGAAAGTTTGTTTGGGGAAGCAAGTTAGGGACGAACCCGAGCGAAGCGAGGGTGAGTCGCTAGTCATCTATAAAAGTAAACGAATTAAATAGGTATTGAATTTTAGCTTTAATGTTTATATACAAATTATAAGTCTTGTAAAAACATGAATATACAAAATATTATAGCAAAATATTGAAGATAAATTAAAGACGTTCCATGACATTCGCGCTAACTTTCGCCTAAAGATGTTTAATGTAACATTTATATAATACTTAAATATTTTTGGTCATATTTTCATAGCAAGCCAAGAAAACCTATATAATTGGACCTGTAGATGTTGGGAATGCTAATAAAAAACATAAAAGTAAAGAAATTTTACAAGAAACAACACATAGACGTAATTGTGGTATTGCTTGCCTAAGGAAGATGGCACTTAAATAAGGGTGTCTACTATGTAGAGATTTCTTTTTAGCTTACTACTGCGAGATAGGTCTCACCAGCCAGATTTTGCTCATATCATCTGTTGGAATATATAACGTAAGTTAAGAGTGTACACTGTCTACTGTGTTCTAAAATCAATTGTTCTATCTCGAGATTCTCTTTAACTCAACTTTTTTCTTTACTACTAGGGTCAACCCTACAAGACGGACCTATTATAAAGACGGAGAAACTTATTATACTACGATATTCTGAATCTTGGAATTTACTTCCACAGCGGCGCCACAGAATTAATTTACAGTATCCTATTCCTAACTTATATTTACAATAAAATACAAAAACAATTGACACAAGCAAATTCAACCCCTCGCGATGTTAAAAACATTTATGCACCATTATTATTCTGCATTTTACGTAGGCTTTAATTTTAATGTCGTCGATCCTGCTCCAGATCTCTCACAGGTCGTGTCGAATTGCCGTGCTACCGGCGTATGAGAGTGAAAAGAATAGAGTGTGCACTTGTATCTTTTATCAGATATGGAAATGATTCGCACATAAAAATATCAGAGGTTCCACCCGGAATTCGAACTCGCTTCAGTCGATCTCCCAAGCGAGCACGTTACCACTGGGCTACTACTGCCTCCATATCATAATGCGATTTGAACATTATTTTTCAATATTTTGTGAAGAATGAGAACTTTCACAGACAAGTCAAGATTAAGTTTTCGTAAAATGCTAAAGTAAAAAATTAAAATAGCCTAATGAGGTACCTTGATTATGTGATGATACTGTAGTTGACTGAGCGATAAATTATAGGTAGTATTTGTCTTAATAAATACAGAAATTTTTTAAGTTTAAGTTTTTACTTTAATAAAAATTATTTTGCCTAGTATAAGGTTTTTAATTTAATCTTAAAAACAATCTATACTTCTATATAAAATAGAAGAGTTTGTTTTTTTAACACACTAATCTGTGATAGTACCGGTTCAATTTGAAAATTTTTATGTTTGTTTTTATAGCTTACTAGCAAAACCCGCGGCTTCGCGCGCGTTAAAACTACAAAGAAATCTCTTAAAAGGTAGAGTCATACAAACTTCCATCCACTATTTCACCCCCTTATTGGATGAATTTCGAAAAATGTTAAAACACGTATTTATTTAATTTCATTGAGGAGCATTGATACCAAGTTTCAAGTAATTCTGATAATATTTTTTCCTATTGTATAACGTGTTTTCCCGTGGGAATTAGATAATCTCCCGGGGTAAAAAATGGCCTATGTACTCCAGCCCTCCAACTATCTCCACACAAAAAATCACGCCAATTTGTCATTCCGTTTCGACGTGAAAGAAAGACAAACAAACAAACACACACACACACACATTTATAATATTAGTATGGATTTATTGAGGGAAGTTGTACGTTATCTAACTTCAAGCTAAGTCTTAGGAACGAATTAATTATCTAGTGTTTTAATAAAAGTCACCTTTTATCAGTATGATAAAAACGCTATGTGTATTTTTAAACAATATTCTTTTAAGCATTAGTGCTGTGCGAATCCCGCTATGTGTTAGAATAATACATAGCTGTATTTGCGGCGCAAAAAAAAGAAGCTATGTGTCATTTTAAAGTTAAAAAAATTATTTTGTGAAAACAAGAAATAAAATGTAGGTTTTAAGGAAGGGATATATTGTAAGACTAGCGTAAGGAATTTTGTACATACTCAATTTTTTTCTACATACGTTGGCAGAAGTTAAAATTAGTTTTTTGTTTCTACTGAAAAATTGAATATTTTCGTTTGTCGGGTTTTGCAGGCACAGCGACGATATGTGGGATTCACCGGCTAGAAAAGTCAGTACTACTGCATAATATGTTATTATGTAATATATGTTAACGTTTGTAATTTAAGGTATATTTTAATTATTGAAATATTGCATGCTGTAAGGCTGAATTTGGCTGAACATTAAATATGTTATTATCAAAATCTAAATGTATGTACTAACCCAAGTTGGCAATAAAGTGTTTGATTTGATTTGATTTGAGTACTACCCACTAAAACTCAACAGAACCTCCCCCGTCAGTTAATGGGGCGTTGCCATACGACGCCTTGTTGCTTCGATCATTAGTAGTATTGTTGATCAAAGCCTCGACGGCAAATCTGCCACACAGGAGACCACACAAACATGGGGCCGCTCTCTCTCAGGCCTAAAAAAATACATACTTATAAAAAGAAATAAAAAGTATTCATAGTGTCGTTAATATACAAAATGTAAAAGAAAGAAAGAGTGAATTAAGAAAAATATATTATAACAAGAAAAATATAAGTTTAATTTCATTTTCTATTTTGGAACAAAATATCGTTATATTATTATGCATTATCATTGAACAGCATCACTACATTATGAACGCACTTTTTCTTTCTGTCAAAGTAAAACAAATGTCATTTGTCAATTCAGCGACAACATTCAAAATACGGTAGATTGTATCTATTATTTATACATTTAGTTGATTTCTGAATAAGATATGAGTTTCACTTGTACATCAAAACAATAAATTTACCATTCAGATACAAATTTTCACCATGGACATCAACGAAGGTATTTAATTTACAAACATAACCTATATGTATTTGGCGGTTAATTGAGTTCAAAAAATATGTACTTTATTATTTTACCCTTTCTTTTGTTATGATTCTCATTTACTTAATTTCACTCTTAACAATTATTAAATCACACAAATATATAGTTAAGGATAAATCTAATTTAAAACCTTATACATAGGAACAGCTACTGAAGACTTATGGACGCCATATAAAGAGCTGGCTGCAGTTGTAGAAAACTACCTGACAAATGAGGGTAGTGGAGCTCCTTATGCAGTTCACACATTTGAATCAGTTCTTAGAAGACATAAACAAACATTCTTGTCATTACTTAAAAATCCTGTAAGTATACAAATTACAAAAAAATATACAATAACAATATGTAATAGTTATATAAAATAATTTCAATTGTTTTTTTTTCAGGCTAAAAATCCAGCTAGTCGAGAGGAAATAAAAAGAGGAATTACTGAAGGTGTGAATCTTCCCAGTGTGGGTAGAACACTTCTGTCAAAGGAACTAGTAGATGAAGCTGTTATCATATCTGGTAAGAAAAAAAGTCGTAATTTTGATATGAAAAAGTATGCGAAATATATTGATCAATACAGCAAAAAAATAAATTTAAATATTCCAAACAAATACAAAAATAAATAATAAATATAATACAATTAATTTTATTATAATTGGTGACACTTGTTACTTATGTTTTTTCTATTGTAGATATGTACAATGCAAATGAATATGCCTGCTTGGAGTTACTACATACTGCACAAAGGCAAAGTTCTAGACGACCAGGGTTGGCTCGCGGTCTTCTGGCTGTGTTGCTTTATTATGATGGCAAAAGAGCATTGGTACAGGCTTTGAAAGAGCTTGTTATGGCCAGAGATGGTGTTTCTTGGTAAGATAATTTTCTTTAAAATATTTAATTTATTGGATTACTCTTCTAAATGCAAAAGTTTGTTTGTATGTGTATGTTTTGTTTGTATGTTTTATATGTCTGTTGGTATAGATTGCTTTAACTTCATATTGAATTTAGTTCACCAGAGACTATGACATACAGTAACACATATAGTGATTCATATATACATTTAATTATTTTAAGTGTTGTGAATAAATTTTGCAACCAAATCTATGTTTGATAAAAGTACTTTTATTTGTTGCATTGTCTTGTTGGAAGTTATGTTTTGTTAACTTAAAAATTTAATTAATTACATTTAAAAGTAAGTTTCTCTCAGTTTTGAAAGAATATTTTATTCCATTGTCTAGGTCAATAAGCGCTCGTGAAGAAGTAATATCATATGTGTCACGGTATGTGGGGCAGTTGGTATCTGATGGGTTACTTGGTGGAGTACTGGACTCACTACGTAGATGTGATCTTGACAATGAACTGGAATTACTACGTCGAAATCGTGCATTGCCCCCTAGAAAGCATTATGTCAAATTGCTGGCCACCATACAAACTACTCGGTAGGTATTAACTATTAATATCTTTTTTTTCAGCCGTTAATGCCCCACTGCTAGGCAATGGCCTCTCTCTTTTCCTTCCACTCTGCTCTATTTCTGGCTATGACCTTAAGCCTTGGAATGATTAAATGGACTTATTTGTAAGCACCTATGCACACCACGTTTCATGAATATGATGACGTCGCGCGTATTATGAATGTATGTCGTCTACATAATATATTTTGTTTTATTTTTTTATTTTATTTTATTTATAAAGCACACTAACAATACACATATAAAACATTTCTGATAATCTTATTAGTAATATAAATTAAGTACCTGATATGTATATCTATAACAAGTGTACATAGCGTTCACTGTAAACAATAGTTAAAAGTAAGAAAAGTAAAAAATTAATTACTACCTAAATTTAAATTATTATGTTTTTTTTTAAAGTAATCTAATAGCCTACGTCTAAAAACAGAGGGTGAATCGTGAAAAATGTCAATGCTTGGTATCGATTTCTGAAGGTTATTATATTTAGCACAGATACGTAAGACAGGGGCTTGGCTTTTTTTAATTAAATTGCTTGTTTTTGCGTTGTTCTCTTCCTTCTATCAATGCGTTAAAATGTCGTGTTCATAGGTCCTAAAGTACTAGGGTAGGAACAAACCAGCTTTTGCTTTAGTGAGGTCTTATTATAGACATTTTAAAATATACCTCTACAAATGATGTGACACACCTTTATAAATAGGGGTTGGTGTCACCATATGGTCCGTGTCATGTTTTTAAAAAGAATTAGTAAAATTACATATACAAAATCATTGGTTGGATGATATTATACAATATCCACACAAAAAAAAACATACAACTAAATTTCTGTTTCTTGCAGTTCACTTGTGTGATCAAAGACATTTGATATACCTATATGGAATTTTGTTGAATATTTATCAATTTATTTACAGAAAATTATTGGCTGGTGTTGTGTTTGCTGCATCTGCACAGAAAGGTCTAGAAAGAGATATACTGTTGAGACTTCTGTCAGAGGTATGTCAGCTTAAACGTTATTCCGGGAAACCAATAAGGTCTCTATATTATTTAGAAAATGCCTGGTTAGCGTGATCTTAATAAGTATTTGAAAAAACTGTTCATGTGGAGTCATATTTATGTAAAAGATTATAAATATATTTAAGTTAAAGAGATGTCCCAACATATTTATTTTGTAATGAATTTTAATGCTGTATGATGCAAAGTGAGTGCTTGATTGATTATTATTCATTATTTTTATTAAAAAAATGCAGATTAGTCTCTCTGTAATCTGTGTTGCTTCTTTGTAATTTTATATTTAAATCTTCAAATAGAAGGGATCCATAATGTTAAATTAATTCTTATTTCAGCAAATGACGTCACCTTCAAGAGGCCCTACAGGTGCTCTAGATGAAATTTCACTCGCCCTACAAATGGCTTTGCTTTATGCCTTAGACTTGTCTGTCTTGCACAGGTATGTTTTATACTGTTTAATTGTTTTCATTAGGTTCTATGTAAACTACTTTTTATAAGTGTACATACATCATAAGTTGTCTGCTCTTATTCTGCACTGATAAATTTAAAAAGTACAGATTTCTTGTGTTTGTATTGATATTAAATTCATTTCTTTAACAATCCTACTCATATTATATGTGCATGAAAGTTTTTTAAGGATGGATGGATAAAAGGATGTCTGTTACTCTCTCATGCAAAAACAACTGAACGAATTTTGATGAAACTTTACACTAATATAGCTTATCCATAAGAGCTTATACTTGTATTTATTCGTACATTTATAGTATATATGTATGTATGTCTCTTCTTCTTCTCCCTGCCCATTTCCCAATCACTTGGGGTCGGCGCAGTACATCTCCCGTACTGCTGATAGGATTTGGCAAAAGTTTTACGACCGGCCGCCTGCCTGACGTCAACCCTCCTTGGGAATGCTATTGTTTATCGTGGAAGTCTTGTAATGCACTTTCGATTTTGTTGTCTTTTAAAACATTTTTTATACTATTACTTAAAAGTTTAATGTTATTTTCGTATATATTTTAAAATGAATTTTAATCACACTACAAATTTTGTTTTGACGTCAAATTTTTTCAAAATTTTCTATAGTATATATGTATGTATGTATATACATTTACAGACGAGAAGATGGTGAAGAACTTGCAAAGAAACTCCCATTAATCCAAGACCAAGACCTTATATCAGTGTTACTGGACCAGCTATCTCCCCCCTCGCAACAAAACCAGACTCAGGAAGAAGAAAAACCGAATGGGCTGAAGGCATTATGCCAGTTGTCCTTAGGCTTAGCGCTAGCTGCGCTAAAGAGGGCTCCAGTGTCTTTGCTGAGACGAGCTGAGCCTAAAACAGAGTTGTTGGATCAAGATGAGATGCTGGTGGATGCTGCAATTGATGGTGGGGTGAGTTTCTTCTTGTATGTGCTTCTACATGCCAGTCCGCCTTTAAGTCTATTTTTAACCGACTTAAAAAGGAGGAAGTACTCTATTTGTTTGTATTGTTTTAATGATTTGTGGATGTCTAACTTGATATTTACAGCAATTTTGGTTCATTTTAAAAAAAAAATTTTTTTTAATAAATATGTAGGTCTATGTTTTTTGTTAAAAAGTATTGTAATTTAGTCTTCAATATATCATTATCATCAATATAATTCATATCATATAATTCATATATATCATAATTCAATATATCATCATATTGACATATCAATTTTGTTACTTCAGCTGATCTCTATTTGACACAATGGAGGAATTTCTTAAGTCTGAAAGCAAAGTATATATTTATACTACATACATTGATCATAATTAAAACATTCGTTGTTTTCCTTTTAGGTTATGATAAAAAACAGTGACTCACTCCGTTTTGATGTTTAGTATAGATTTCTCAAAGATGTGAAAGATGTTACTGTGAAAAACGCAGTAGCTGCTATCATTATACCAAATTTCATCAAAATCGGCCCGGTGGATTTTTCGTGATATGCAGGTCACAGACACACAGACAGACAAAAATTCAAAAAACTATAGATTCGGCCTCTGTATCCATAATAAAGTTTATTTCAATAAGATTTAAAAATATATATTTAATATACAGATTTGACTCAGAAATTTATTATATAATGTATAGATATTAATATGAAACAATACATTCCCTAGGTATTCGAGTATCTCGATGATGCTATACTGTCTACAGACCTCGTGGCATCAGAAGAGTACTACCAGAGGCGCATCCACTCGCTCATAACAGACTTTATTGTCTTAATGCATTCCAAACTTATGGAGATGAGGGTGAAGTAAGTCATCTTTAATATAAAAATTTGTTATTTTCTATATTTTTTTGTATTTACCATAATCTACTTAACATAATTTTCATTTTAAATGAGAAACGAAATGTATTAGAGAGCTTGAGTTATTAATTGATTTATTTAAATAAATGAAACTCTTATATTTCTAAAGTTAGTACAATTCCTACACATGTTTTTATTTTTTAAAGTCGTTTCTTTTTGAAGAAATTTTGGATATAAAAAAATCTACTTTAGCGGCTGCTTTGACACTTCCAAAGTCTGCATTGACAAAATAGCTTTGATCGAAGTTTACTTGGATACCTCGACAGGTGTCCAATACACGTTCAATGTCTGCTTTGACAAAAAGCTTTGAAACATACTTACGTCGACGTCAAAGTGCGCTTTGATTGTTCGTTTACATGATCAAAGTTGCATCAAAGCAGTCGTCAAAAGTAGTCGAAGTAGAGTTTGATCGTTTCAGTCGCGTTGACTGTTAAAGGTTGCCGTGGCCGATATCGGTCAGGGGGGCATTATGTGATTCCTTATTGACAACCGGTCCCAGGGCGGAGGAGGCGGCGCGCGCAGCGCAGATGTACGCGGCGGAGGGGCTGACGCCGGCGCCGTCGCCGCAGCGCAGCCGGCTGGAGGCGCTGCTGCGCTGCGTGGAGCGCCTGTACGCGCGCGACCCGCTGCACCTGCGCCGCGACTACTGGCTCGCCTGCGACGCCAACCACCACTCCTACAGGTGCGCTGCTGTGTATGTACGTGCTTGTGTGTGAGTGTGTGTGTTTGTTGCTATAGCCTGAAACCACTGGAGCGAAGCGTTAAAAATTCATGTTTTATGGCAAATAATATTTCATTTAGTACGACAATGTGGGGTGTGATGAATAGTGAATTAAGATTAAAGAAAATTAAGGTTTCAAATTTGCACAATTTTACATTTAGTATACGTTTAATTATGTATTACCTAACGTGATGACGTTATATTGACAGTGTATGTGAAATGTTACTAATTTAGTTGTATAACACCATGTGGCATGATCACGGTGTAATAAAACGTTTTTTAAAAGAAAACTCCTCAACGTTTATGATGCCCTGGTATGTACACATATTGCACTCGCAGGGCGGGCGGGCGGTCGGCGACGCTGTACAAGTTCGTGCGGCTGTCGGGCGAGGTGGTGGTGGCGGCGCTGCTGCCGGCGTACCTGCGCGCGCTGGCGGCGCTGGCCGTGCCGCGCCACACGTGGGCGCTGCTGGCGCGCCGCGACGCGCTTTCCGCGCACCATCTGCTCACCGCGCTGTCGCTTTACTACAGGTCAGTCTGTCTGGCTGACTCACTTTGACAGGGACTTACAATTTCCTGGATTTCTAAGGAAAACATTTAATATATTATTGAATTAAGCTAATTACACTCATGGAATATTTTGAAGATGTCAATGTGTGGAACTTATGTCTGAATGACACATAGGATAAGTAGATAATTATTGTATTGCAATATTGTAAACTAATATTATTTTAAAAAAGCAACTGTTGAGTTTCTCGCGGGATATCCTCAGTAGCACTGCCTTCCGAGCTGGTGGTAGATTCATCACGGACGTACATACTGACATTTAATTTAAACTAGTGGACAACAAAAACAAGTCTATCCACCGGGAACCGTACATTTTTCCAGGACAAAAAGTAGCCTATTCGTTATTCTGATGTGTGAACTATATTATTGTAAAGTTTCATTAAAATCCAATCAGTAGTTTTTGTGTACTAAGCTGTATAAGTTACTATAGTTTTTTAACGATTCCACGGGAACTCTTTAATTTTCCGGGATGAAATATCTAAAATGTTGACCGGGGATATAAGCACCATGCAAAATTTCATTCAAATCGGTCCAACAAATTCCGGGATTAGCCCGTACAAACAGACAAACAGACAGAGAAACGAAAAATTAAAAAGTCTGGATTTGTTCTATTTCACTTCTTACATCCCCCTGACTGGGTTAATAGCATTTTTTTTCTATGTACAAACATTCGACCTCTACCAGTTTTATTATATGTATAGATTTTGAAAATTTAAAATTGATGATTCAAAAATGCTTGTAAAAGTCTATTTGAATAAAGTTTATTTTGATTTTATTATAAAGTTTATTGTATTTGACTGATAGTGTAACCATTAATACATAAAGGAATTTCCACTTTAACATACTCTTTTTTTTTGTTAGGAATCTCCGAGCTGACCCTGCGCCGTTTGCAGACCACAGGCACTCGTCGTCCCTAGGCGCGTCGGCGATAGTGACGCCCGCGGCGCGTCCCGGGAGACTTCTAGTTAGGCAAGAAGAGGTAAATATGTTCTAAGTCACTTATAACTGTCTTTAGTGCCTCCTAAACTAAAACTGTTAATTACAATGACACAGGTGCATGTGCATCACTATCAATATAATATAAAATAGTATAAAGGTGTCTGCCCACTACACCGTCTCATACCATGACCGTTTTATGAACGCATCAGGCACGGAAACGAGCATTGTACGGACTACTATGTCCACTACAAAAAAGGAAAGACAATATTCTCGCCGACAATTGTTAACGTTGCGTGCACGGCACGCGATGGTGTCGGTTGGTGATCTAGTGGGCAGATTCATATTAAGATATTTCAAACGCGTTCATGGTTATTTTTTAAACATCCCGCCGTGGTCCTCTTCTCCGGGAACTAGAGATCTATAAATTTCTAGGACTTCGAACTAGAAAGTCCCGGCAATTTCGTTATTATAACTACGGTATGTCATGTATCGTCGCAAAGTTTAAGTAAATATATTTAGGCTATTCCGATCGCGGGTTATGAAACAGTTTATTTTTAACATTACATCCATTATTATTTTATTGTGTTCGATTTTTTTATTCTAAATAATTGATTTTATCTATAATGATGGCTAGCTACATACAGACATACATACATACATACATACATACATATGTATCAGACAGGTAGGTAATATGTATTAAACTTTTTGTGCTTATTATATTGTTATTACATATATTATTTCTATGTCTTTTGGATTCTGTAATACAATATTTGTGAACTGTTTCTCCTCCGTATTGTATTTTATTTAAAAAAAATATTAAACGTCTATATTCAATTTTTGAGTGTATTTACCCACTTGATAGCTTAAAAGCTTATCATAAACAATATTTCTTTATCTGTGTAGGTTGAGGCAATGATCGCCGCTTTAAAGTTAATAGCAGCCGTTGCGAGAGAAGATGAAGCTGCGTGTGTCAGCATTTGTGAGAACTTGCAGTGGGATGCTGTGAATTGCATGTTTGGTAACTATTTTATTATTATATTTTTTTATAGGCAATGGTAGGTAGTCCAGTGGTAACGCGCTCACTTGGGAAATCGAGTGAAGTAGGTTAAAATCCCGGGTATCGTACCTCTGATATTTTCATGTGCGAATCATTTCCAACATCATTACCACTTCGGTGGTCGCCTAATGTATGAATTTTTACACTGTGCTATTTTATAAATGCCGAACTTTTTGAATGAAGAAATAAGTATATAAGTGTGTTTTACGTGCTATTTATAGTATTAGTATGCTTAGGTGATCTAGTGGGTAGCATGTACGACTGCAGATTAATAGGTCCTGGTCATATTTGAGGAGCTTCTTTTCAAAACTTGACTATTCCACTTTTGATGAAACTTATTTTTTTTATTTTTTGATTGGTAACATTCAAATTTACACTCCGCGAAAATAAAATAAGCCCAAAACTTGATATTTACACCAGAAAAAAGATTAAAATGCATGATTTCGTAATCTGCGTCAAAATGACATTACCTATTTCAAATACATATTTTTGTAACAAAATATGAATAATACAGAAGTTATTTAACTATTTTAATCTAAATTGCAACAAAATAAAAGATACCAGGAATCCTTTATGAAAAATGAGATATCTGATACCTAATTAGTTTCAGCAAACAATATTAATCCACAGTGGTTTGAATAAAAAAATGATTATTCTTCTAGAGGACATAACAAAACTAGATTATTCCATTTCAAATTTTGGATTTATTCACAACATATTATTGCTAAATTTTTGAATCCTGTACAAAGCAATAATATGCATGTATTATACATATAAACCTTCCTAATGAATCACTCTATTTATTAAAAAACCGCATTAGTATCCGTTGTGTAGTTTTGAAGATGTAAGCATACATAGGGAGAGACAGACAGAGGGAAGCGACATTGTTTTATACTATGTATTGAAGAGCCACTGCTACAAGTGTGAGTGTATGTCAGGTCTGATCTGCTGCCACGTGCCGCTGGCGCTGAAGGCGGAGCTGTGCCTGACGCTGGCGGCGCTGGGCGGCGCGGGCGCCACGGCCGGCCGCGTGTGGGCCGCGCTCGAGGCCGCGCAGCTCGTGTCCGCCGCCAAGGACAAGAGGGCGCTCAACGCTGAGTTGCAGGAGGTGGAAAATGCTTTTTTTTATATTTTTTTTATTTTTATGTATACCTTTTGTTTAATTGGTTTCTGATGTTTTTAATGATTTATGATATTCTATAACTTTAGAGACGTCAAAAATCTTAAGTTTAAACTTTGGAAACCAAGAATCAAAATAAAACCACGAAAAAGTACCAAAACAATAGTTACCATAAAAAATACTTTTTGTCTACAAAATTACCATATTTTCGTTAAATCATTTAGTTTTACGAAGACGTTTTTTTTTCATTAATCTGTACATTAAATTGTAAATTTTTTACTGTTTACGAAATTCCAATATTTTTTTTATTGAAAATTATTTGTTACTAGCATTGCCCGCGGCTCTGCCCGCGTTCAGATGACCAAAAACCAAATTCTTAGGTTTTACATATTAGTATACTCTTACATTGGAGTTTTTGTATTTTTTTCTCAGAAATAAGACATTTTCCCGCGGTAAATATATATCCTATATGTTGACCCGGATAACCAGCTATCACCATACCAAATTTTATCAAAATCCCTCCAGTGATTTTTCTGTGATGCGGTAACAGACAGACAGACAAAAATTCTAAAAACTATAGATTTGATCTCTGTATCGTTAATAATGTTTATTTCAATAAGATTTTCCAAAAAATATCTAATGTACAGATTCGGCTTCGTTACAATTTTATTATATTTATAGATTTCCATATATCGTATTTGTTATTCATCAATTAAATTAAAAAAAAAATGTACCCATAACAACAGGTGGAGTGTCGCATGGAGGAGTACCCGCTGTCGCGCGCGTTCCTCGTGCTACTGGACGCTCTGTGCGCGGCGGCGCCGCTGCCGCGCGCGCTGGGCGCCGGCGCGCGCCCTCCCGGCCTCGACCCCTACCTGGACCACGCGCTCGCCCGCCTGGCGCTGCCCGCGCCGCACCGCCCCTACGCCAGGCCCTACGAGAAGTGGCAGGTCAGTCTCACACTGTTGGGAATTGTGTTACTACTGAATTGCCAAACCTATTTACTGACCTCCCACTTGCCACGTCATTTTTCTTTATATTTACTATATACATAATATATTTTTATCCTGATCTGGACAAGTCAAAGTGATGTTAAATTCTGACACTTAACATATAAAAGTCCTTAATTTTTTTTACAACAAAACATTATTTAAGTTCGGCCGAATAGGAAAAATGTAGCCGAATATCGGCTACATTTTTTATGTTTTCAATATATATTTTAATATTCGAATTCGAATATTCGTTGCAAGTATAAAATAAAGACTATCAAAAAAAAATTAACATTATTTAAATCACACGCATATTCCCTATTCCAGATGCTCTCGCTATGCTTCCGCCTGTTCGCGCGCTGGCTGGAGGCGTACGAGCCGTCGCCGGCGGACTTCCCGCCGCCCGAGCGCGAGCCCGACGCCTGCCCGCCGCCCGGCTTCCGCCTGCTGCTGCAGCTGCACAGCAACTCCGACTTCCTGCGCCTCGTGCTCAACACTCTCGACGAGGCGCACGAACTGATGGACCGCCAGGACGTGCCTGAACAGGTAACTAGATAATGTCTTGAAATTATATAGGTCTTATCGAAATCTGTATAAAGCTTTTAAGATTAAGTACCGATCATGTTTATAAACGTTCATGTTTATGTTACTAGTAAGTAGTAAAAAGTTGAAGTACTAATAAGTATGTTTTTTTTTGTATTTAAGATTTTTTAAGACTTCTTTCATTTCTTATGAACTATTTTCAAAACCAGATGAAAAAAAGTGTGTGTGTGTGTGTGTGTGTGTGCAATTCATACACGGTAAAAGTGAAACTTCAGAAAAGTAACCTACGAGAGAATAAGAGGAATATAGAGTTTCAGGAGTACGATAAAATATTGTAAAATATAGCTAATATTGTAGAATTTCGTTACAAGTAGAAAAGAAATGTGATTGAAAATTTCACAGCCGTTTTGAAGTCCATAGAAACACACATGCATACATCGATTTTTATATACATATATAGGTATAGTTTTCTTTTGTATTTATATACAAAAGATAAATAGGTCGCATTCGAGCTAAGTAAAAGTAAATATGTATTATATAATTTCCCGTAGGTGTACGTGCACCAGACGCTGGTGAGCACGCTGCAGCTGCTGGAGCGCGCGCTGGCGCTGGAGCGCGCGCTCAACAGCGCGGCGGCCGAGGCGGGCCGCGCCGTGCTCGTCGTCGGCCTCTCCAAGCTCATACTGGGTGCGTGACGCATGTTCCCCTCACACATTTGTTACAGAAACCGAGTGAAGCGGGTTCAAACCCCGGGTCTCGCATCTCTGATATTTTCAAGTGCGAATCATTTCCAACATGATTACCACTTGTCTTACGATGAAGAAAAACATCGTGACGAAACTTGCATGTCTCAGAGAAGCTAGTAAGTTTTCGAAAGACATGTTAAATCCGTTAACCGACGCTTGGCCAGCGTGATGAACTATGGCCTGATTCCCTTCGTATTGAAAGGATGCCTGTGCCTAGCATTGACGTTAAAAAGGGTTAAATACATTAAGTGATCAATTAGAGATTTATTGTTAATTGTTTTCTCCCATACGCCAGAGCCGCACGGGCCCGAACACAGCGACCGGCTGGTGACGTGCTGCAAGGTGCTGGAGCACGTGGGCGCGCTGCCGGCGGCGGCCGCGCGCGCCGTGGCGCTGCTGTGCCGCGCGCTGCAGGCGCCGTCCTGCGCGCGCCACCTGCTGGCCGCGCTGCTGCACCGGCACGACCTCGCCGTCGACATACGGTGGGCTGCTGCTGAATAGATTATGTTGTCTTCCTGAACGATTTCGGTCATAGTGGCTCGCTTTTTCACAATTACATAAATTTTCCCGTTAATCACTATTATACATACTAAAAATTATTTTTTTACTTTTTAGTTCGGTTTATCATTAAAACGTGCTTTTTAAATATAGTTTAAATTTACTTATTTTCATTTTTTTAGTTTGATCTGCTATAATAGCGTGTTTTTTTAGTTTTTTCAATATATATTTTTTTTATAAATTATTGTATTGTCATCGGTCCTTGTTGAATGTACAAAGTTTCAAACCAATCGGAAGTTTTTAAGTAGATGAAAATTGCGTTCAATCATCCCGTTACTTATAGATACATACAGGTGACCTTAATAAAACAGTGTTAAAAATAAATGTTTGTAAGTGTAGTGAATGTTTGTTTGTAAAAATATGAACCAATTTTTTAAGCGAAAATAAGTTGTCTGGAATGTTACGAAATTCGGGAATAACTTAAAGTGCGTTTTCTATAAAAAAAACTTAAAGATCATAAAATATTATTTTTGCAATTTGGACACAACCATGTCTGTTGGCTAGCTAGTAGATATACCTGTTAGCTATAAATAATCCAGTGGTTAAAAAATAAAATAAATCTTTATCATCTCAGTCACGGATTCGTGGAGTGCCTAGAGGCGGAGGAGTGGGCGGGCGGCGAGGGCGGCGAGGGCGGCGCGGCGGCGGTGCGCGCGGCCAAGGAGGGTGTGGTGCTGCTGCTGCTGCAGCTGCTGCCCGTCGCGCCGCACTCGCTCGCGCACTTCCTACTCGGGTACAACCTCAGTGACGATGTGAGTTTGCTACTGACTCTACGAAGACTGACTGAGAAAAAGAAGGAGATACTGTATACATATCAGTTAATGTTTTAAAGTTTTAATTAAAGTAAATTTCATGTTTATATTTCAATGAATAGAAGGGACGTCTAAAGGATTTTATTATGTCGGTGCACTTTTTAATTTAAATACCTATGTATGTGATTTCATGCGTAAAAGGGCGCGTCGAATATTTAAAAGTAAGTGCACGCTACCCGTGTGTGAATTATAATATAATAATAATTTATTTAACACAAATGTTTTGCGTTAATGACACATTTACAATTTCATTTTCCAATAATGATTAATTAATGATAAATTATAATGCAAAGTTCTCGTTTGTGTCAGATCTCTCGCAGCGTGCTGCAGGAGGCGGGCAGCGCGGGCGCGCCGCGCACCTGCCTGCACTCCATACTGGACATGCTCGAGGCCTACATAGCGCCCAGCGGCACCAACAAGTGAGCTGCGTCATTTGGATTATTTGTTTTACATAATTTCATATTTTTAACAAAGTTATTTTTATCTATTATATCGAATGTAAATAGCGTCATCTAGTGATGACATAATTTGTTTTCAAATTTTTGATGTTATGAGCTGATCCGTTCCAATTCTTCTTGATTAGTAATTTGATTTTTTTCCTTTAGTAGTAATTTGCGTTTAGTAATTTGATAATCAGTATTTAAAGTTCATTACAGTGTATATTTTTATATGTTCGTCCTTAGGTACGTATTAATTTTTTTGAGCGGAATCCTAATTCTTTTTCTAAAGTGTATTCTAAGAGTAGCCTATGTTACTCCCTATAACATTAGTTATCTTACAGTGAAAGTCTCATTAAAATCAGTCCAGCCGTTTCAGAGATAATCCGCAACAAACAGGCAGACAGACAAAAATTAAAAAAAAAGTGTTTTTCTTATAAATACCATATATAATTCCATATGCATTTAGTAAAACGCTGTTATTTTGACATTACAAACAGACACTTCAATTTTATTTATCGGTACAGATTTTATTTGAGTTTATTTTCATCTAGTTTTTATGTTCCAGAGAAGCGACGACGCTGATAGAGAGCTGCTACCGGCTGGTGTACTGGGTGTGCGCGCGGCCCGCCACGGCGCCGCCCGCGCTGCGTCTGCTGCGCGCGCGCGACTACTTCCTCGCCAGGCACGCCAAGGCCGTCGTCAACCTCGAGGTATGGTATATATACAAAACTATGGACTGTACTTCTACATATGTTCACAATTGTATAGTGGATTTTTGGTGTTAATTATTTTTCGAAAATAATAGTAGCTTAAGCTATTCCTTATAACATCAGCTATCTACCAGTTAAAATCCCGTCTAAATCAGTTCAGCCGTTTCGGAGATCAGTCAGGACATATATAGACAGGCAAAAATTTTAAAAATTGATTTTTTACTTATAAGTATGCATTTAGTAAAGAGTTATTATTTTGACGTTACAAACAAATACTTTAATTTTATATATTTGTATAAATAATGTTAATTCGAGCTAATATACATAGATCAGTTTTGGTACTATAATTTACTAAAAGATAGCGCTGATTGTCTGCCAAAAGGTGACTACATACATTTTTGTCTTCAATGGCAAAAGACACGTAAGTCATTAGTACTTAACTTATTTCATTATTATAATAGCGTGTTGGTATTATAAATGACGAGATGTCCGCGTGTGCAGAGCGCGTCGGTGGCGACGATCTCGGCGCGGTCGTGGGCGCTGCGCGCATGCGCGTGCGAGGCGGGCGCGGCGGGCGCGGGTCGCCACCGCGCCGCGCTGGCCGCGCTGCTGGCCGCGCTCACGCGCACTGATCACCACGCGGCACAGGTACTGTGCACACATCCAACATATTTATTTTTTACATCAAAACTAAAACAAAATTTAAAAAGAAAATAAAAAATGATCTCTATACTTAAAATGATCTCACCAGGCAACCTATGTTAGAAAGGTATGGTTGGTGCAAAACTTTTTTTTTACATAACTAGTTTCGTCGTCTCTGTTCTCATTTGTCCAAATGACCAATTAACCAAAATAGTTTTTATTTTTAATACAGAATTATTGACTTTCAAATGTCAATTCTATTAGTTTAAAATATACATTTTACTTTTAAAAATCCTAACAATGTATTTTATCAATATCTTGTATTATTAAATGAACAACTCTTGTATTTTTTTATGTCTCATTGCATTCACACTCTTTATTCCTTTCATACTCCAATGGGACATCTAATTGACATAACCAATGAGGAGGTGAAATACCACTAGCATCAAACTCCGTATTATTATTATGGATTTCTTAACAGAAAAACTTAATAACTGAACTTGGCCTGACCCGTAACTCGAACCCAGGACCTCCAAATCTGCGGTCGTACATGGTAGCCACTAGACCACCGAGGTAGTTAAAGTAGTTTAGAATATTAGGAAGTAACTAAATGTATGCATATATTCTGTAAATAATGTATGAGCCAGGAGTGGGAGTGGTGCGTGGTGCGGCGCGCGCTGGAGGCGCTGCCGGTGAGCGTGGCGCCGTGCGCGGAGCCGCGCTGGGAGCTGTTCCACGCCCACCAGCTGCGCCGCGCCATCGACGAGTGCGACCTGCCCACCGGTACACACATACATAGTTTTATTTTATAATATCAAATGATAAATTCTTGTATATTTATATATAAATTTATTTCCTGTATCTCCTTAGAAATTGCTCTAAAGATTTGGATCATATTTTATGTTTAAATAAGGTTTTGCTTTTTAATTTTACCTGTATAAGGTTTTTTCTGAAAATACGCAATTTTTTGCAAAAACGAAAAACCATATGTAAATTCAAATAAATTATCTTGTTAATGGCTTCAGAAAGGTCAGTTGAGAACAGATTACATCGCCAATGTCACGTAACATTTTTTATAACTAATTATTAGATTATTTTCTATCTGCTCTCACGCTAACAATGTCATATAGCGCCATTTCGTAAATGTTTGTGGTACTTGCATTGACGCCAATGGATGATAACCTGAGCGTGCCTATAGGTAATTAAAAACTAAAATGGAATTGAATTGACTGAAGAAGGAATTATTTCATTTTTTGGTATATTTGGTGCAGGCCTAGGCGGGAAGCGCATCAGCGTGTCGCGCGTGCACGCGCTGTTGGCGCGCGAGCTGGCGTCGCTGCGCGCGTCGGCGCCGCAGCGCGGCCTCGTCGCCATGGAGATACAGAAGGTAATTATTACCGTATTTATAAGTCCTAATTTTCCATATTTTTAAGTTTAAAAAATCCATGTTAACTTTCATCTCATAATTAACACATTTATGAGCTCTATTTAATTAAAATACTTAATTTCCTTAATTTCATATAGACTTATTCCAAATATAACTTATTTCATATTCATAAATATTGCTAACAGTTTCATTAGTTTTAAATAAAACTATCTTTTTTTATCTAGGGACTACTGTAAAGCATTCGAAACGTCGCGTCGGGAAATAAAAATTAAAATAAATCAGGCGAAAAAATCCGAAAAGATAATTTTATTTAAAATGTCAAATATTCGCGTAAATCTAAAAAAAGTATTAGTTTAGTTCTTAAACATTTAACTTAACTATACTTAAAATAAACATTTGCCAAGTTTTTTTACCTTTTATGGAAGAAATTTGTCAACAAAATAAATTTGTGATCGATTGAGATTGTTCAAAAATACAATTCTTATTGATATGGGAAAATTCAAAAATGTTAAATATAACAAATAATTTATATTATATACATTGTACACGAGCTCCAATAAAATATTAGAAAGCATTTTTTTGTATCATATCCTTAAACATGTAATTAATATTTTACCCATAGGTCTTGGACTATGTAACAGAAGTGAATAAACAACGCAATCTGGCGGCCACACTGACACACTACTACGACTCATGGCGGCAACTCACTGAGATATTATTCTGTGTTGCTCCTCAAGACCTATTGAACTTGGAAGCCAGGAAGAACCTGCTCCTCAACATCCTCCAGGACCTCCTCAACAAAATACCACCAGCTGAAGTTCTTCCACAAATAGGAAATCTAGCTTCGGGCACAGTATTACTATTGCTAGTTTATCTGCGGCATTGTTTCATACTTCAGAAGAGAGAATCATCGTTGAAGTCAGCAGAATTCGAAGCGAGCTTCTTCGGCCCTTCAAACCAAATAATGCAAACCAAATCGCTGACTCTAAAATTCATTTTACACAAAATTCTAAGTTGGATACTAGCTTCCGGCGCTTCGACGCAAAAAATGCGAGTGAATTTGTACGGAGCGCTGTTAAACTTCCTCAATATAGTGAACTTGAAGGCGAGTCCCGCGGATCCGGAAGAGGAAATGAACGCGACGTACGTGAGTCGACTCGATAGTTCCAAAATAAGACCGAGAGAAGAATCGAGTTTGAAATCGATGGCGATAGATGTTATAAACGGTTTCGGCGAGAACTTGTGTTCGATTGTGTGCAGCGACTGCATCGGCGGCGGCCATGACGTGTGCCGTATGGTGGCGCTGTCGTGCCTCGACACGCTGCTCGAGATCAACCCGGGAACGGACTGGCTAAACACCTTGATCAATCAAGGGTACTTGAGGAGTTTGATTGATAGCTTGTTACAAGATGATGAGGGTTTGAAAGAGGTGAGTTGTTTTGTTATAATTATTGTTTAATTTTTTTGTCATTATTTAGGCTGGCGTGTAATTAAAGGCCTTAAGATTATTATTGCTATTTAACGTCATTGGACAATATATAAAACAGATATTACATGCAGTGACTAACTGCGAGTGCGTTTTCTTTAATATGTGCGTGGATACATTTGCATTACTTATATACTATTTTTTTAAACATTTATTAACAAGAAAAACGTTATTAGTGTCTTAATTGGATGCTTTTTAGAATATATATACATATATTACACGTATTTCGTCGTAAATATCAACAGACTTGAATATGTAGATTAATAAAAACTAATGTATACATCCATACAATATACATACGATATTTCGCCAGGCTCTAGAACCGAACCCGAAGTCCCTCCGCGTGCTGTACGTGTACGAGTCGAAGATGGCGCTGCTGATCAAGCTGGCGGGCAGCCGCGTGGGCGCGGAGACGGTGCTGGCGCAGGGCGCGCTGGCGGCGCTGGGCGCGCTGCGCGTGCTGGGCGCGCACCCCGACGTGCACGCGCCCGCCGCGCACGCCGCCGACTTCGTGCCCTCCGTCGCCGATAGGTGAGTGCGCTCGCTTGCTGACAGTATGGGAATCTAAGGTAGTTTAATCGCGTATACATTTTGCATTGTGTCTTCGGAGACTGTAATACATGTCGTTCTAAAACATTAGCGAGGATATAAACATCCTATTGAGATTTTATATAACATATCCTATTTTTTTTTATTTTGACATAATTTAAGATCTGGATATACCTACTATGGAAATACCTAGGTACTGAGTAAATTTCTTAATCCACAAAGACTGATTTTTCTTAAATATTTGTATTTCTATTTATAGAAAAAAACATAACAACAAAAATTAAAACTATACAGTACACTTTTATGAATAAAAGAGTTTAAATATTCTAATTTTATGTCCAATCAGATTTTAATTCACTTTATGATGAATAAAAAAAGCAAAATTAATTACAGATACGTAATTTAACATAATTTACCTTATATATTTATGTAAGACATATTATATTACATAATAGAAGACAATAAAAAATAAAAATGCAGAAACTTAAAAAAAAATTAACAACATTTTTTTATGTGTGTCAGGTTCCGTCAGATCCTGGTGCCCGCGCTGGCGCTGTGCGACGCGCTGCTGACGACGCTGGGCGCCGCCAACCACAGCGCGGTGCTGCACGTCGCGCACCTGCTGCTCGCGCACCTCGAGTGCGTCGACACCGTGCTCAGGTGACACCACCACCTTCACCTTCGGGGCACTCCTCACTGTTGTACTTGTATGCTGTATACATTAAACGTACAAGGGATAAAATAATACTGTTTTGTTTACGCAATTTGACCCTTCAAATGAAGAGCGCTTTATATTATATTTAAGGCCGTCTATTAAAGTATTAAAAGCTTTTTTTTTTTATAACCGATCGCCACTCTAGCCTTACAGCTCTTTTAATCAGACAATCCTTTGAGCTTTTTATGCGATTTGTTTGTTTTATTTTTTTCTCAACAAATGGACACTGACATTGTATGGATACGAACACAGACACGTATACAACTTTCTTCCGCATTTACATTCGAGATGTATATCAAGTTTCATTCTATTTGATTACTATTACTTATATGAATTTTCCCGGCGTTCAGGGCGGCGCACCCCTCCTCGCCGCCGGGGCTGCTGCGCGAGCTGGAGGCGCTGACGTCGGTGGTGGCGCGCACGGCGGGCCCGGCGCTGGCGGGCGCGGCGGACACGGCGCTGGCGGGCGCGGCGGCGGGCCTCCAGCGCGTGCATTACCTGGCGCTGGCGCTGCTGCCGCGCTTCCACCGCCCGCCACAGCTCGCCGAGCCCCACGAAGAGGACGCGCTGCTGTACTATAAGGTAGATAGATAATCTGTATACAATAGAATTCTTATAGGGACCGTGCGAACTAGTTGCAAAAACCTAAATTTATTGGGATCGTTTTTCAATAATGTTAACGTCAAACAATATTTGTTTTTTAATTTGATTACACTAAGTATTTTTAGAGTGATTTTTTATACATACCACACGAATGTCGTAAATATTTATGATGTCAAATTTTGACATCATAAACATTTAAGACACTCGTTTGTGGTACAACTTTTGCGGTTAAGACAGTTTCACTTTTACTACTTTTTTCTGCTACACCATAAACATGGTTGCACTTGAATATTTTTTTACCCTTCTTACTATTCTGACTGTACAATATTATTGATAACTGGTTGAAATCTATATTTTATTATTTCTTTCATTTTTATAAATATTCTGAGTTTACAAATGAATGTTTGGATCTCACTACCTTCGGATATAAAACACTAAGGGGACAACAGTGTTGCCCTCTACATTTCGCGCACGATCCTTACTCCGTTTAATGTTATTCCGTAAGTTGTTTGTATGAAATTATAATCGCGGATTCAGATATCGTAAAGCACTATCGTATGTCTTTGACTGTTTGTTTTTTCAAATTACATTACATATGGAATAAATAATTATATATAATGTAATCTATAATTCGTAACGGTAGTTCTTAGATATCTAAAGATTCGTCGTCCACTCCGCTACTAAAACTGCTTATGCGTGGATGTCATGTAAGACTGTCTCCACAAATATATTATTTACTCCATATATTAAGATAAGAAGTATCCACTACGGGATGTCTATTTCTATGACTATATCTGTATGATATTGTTTTATCGAGTTTTAACTGGCTGGCGATAGCTTTTTAAATTGTTGTAATGATACTTCTGTTAGAGTAATAAAATAAAAATGAGTTTGACAGCATCTAAAATACATTGTGGAGTTTTATTTTAGCTAAAAGTAAATATGTTAATAGTACGTGCAAAATGCAGATATAGAATATTTTATAACCCTTTGCATTCGATTATAGATCGTGTGGAATCTACTGCTGTTCGCGCGCAACACGCTGGACGAGTCCGGCGGCGGCGGGGGCGGCGGCGCGGCGCTGGCGGAGGGCGCGCGCGCCGCCGGCGCCGCCGCGCTGCCGCTGCTGCAGGCGCTGCTGCAGCGCTGCGCGACGCACGCCAAGCTGCTCGACACTGTGCAGCACCAGCTGCACACTGTGCCCACCATGACGCTCGCCGGTCAGATATTATTGTTTTTATTTGTATACAACACTATATTCATATTATAAATGTAATGCTTTCTAAAAACAATAATATTAATAAAATTTAAGTATAATTGTTTTTCTGTTGCTTTTTAGAACATATTACGTTGATATGATTTTTTTCAATGAGTATAAAATTAGTCATTTAATTTAAATGAATATTGAAATAACATGATATTGAGCTTGACATTTTTAATCTCATAAATAAAAAGTATTTTATCATACTATTTGTTACAAATTGCTGAATTTTTAATAAACTTAGTTAAGTTGAATGACCATAATATTTTTTTTTTGAAAAGAGAAAAAAAAAATATGTCAAATTAGTATTGTAGTTTCATGATGGGTTACATATTGTAAGTTAAATGAGACATTCACTATTTATAAATTAAATATATGTCGATTTATTTCTCCAGACATGAGCAAGTTGCTGGGGTCGGAGCCGCCGCCCGCTTCGCCGGTGGAGGCGCGCGCCGCCGTGCTGGCGCAGCTGCGCGCACGGTGCGCCGCCCGCCGCCGCGCGCTGCTCGCCTGCACGCACGCCGCGCACGCCGCGCTGCAGCTGCTGGCCGCGCACGCGCGCCGAACGCGCGCCGCCGCCCTGCGCGCGCTCCATGGCGACGGTCAGTGCGGTGACGTGGCGTGCTCGGGTTGTGTGTGTGTGTATGTGTGTGTATATGTGTGCGTGTGCGGGTGGGTACGTGCGCGCATGCTGAGATTATGACGGATCTTGGTGAAAGATTACAGTTACAGCCTTTAAGTCGGAGTGACGTATAGGTTATAAATAATTGATTGATATGCGTTTTAGAACTGCGCGGACAAAGCCGCGGGAAACGCTAGTGGTGTATAGTAATAACGATTTTGGGTTACGATGGTCAGCCGCTCCCGGCACAACTGTGTACATTAAAATTAAATTAAAATAGTATATAATATAATGCCAATTTAATCTAAATAAAAAACTTTATAATCTTAATAAAAATACAATATTTGTTGTAGCGCTAAACAAATCCGTGGCGCTGCACAACGCGGCGGGCGAGGAGGCGGCGGCGCTGCGCAAGGAGCTCGTCGCCGTCTTCAACGAGCGGTTCATCGACGAGCTCATGGACACTGTCAAGGTACTAACTGCAGTGTTATTAAATTAATGAAATTTTGGACATATACCGTAACAGACAACACAACATTAAAGTAATATTAAACAAATTAAAAATAAGTGTATGGAAGGAAATTGATAATTTTATTTGTTTTTCTTTTTGTTTCGTTTTTGTCTTATTTTTTAAGTTTTGATAAGTAAAGCTAAAGAGAGATGACAAGTAGTTTTTTTCGCTTATACGACGTTGAATGCTTACAACCCTTTTATGCGTGGTTTTTTTCTAAAATTTACAAGAGTCTATATATGTACATAATTCCTTACAAAATTATTGAAATATAAATAATGATGGTGAATCAGTTTACATTGGCGTATCGAATAAGCGTCCATTTTTGATGTCATTCAAAAAATATATATTTTTCCAGAACCAGCCAGACATGCAGCGCGGCTTCCTCGAAGTACTCGTCAAAGATATCAAGATTATGATTCAATTCTCGCCTTAATGCATTTATACGGTCTTTCTACCAGTTGTTATTAATTAATATCCATTTTGTAATAAGTTTACTGAATAAATTAATATTTTTTGTATCATACCTTTTTTTATTTTACCTAACGAGTCCTAAAGTTCTTTACATTTAATTATAATTACCTTTAATCAAAAAAGAAATACACAATCGGCGACAAAAAATATCCTCACCAAATGAGCGCTCATTTGAATATTTGAGCGCAATTTTAATTTTTTGTTGTTGTGATAACAACTTTAAGCATTGCCTTTAAATTTACATTGTAGTATATTTCAAGTAAAATAATTATTCTACTTGAAAATTAGGTAATTACTTAAACACAATTAATTGGTGATAGTTTTAAGAGAACTTTTGCATGGGGTTGTGTATTGACTTTTTCATAGATGATAATTGCATAAAATTCGTATCAAAGAAGGTCCTTCTATTGGATTACTTTAAAAAACAAGCCGCCATCATATCGTTGATAATTTGGCTGTACGCGAAATTTAGTCTTAAGTCTGGTTTCACAATTTATTTTTTTAAATCCAAATAACTTGGAACCACTAAAAATTGATAAACACACATGGGAGTAAAATAGAGTAATAAAATACTCGACTCCCTGCCAGCTTTTTTGAGCCATCAGTCACGTTACACACTGTATAAAAGGTGTCTTGCACACGTACAGCTATAATATCTCATACATATAATAAAATTCTAACTAAGTCGAATAGATAAAAAAAACTACATTAAGTATTTTTTGGAAAATGTTATTAAAATAGTCATTATTATCAATACAAAGACCGAATCTATAGTTTCTAGAATTTTCGTTCGTCTGTCTGTCTGTGACCGCATCACGAGAAAACTATTGGACAAATTTTGATAAAATTTGGTATGATGGGGGTATAGGAATAGAATACTTTTTACTGCAGGAAAATATCTCATCTCTGAGAAATCTATTCTAAACGTTAAAACGTAACTAGGGACGAACCCGACCGGGGCGAGGGCGAGGCTAGTCTAGAATAAATATCGCTTAAGTGGAAACATTTTATTACGTATGAATATTTATTAATACACTCGTAACATTTAACAAAAAGGTTTTAATCATTTAAAAGTAAATATTCCACGCTCTAGTTCTTTTTATATGGAACCACCCGTGTTATATACAAAAAATATGAAAAAGCGATCTATAATTAGAAAAGATATCCCACAACATTGGATATATTTAAAAAAATATAGAGAACCTCCTATTTAACGTCTTACGAAACAGTAAATGAAAGTCTCTTAAGCGAGTGTGTCTCATTATTTCAGACTAGGAACTAGGGATGGAACATTTCACGAGTAGCAAGTGAAAAATCACGTGAAATGCGTAATCATACGTCACACCTGCTACTTAAATTCATAGTGGCTGCTACAAATCACAACTTGGTGAAATCTAGAGCTGTAGCAAACCGTATGTATTCGTTACTGAGTAACGGGTACGCCATCTAGTACCGAGTACCGAAACGTTACTCACGAATGCATTTCGTTACTCGCATTTTCCGTATACATTTTCGTACTGATGTTTTTATTGATTTTTTAATCAACAAAATACAATTTTCAGTTAATACCGTTGATCAGTAAATTGGGGAGTTTATTTATTTCGAGTTGCATGATTTCGGATTCTTAGAAATATTGTTTAGAAATAATTTTAAATTAGAAACAACAATTAAATTTAGAGCACATTTTTAGTTTTTTATCCAACAAATACTTATAATTTTTACTGAATAATTATGTGTAATACGTACAGACATAACCACCAACGCTGAGAACGAGCTAGAAATGTTTATTAATGAACCAGTGCTTCCGCGCGATTCTTCGCCATTAGTTTGGTGGAAATCTCACTCCTATATGTACCCCAATTTGGCGGAAATATTTCATGAGCACTGTCACATCGTGGTGACATCAGTGGAGTGTGAGAGAGTATTTTCAAAAGCGGGAAATTTTGCAACCCAAAAAAGAGCACGATTAAGCAGAAAACGAACAGCGGAACTTGTATTTTTAAAAAGCAATGAAGACTATTGTATATAGATATCTCATAAAAAAATCAATCATCAAAAAAATCAAAAAGCAAAAAAAATGATCATAAACAAATTAAAAAAATTAAGAAAAACAAAAAAAAAGTATATAAAATTCTTTTATAAAAATTCTTATTGTACATAAAAACAATGAACTTTTAAATACGCCAATGTAATTATGGAACTTAGCTTAATACAATTTTACCGTGTGATTACTCTGATATATTTAAAATTCATTTAATTTTACATTGTCAGTCCCAAGCCTGTAGAAGTATGAGGGAAAGTTCATTGTTTGAAAATAGGTTCATTCAAAGCACCATGTACGTATGCAACTACGTCAGATCTATATCTCTGCTCCATATCACATCAGTAGCGCCATTGGTGACATTTCATACTTCATTTTAATAGCAAATAATATAAAGTGTGACACCAGACCATCGAAATCAAAAATCTATGCGTGAAAAGTAGCAGGTGAAATCACGTGAAAAATTGTTGTAATTTCATCACGTGATAATGATTTAAAAGTAGCAATCATTTCCATGCTTACTAGGAACATTGTAGACAAAGTGTCATAGAACTAAAAAAGATAATTATTTGCGGTCGCTTAAGCATAAAGCAAATAGGTAAATCAGAAAAAAAAAATAAAAAAAATACACGAAATATCATTTAAAAGTTGTAAAAACCGTGAATGAATAAATCGTGAAAATATCACTGAATGTGCTTAGTGAAATTATGATATACTAGCATTGCCCGCGGCTCCGCCCGCGTTCAGATGACCAAAAACTAAATTCTTAGGTGTTACATATTAGTATACTCTTACATTGCAGTTTTTGTATTTTTCCTCAGAAATAAGATATTTTCCCGCGGTAAAAAGTATCCTAGGATCGCGCGCTACATCGCCCGGTTTATATAGCTTGAGCAGGCGGTCGAGCGATGCGGGGCAGAGGGGATGGACTCGCCGTAGGCATCTCAATGCTCGCCAAGCATTAAAAATGTTTCGCTACTAATTACTTCTAACAACGATATCTCAAAAACTATTCATCTGATTGATTTAGTGTAAAGAGCAATTTTAATCTGCATTAAATGACTAAGCTAACTAAAATATTCATTTGGATAAGGATTAATACCGAACTAAAGAAAATAACTTTGAAAATAACGTAATGTTTTTAATTAAAAATGTTAACATAAAAGTGGTTATTGTAAGTCAACCGTAAGAGATAGAGATATGCTATCGCGGACTTTTTTGTAGCATTTTTATAGATTTTGAATTCTCTAGTACATTACTTAACTGTATCTTTGCTAGTTTACGCGGCGTTCGCGTGGAAAGTTCCCATTTGGCGAGATTTTTTGCGTCCTCTTCAACATTTGTCGCCGTATTTCAGCTAATTTACATAAAAGCATAATAAATTATATACCTAAACCTTCCTCAAGAATTACTCTTTCTATTGTTGAAAACCGTATAAAAATCCGTTCAGTAGTTTTCGAGTTTATCGCGTACAGACAGACAGGAGGACAGACAGGAGGACAGAAAGACGCGGCCGGGGGACTTATTTTTATAATAAGTATAGATGTACATAAACATGGTCCGTGTTATTGTACGAACAGGAGACGATTGACAATACATAGGGTAATAGGGAATATGCATGATTTTTTTTAATTTTTTTATACAATAGCTGACACCGTAATATAATTGTAAAAAATTATCAAGCTGTAAAACACTAAAACTTAGTATACATTTAAACAAAATGTCTACTGATACGGATACCTTAAACGCTCGCTATTTGTCGCGCTTGCCGTGACGTCACAGTATGATATACACAGACGACGACGAAAAATGACAACGCAATTTATAGCGACAAATTCACTAACTCCACTTTCTACTGCTTTGAATTTTCTATCTATATTAGAACTTTTAAATAGTTATTTTCTTAACATTACATATAAATTATATTACATAAAAAAATATTAATATATGCTTAATTCAAAAGCAATAAAGATTAAAAATAATATTTTACCTTTATTTAAATCTCATTTAATTTAAATTTATTAAACCTCATTAAACCTCAAAGTTTTCGAGATATTTGCAAAAAACTCGGTTTGTTTCATTATATGTATACCTATATATATGAGCCATATGAGCTTCAATCCCATATTTAATTATTTATTCTGAGTTATACCGGTACATTGCCATTAATTGTTAACAGAGAACATGAAATTTGCAAACGATGAACATAAATTCTCAATAGCACTGTATCACAGAAAGACAACCGTGAGTGGAAAATCGTTGAAAGCTACAGTAGAAGTAACGAGGACAGCGATTCGATCTATGTATTATGAAATGCTACATTATGGAGGAATATCTCGGGAAAAACTAGTTCTAAACAGCAAAATAACAAAGAACAAAGAACTTATACTGTAATATTTTTACCTACTATATTTCTAATAAGCTTCGCCCGCGGTTCCGTTCGTGTATCAAGACTTTTAACTTATTTATTTAAAAAAAAACTAAAAAACACGCTTTAATGATGAACCGAAGTAAAAAGTAAAAAATCTTTTTTATACATATAAGAATAATAGATAGATACAAGTGAAGCTCATAAAAGCGTTTTATAAATGTTTTCAATGTTAAATGTTTTTATTTTTCTTTGTTTATTTCTGTATAATTTTGTAGCATTTTATTTCTGTTTTCTGTGTTTTATGCTTAATGTAAAATACTGATGATTTTTATGGACTTCTTGTTCGAAATAAACGCTTATTATTGTTATTATTATAATACGTATATATTTAACCTCTAGAGATTTAATTATTTCTAGATATTCATAACTATGAGAGACAACAAAAAAGTAAGAATCGCGAAAATCAGTTTATAATTAACGAATATATCGTGTAACAAACGCAAAGAAAAAAATATAATACATTTATTCAGTAGTTCCTGATTTGAAGTCGATCAAAATTTTTTAATACTTATTTGGGCTTTAGTATCAATCAAATTACAATATTATTTCTATCTGGTTTTGGTTTTGGTCAAATAAAAGAGATTTATTTCAGTGTGTTTATTTTGGAATCAATTTTAATTTTATATATAAGTTCCCTATAATATAATACTTTCTTAGATTTATGCGAATATTTGTCGTTTTAAGTAAAACTATCTTTTCGGTTTTGTTGGTCACGGGATAGAGTCTCCCACCATGATTGTTGTAAAGCATTCGAAATCGAAATAAATCTGCGGTGTTTTCTTAATTTCAATCCATACAGCTTATTTGGAACTTGTACCGGTTCATTTAACCAAATCGGAGTATGGAGGAGCCTCATTAAGAGGCGATGATTGTCATCTTTATGTTAATTAAAAATATTATTACGAGCTTGTGTCCAGAGATCAAAAATTAAAGCTGGTCAATTGCGTTATATTTTATTCCATCTTAATATGTATATAGAGGAAATGAAATATCTATTGAGAGACATAATATATATGTATATATATATGTATATATATATATATATATATATATAATATAGAACTAATAAATATTTCAGTTTCGCTGTAGTCTTCTAGCTCTAGTTACTCCACACCACTCTTCTTCTGAATTTTCCCGTTGTTCTCTCTTTCCTACTCACAATTATGTCCCATTAACTGTCATGTATTAACTAAATTCTATTGACTTTTCGCAAATCTGTCAATTCAAATATTATAATAATCTATATCAATAGTACTAATGTATACTTCTATTGTAATACTAGCATTGCCCGCGGCTCCGCCCGCGTTCAGGTGCCCAAAAACCAAATTCTTAGGTTTTACATATTAGTAGACTCGTACATTGTAGTTTTTGTATTTTTTCTCAAAAATAAGATATTTTCCCGCGGTAAAAACTATCGTAGTATATGTTGACTCGGATAACCAGCTATCACCATACTAAATTTCATCAAAATCTCTCCAGTAGTTTTTCTGTGATGCGGTAACAGACAGACAGACAAAAATTCTAAAAACTATAGATTCGACCTCTGTATCGATAAAATTGTTTATTTCAATAAGATTTTGCCAAAAAATATTTAATGTACAGATTCGGCTTAGTTACAATTTTATTATATGTATATATTATAAAGAAGTAAAGTTTGTGAGTTTGTGACGTTGTAGGGGATAATCTCTGGACTTTCTGAGCCGATTTAGATGAAATTTGGTGAGAAGATAGTTTGAGACCCTGGAAAGGACATAGGATACTTTTTATCCCGTAATCATCTCTTAAGGGGGTTAAAATGGGGATGAAAGTTTGTATTGGGAAGCAAGCTAGGGACGAACCCGAGCGAAGCAAGGGTGAGTCGCTAGATCCGTTTTAAAATGAAATATTCATTTTATATAATAAGATTGTTCATTAGTTATATTTAAAAAATTGGTCAATTTTTTATCAGGGAACATAAAGTTAATATCGTTATTAATTTTATTTTTCCGTACCTACACGCGCAACTTCTGTGCCGTTTGGAGCGGAGGCGGCTTTAATTTTGTAAAATGATTATATACCTCGAAATTACTTTCTGAAACCTGAAAATTAATTTGCGACCAGTACATTAATTAATAATAAATTTTACGATCGTCAGTCATGTAAATCTTGTAACCGGCGCGTCAGTCACATAAGTAAAACATCAGCGAAAATACTTGCAGTTTTGAAAAATGTCTTGAAATTTTTTGATTTAAATTCATCGCTAGATTAAGTTTATTGATAGCTTGAACTTTGGAATCTGATACTAAGGAATAAAATGATTTAAATTGTTCATATTTACTTCTCAAAAATTGAAAATTAACGACTAATACCTATGTATATGAAATTTCCCTTATTCTTTTGTATGGTTGCATTTTTATATATTGAGGGTTTTAATAGAAAATAATATATTTGATTAATTTGTAATGATTTATGTATAAGGCATTTACTATGTGACCTTGGCCGATAGGAATGTGTTTAAAAATATAATAAATAAATGGCGGGGATATTCATTTGTTTTCCCGCGCTTTTTGCACAGAGATGTCGGTACCACCATGACTAGGCACGAATTGTTTGTAATACTGAAAATGATGATTATAAATTATGTAACTCACTGACGATTATAAAAGTACTGAATAAAAGAATATAAACAAGGAATATCTCGAAGTTTTATTAGGAGTCCAACACTTTAAAGAAAATAAACGATCTGTATGGCAAAATCGAGCAATGTAGCATAAACAGCAAAATCACGATACTATTTCTGACTTTGACATTTTACACAAATACCTATACTTACAAATATAAAAATCTTAAAAATGGTAGGTATTTAGAAAACATCAGCGCTTTCATAATCCATATTCCATACTAATATTATAAATGTGAAAGTGTGTTCGTTTGTTTTTCTTTCTTTCATGTCAAAACAGAATGACGTGATTTTATGTATGGAGATAGTTTAAAGGCTGAAGAGTAACATAGGCTACTTTTTACCGCGGGAGATTATTTCATTCCCACGGGAAATAACGCTTATAATAAGACCCAAAAACTATTTATGACCAGAATTATTTAAAACTTGGTATAAATCCTCTTAAATACATTTAAATAAATACATGTTTTAGCATTTTTCGAGATTCATCCTATGAGGGGGTAAAATAGGAGATGAAAATTTGTATGGTACCTACTTTTTTTAGTTTTTGTTTTAAGTTTTAGCGCGAGTGAAGCCGCGGGTTCTGCTAGTATATTATATATGAGTATATGCTCAGAAGATCGAACCTTAAATATAATAAGGCCGTGAATTGTAAATGAAATGGTTCATTAAAACTCATAAGTTATAAGTTAATTAAATAGAAGATACATTTTCCACCAACTTGATTTATGTAAGAAATATACCTATTAATTATCAGTAATAAGTTCACATAAGCCCGTGGTCACGGCAACGCAAATTTTCAGAACATCAGATAAAAATGATAAAATAAATAGTACTCAAATGGAAGTAGTTTAACGTCTAGCTAATGGTTATGATTACTTGACGACATGTTTAGCTCAGCTTGTTATGACTTTAGTTACTGTGCCAGCGGTCGCGGGTTCGAGTCCTGCTGGGAGTATTCATTTGTGTAAGGAGCACGAATGTCATGGGTGCTTATTATTTATAATATGTATGTATTAAATAATATGTTATATATACTTATTGTGTAGTGTATCAACTATCTGATAGCCATATCTACACAATATTTACACAAGCCTCGTAGCTTACCACGGAGCTAGATGGTGCTGTGTCCCAACATATTTATTTATGTTATCCTAACCATGTCGTTAAATTATATTTAGTATATATTATTTACATGCGATTTAAAATGCACGAGTGACAACCATGGCAAAAATGCATAAAACTAGCATGTGATATAAGAAAATTAAATTTGTTACGAATGTTAAGTATTAAATTACTAGACATTTGTTTAAAAACAAAAAGAATCCCTTATGAAAAGTAAAGAGTAAGCTATCCCATTGCGAGGAGCCCTCCACTCCACACGCAACTATCAATTTAATTGGGGATCCGCGGGCAGCCTCTTTACCTCGCTTAACTTTTCGATTTACATTCAAAACGGTCTTTTAAAAACGAACTCAATAACTACGGGCTAAACCCTCGATTCAATGCGCACTTTACAAATCACTCGCGTGGAAAACTTTGTAGCTTGCCGTCCATTGGCGGGACGGAGGGGGGTGGAGTCCCAGGCTCCTCCCATTCAGAACTGCGCATGCTAAACGCGTTTTAAACCCCGTTTAAGCGGTATTTTGGGTGAAAACCGCAAGAAAATGTATGTAACATCGGTTAGGGGCAGGGCGTTGTTAAATGAAAAGATTTTCCCGCTTGAGCGGTTTGAACATGGCTGACAGTCATCTCGGATGCGCGGGAAAGTGCAGCTGTCATTATCTGTGCGTTTTTCTAGTGACATACTGCCAATCGATTTATAAGCTGCCAGTTACATTTTGACATTATGATTAAATTCTATTAGTACAGATTAATAAATGTATTTAAATTAATTAAATTTAAAATTGATTATTTATAAAATATTAAATTAATATCTTTTAAAAAGTTGATCGTTCTTATATGTATAGTGTTCTTTTCAATATCAAGTGCTTATACCCATTTATTTCTGCTGAACATCAGCTCATATATTATATTTTTATTTCAATTATTTAAATATGGTTAAACCACTATGTGAAAGAAAGTGAACGCAATCGATGATGCAGGACAGTCACAAGTCGTTTTTAATCAAGGACCTCTTGGGCGACGTACTGAGGCCGGGGGTGGGAGTACCAGGTATTTTCATACGTAGATATTATGTTATATATATTTCTTATTTTAATTCGTTTTAATACGTAAGTAAGTATTACATAATTTAGTGAAGATTTAGTTAACTAGGCATGAGTTAAGCTTTTAATTGGTTTGGTGTATATTTTTTATTTAATTCAATTGTTTTGTTAATAGTAGTAAAATCCTTATTAGAGAATTTGTACAATAAGTATATAAGTATATTCATATTATAAATTATTGCGCGTATTTTTTGTTTGCCTGCTACATTATAAAAAGTTATATTAAAGTTATTTTTTTATTATTTATATTAATTTTACATTTTCATGCTTTGAGGAATGAACATAAAAAATAGAATTGTTTTATCTTTATTGTCAACAATCTTATGGGAGGCAAATGATTAATCTATTTATATAAAAATCAATTTCCGTTTGTTATTCTCGCTAAAACTCCAAAACGGCTGGACCAATTTGAATAATTCTCTTTTGTTTTGTTGGGGGTGTGTCAGGGGTGGTTTAAGTATAAAAAAAGTTGGGAAAACCCAAATGAACAGCTGGAAAATTGAAAAGTTCTGTTTATTTTGTATGGGAAACACTAACCGTTAAAACGTACCTACATATTTTTGAGTTATTTTTTTTATTTATAAAAATGTATTTGAAGCTCTTCAATAATTAAGTATATCAACTATTTTGTCAAACAAAATGTAATTTCCAAATAACTTACTTTTTGCTATCATTTTATGAAGCTGTAGCTTTTTTACTTATGCTACGAGTACGTAGCACTGTGCTACATTGTAACAACGCTTCGGCAGCTGACAACCTTTTTTAATAACTAGTGACTCACCCATGTTCCGCTCGGGTTTGTCCCTACTTACGTTTATATAGATTTCTTAGATATGAGATACTTTCCCGCAGTAAAAAGAATCCTATATGTTGACCCGGATAACCAGCTACCATCATACCAAATTTCAATAAAATCCCTTCAGTGGTTTTTCCGTGATGTGGTAACAGACAGACAGACAAAAATTATATAAAATAATAGGTTCGGCCTCTGTATTGATAATAATGTTTATTTCAATAAGATTTTCCAAAAAATATTTAATGTTCAGATTCGGCTTAGTTACAATTTTATTATATGTATAGATTTAAATTTATTTTAAGTATACGTATATCGCTAATGTTATTTAAATAATGAATGTACAAAAATTTTCAAGTGTATATCTGGTTTTTAAAATAGTTATTCTATATAGAGCAATTTTTTTTTACTTTGTGTCCTTTTGAACCCGTTACTCTTCTGAATGGCTAAACTGATTTTAATAGAACTTGGACAAAAAGTAACAGATTTTTAATTGCAAATAGCAGTCCAATTTTTTCTTTTGGGGCATAGGTGATTATTATTATTGTATATGGGTTATTATTTATTTATTACGCCAACCCGCACTTGGCTAGCGTGGTGGACTATGGCCTGATTACCCTCGTGCTGAAGGGAGGCCCGTGCCCAGCAGTGGGACGTTAAAAAGGGCTGAATACATGGGTTATTATAGTATTACTTTGTTATTTATTGTTATTTATTAAAAATAGGACGATGGACGGTAGTGAAGCTATTTTGTTATGTAACGAATAAGGAACGAGTACTACTTTTTTTTCTAATTTTTTTTTTAAAGTTGTTTTTTTCATCTTTGAACAGGGTACTTTTTATTTTTTTGTGTTTATTATGCGATTTGTCTCCTAATGGCAAACCCACTCTTAAGTGTGACCCAATCAATGTAAATTTGTAAATTTTAAAGTTATTTTAAATATAATATACTTATTTGTTAAAAAATAAGGCGTTTCAACTCTTTACATGTTAAATGTAACAATTAAGATTTAATCTATAAAAAGACGCTATTACAATTAAAGATTGTACTGAAAATTATTTGTTTTTATTTTTCTTTGTAGAATAAGTCACTTTCTTTTAATATGCAGCTCATAAAAAAGATAGTACTTACCTAAATATATCGAATAAACAGTATGCAAAAAAAAACATAATTTAAATTATATGTACGAATATATTATACCTATATACAATGTACATATGATATTACACTTATATTTTTGCATATAATTATAATATATGATGATATGTAAAATATTCAGTTTCTCGCATTCCTTCCAAAGGTAGAACAGAATATTAATTCAGACCATCTAAAATTCTTATCAAAGGGCACTAAAATGTAGAGTGGCTTATTACATAAAAGTTGGCATTCTTACGACTGTTTTAAAGTTTATATGAAAAATTCATTGAGCTAATTAAAAAATAGTACGGGATTATGGTCTAATATATTCACCCCTAGGGCAGGATAAAGGGGTCTTGAAAAATTACCTGCTTATTAGCGGCCCGCGCGGCGTTCACTTGAGCACGTATGGTGGCGTCATGTTACCTTTTTGATTTCATAACTAACTACTATTACCTGGTTAAGACTAGTTTTGACTTTAATTACAGTTGTTCAGCTTTTGATGCTTGCTTTTGGTTTTTTAACAAAATGGGATTTCATATTTTGAAAATTTTATGAAAATATTAAAAAATGAGTACTCATCCTACTAATATATATATAAATGCGAAAGTTTGTGCCTATGTATGAATGTCTTGATGTATAGATAGATGTATGGATGTTTGTTACTCTTTCACGCAAAGACTACTGAATGGATTTTAATAAAACTTTACGATAATATAGCTCATACATCAGAATCACACATAGGCTATTTTTTATCTCGGAAAAATGTATGGTTTCCGTGGGATAGATTTGTTTTGTTTTTCTAAAAGCGAACCCGAGTGAAAGTGAGCCGCTAGCTTATTATAAAAATAATTCGAAGCATTTTTTAATTCAAATGGTTTTCCTAATATCTATTAAATTAAAGTTATCTATGTTGCTATCAAATACAATTGTGATAATTAGAAATGCCACCGAGAAAATATAATAAAAAAACCAAAGTCAACATAACAATTTGTTTTCAAATTCCGTCAGGATTCCGATTGTTGTTTGGTTTGTATTTGGCACAGTCCTTAATAATAATTATTTTGACATGAAAGTTGAATACATAAGTCAATTAATTCATATGTTTTATAAAGCAATCAGTATTTTAAACTTTGTCCGTTTTTGTTTGAATCATAAAATGACGTGATCCCCGTTTTACATAGAGCGCCTAGAACATAAAGCTCACGAGTATTTTATTTGTTGCTAGTTATATTTTAAATTTATAAAATGTTAACCTGCACAATAAAATAGTCCTATTGAAATTTATCCATCATTGTCGAGTGATGCGCGATTAAATGGGCCGATAGACAGATTTTCATGGATGTCTAATAGCTTTAAAAAAGATCGTTTCATCGTCAATAAAGCTTTTTTTTATTTATTCGACAAAGCTATTCGATAAAGCTTACCTATTATAAATTAATGTAACCTGTTCGATATTTTTCGTGATTTATTTTGATATTGGTTGCCAACGTTTCGATGCTTTATAGCGATTATGGTCTCAGGAGAGACTTAATTATCAAATTAAGTTCTAAATCGAAGGATTTCACTTCCTATATCCCGGCACCTCGTCTATCATGAAATCAGCTCGATGATATGATGTAATTGATATTGTCATTAGGTTTGACGACACGTTTGGCTCAGTTTGTAGTGACCACCCTACTTGCTATGCCAGCGGTAGCGGGTTCGAGTCCCGCTGGGGCATTCATTTGTGTGATGAGCACGAATGTTTGTACTCCAGTAATGGTTGTTACTACATAATATAATTCTAAATACATATATATATATATTTATAATATATATGTATTTAGAATTATATATGTGTAGTGAATCGACTATCCGGTATCCATAACACAAGCCTCGTAGCTTACCATTTAACTAGATGGTGCCGTGTGTTAATGTCTCAACATATTTATTTAGGATTTTATGTAATTAAAAAGTTTGAAATTGATATGATAACTACAAATATATTTAAATATATTTAAATCCTATTTACAACAATCTATTACAAATGTAGAAACAGATGAAGTCTTTTCCAATATTTAGCTCCGTTGTATAAGGTTTCCCATGTTATAATATTACTATATATCATATTATATTACACATAGATATAAAATATCCCTTAGAAAACGCAGTCAAAGCTAAGAACCACAGCTAAATCTACTTAAAAAGTGTGGAGAAATAAGAGTGGACAGAGCCCCTTATTTCTTTTAAGAGCAATAAAACTTGCCGACGTATAGGAATAACAAGGTTCGTGAGCGTGACCACTTGGAGAGTGCACATTTTAGACATAGTTTCATGACACTATTAGATAGGAAAATGTGTTTATTTTAAACAAGTTCTCTCATAGTTTATTCATTAATTTATTATTAACTAACTTACTACGGAGTGTCTATTTGTCCTTTAATAGGACGAATAAAATAATTATTCGTCCTTTATAAAATATATAAATTGTAAGGAAGGTTGAATAGACTAAGCAAGTAGAATAAGTAGCTGGGTTCAGGTTAAGGTTATATTTTTTGCATATAGAAAATCCTACACTTAAGAAAAATTAACCTTACAAACTCTAGAACTTAAAAATCGTTGGGATTTAAAGGAATAAGTTTCCAGCACGATAGGTTAAGATTTTTTTGCATATATAAACTTCTGCACCTAAAAATCACTTTTTATACATAAAAATTATTGACCTTAAAAATTGTTGGGATTTAAAAGTTTAAGTTTTCAGTTCGGTAGGCTAAGGTTATTTTTTTGAATATAGGAACTTTTGCACCTAAATATCACATATTTTACATTAGAAAACAAGAAAAGTGGTAAATATTCGTCCAAACCAACAATAGTCGGACGAATAACGCATTTTTTATTCATCCGATTATCGGACGGAAAGCAACAGACTCCTTTATTTATTATTCGTCCTATTAAAGTAGAAATATTTTTTTAAATTAAACTTTTCATCCTTATTTTAAGTACGAATAGCAACAGCCATAATTATTTATTATTT